TCATGGGATTTTTAATACAACTTAATACCTTTACCTAAAAAATCTCTGTATACGTTAAAAATCTGTGGCTTGAGCATAATAGTAGCCTAAGTAGTCACCTCAGCTCCCCTACTCTGCATTGAAGGTCCTGGGCATGGCTAAAAGTTTTGTACTATTTTTTTTATATCCCTCAGCTAAGTCATCTATCTATTATTTCCAACTGGGTATTACTAAGTATGATTTCTGTTTGGCTAAGAAATCAAATAAGTATAGCAAATCTCATCGTGATTCATACTCCCCTCTCTTTCTATTTTTTAAACGGGTCCTTAGGTCCTTTCAGAGTGTTTCGCCCTCTCTCACCTCACGATCTTTGCTCAGCTCTCACCCCACTTCTCACCCTACGAACTCTTCCTTATCCTTAATATCTCAGCTTTAACGTGATTTCCTCAGGGAAGTCCTTCCTGAAGCCCCGACTAGATTATGTCCCTCTGAAAGTAAATCCTTCTGTGAGATCCTAGACCCTCCTATCATGACAAGTCACCACATAGGCAGTTTTTGTGACTACGGAAGATAACGGGCACTCAGTAAGTATTAGTTTAATTAGCGAGTTAATTTTCCTCAGAGATGGGTTTTCTTAGGAGAAAGTATCTCAGCCGGTTCCACACATTGACGTCTGAGCATGGCTTCCTTCCCCTACGTAACTCTGCAGCAGGCTGGAAAAGGTTCACATACTACGAAGTTTTGAACGTTGCCAAGAATGCTGGAGGTATAAAAAGAAATCCTGGTTGTCCCTTCTGCTATGAAGTTTGGCCCCCTGCCTGCCCTGGCCACATACCCAACATGCTCACTCAGATGTCCACCTCCCTGGGGGACGGAGGCGTTTGTTCTGTGACCCACCAGTGAGTGCTTTGGAAGGGGAGGTCATGTATTGGCTTGTCTCCTTAACTGAGTATAGATTATGTCACGATCTTCATTTTTTTCATTTGGTTTCAGAAATTACTTCTTCAGTCTTCACAAGCCATTTAAGAATCATTTAAGAATCCATGCAATTTGGATTACAGTTTGATGTCTCTGAGTCGATTTGTCCCAAGTAGGATGCCCGGGGAGGGGGCATGGCGGTGGGGGGGTGTTTGTGCCCGGTGACTGTTCCCTTCCAGCAGGCCTGGGCCATGGGTGTTGTAGCAGGGCTTGTATTCTGCATCATTCTCTCTAGGATAGGTGGCAGATTCTTTGGGTTGATTTCCAGGAGGGCTGGTTGGTTTTCACTGAGCCATTTTACCTTTTTTCAATAACCTTCCTTCTGTGGCTTATGGCAAGCGCTTTAAAGACCACTCTTTTTCTGGGCATTTTGAAATGTCCTCATTGATAACTATGTAATTTGAAATTGTATCTGATCAGTGCGAGGTAGCGGAGGCAGGTATTATTATGTCTCTGCTCCAGACAGGGGTCCGCGGAGTTCGGAGACCTGTCCCGCGCCCTCCGTTCGCAGGTGGCCCTGCTGAGACGGGGATCAGCCTTCCTTCCCAGTCTCCTTTCTCGTCCCGTGTGCAGAGCTCGTGGCTTTTGTAGGTTAACAGTCACTCCTTTCCTGTAAGTTTGTGACTTGAAACCAGGATTTCCCCTCCGTATTAAAGTTCATTTTATCCTCCTAAGTAGCCAGGTCTGGTTCGTATGTACGTTAGATCTCGGAGTGGAACGGAGAGGGTGAGATGAAAGAGCCATTGGTCAGTAACCCCGTGGTCTCTCTCACGATTGCGTGATGTTGTTTTCCTTTCTTTAAATCTTGCAAGTTCACATTTTATCTGCTTCTTAGTCTATCAGGAACGGAAAGTCTCTTCTCAGGACTGGCAGACATGAAGCTACTGGGAGCTTCGGGCGCTTGTCCGGGACTTTCCAGAAAGCCTCCCTCCCGGGCAGCCCGATGAGCACCCCTGACAGGGGGCAGGGGTCTGCTTTGCGTTGTATTGTGCTGACGTGCACGTCTTTCCCTTCTTTTCTTTCTTTTTCCTCCTTCCCCTTCATTTTTCTTCTGTGTGAAAGTGCCTTTCCTGGCTAATTCAGTGTCTGGGTTTGTAGTGAACTTTCAAAGCCCCCTCAGGCTCAGCTGTGGGAATGGCATTGTCACAAGGGGCGAAATGAGTAGATTACCAGCGCTGATTTCAAACAGGGGTTGGGGGACCCATTTTGCACTTCAAGGCAAGTCCGGTCGGAACTAAGTAAGTTCCTCTTCAGAACATCCCCAGACCTCGGAGGCCGCAGCTTTCCAAGGAGTTGAGTTCTTTATAGTGCGCCCTATAGAACCACACAAGTGCTGAGCGATGTAAACAGGGGTACACAATTTGTAGTTGTTTGTAATGGTGAGGGCCTACCACTAACGTAAATGCTTGCACACTAGTGGAAGAATACTTCTATTCATTAAGGTGCGTCTGTGCAGTGACACTATGTAGCCCCGAGAGAAGGAGAGATCTAGAAGTAGTGAAAAGAGAGGTGACCATAACATGCTAGTTATCGGGGGAAAAGCCATGTTGGTTTATATATACACATTCTATCTATTTAAATATATATGTATCCATAGAAAAGTCTGAAAGAATATACTCCAAGCTATTAACACAAGTTTATGGGAATGGGACTAGAATGAAGAGGGAGTGGATAGTTTATTGTTTCAGTTTATACACATTTATAATATTTGCTTTTGTCAATAAATCAATTGTATAATCTTAAAAATAACATGGGAAGTAAAGGAGTTTGAGATACATTGGTTTAGTTTATATGTCTCTTTACCTGTAATTTTGGATTCTTCCTGGGTTTTCTTGTCGGGTGTGAAGCTCTGAGGGGTCACTAGAGTCATTGGGTCACTGGGCTTGTTCTTAGGTGGATGCTTTTGATTTTTATTGTGTGATGTGAATTATTATCTCTCTACGCCTGTATTTCCGTCAGTGTCGTTGGAAAAGTATTCTTTCGCTGAAATATTAGCTGAGTGGTAGTATTAATTAAATTAATCCATCTGTCTTTTGAGAAGTGCAGAATCGTTCTGTAAGAGTCAACGTGGGAGACACAAACTTCAGGTTTTCTTTGTCCTACGCTGTCACCCACTTGTGTGCCTACCACAGCTCTGGGCTCTCTGCTCGTCAGGAAAGGAGGGGATTGTTCGTAGAGTACGTCGTATTCTTCATAAAAAGGAAATATTAGAATGCTTCTTCATCATTTCCTTTTAAAATTTCTGATGTTTGGTTTTTGTGAAGAAAAGAAAAATAAAAAATGCTGTGTGGGGGCTCTTAAAAAGTAGACTGTCGGTCTGGGAGCTTAGGGGTCCAGTCTGAGTCTGCGGGGCACCAGCGTCGACGCGCAGCAGGTGAGGGAACCAGTGAGGCGAACCCCAACCGCCTGCCGACAGGAAGTTCGTGGATTTCATCGTACGTTTTCAATTAATCTCAGAACCAAGATTAATTTCATCTAGCTTTCTGGAAAGGAATGAAACTTTTGTTTATCTTTTTATTTAATCCAGACTAAAATTCAGAGAATATTGAATTGCTTCTATGGTTTGAAATTCCAGCTTTTACTTGATGGTTTTATGTCATCTATTTGTGATATCGGTACGTGAATAATATAGTTCCAAATGCCTTCGTGTTCACATTAGTGAAACAATAGTATCCATACCAATGAAAACAGTTAGTAAATTTATTTTTCTTCTGTTTGTACTTCAATCGCAGAAAGTAGGCATTAGGTTGGCGTTCAGTGTGTTCATGCCTTGACCGTAACGGTATGAAATTGGAACACGTGAAATTTAGACGCATCTATGAAAGCCCAGCCTGCAGTTTCACACATATAGATAGTAATACCTTTCAGCCTCTTTAAGGTTTGTTCATTAGAATAAACAATTTGTTTGGAGTATAATTAGATAATAAGTTTACAATTTGCTAAAATATTTTTTCAGCTGAAAAGTTTTGGTCACTTAGGTCATGAGCTAAAATGAGGTATCATGTCTCTGTCAATGAAACATGTATGGATTAACTTACAGTCCCTGTCGTTCCCCCCCCCCAGCCATCATCCGTGAGTGTGCTGTGGCTCTAGGGGGGCTGATCGTCAGTGAGGCAAAGTCTGGGGCTCTTCACGGGACACAGCCCTGCCTGGGCCCGACCCGGCTCTGCCGTCTCCTTTCACTGTGCGGCACTCAGCGCTTCCCCTTTCTGCCAGCCGGCTCTTCGCCTCTGTCTCCGGATGAGCGGCTGCCCCTTACTCGGAGACAGCACAGCACGCTCACGCTCACGTCCTAAGGGCCGTGTCCTGAGAGAGCTGTGAACACATAGCGACCCTGTCTCTGTTTGGGGCCTGGACCTCGTCTCGCCCCAGTCACCTTCATGATGGCTTCGCTTACCAAGTTGTCCTCCTTGGCCTTTCGCAACCTAACTTCTCTACTCACACGACTTCTCCCACTTGAAATGTATGCTTCTCTTGTAATATGAGGAGCAGAAGGATAATTTTGTGAGGACATATTTGATTCTTATGTTGAAATGCTGGTGATCTTTGTAAATTAAATGTCTGCACTTATCTTTTCCAAACCTAGGCGCTTCCTTTCATCAGTTGGATTTCTAGTCAGTTAAGTCCTAAAATACTAGGACTGTAGATTTTGTGGTCTCTGATTGGAGTGAATCCAGAATTGGAAACAGTCTCCTTGTGCACAGATTGCTTTGAAGTTGCTTCAAGACTCACTAAATCTCCTTCTGCATGTCTTTTTCTGTCCCATATGGATTTTTCCAAAGATTATAGTCCTTTTTTTTTTTTTTTAAATTTATCAGTCTTTCCCCTGCTCCTCAACCACAGCTTAAAATAATAAAATGTAGTCAGCTTATTTTCAAGTGCTCTGATTCCATGAACATTGCCAGCAACTTCTAGGTGAATTCCCTGCTGACCACCTGCCCACGTGTCCCCGAGCAATGCCCGGGCCGGGCCCTGCCACCGGCTCGCTGTCCGTCCCCCCGCTGGCTGGGTGCAGTGACTGACTCTCCGCTTCTCTTTTTCAGCGCAATCGCCTCCATCCTGAGGGCCTGGCTGGACCAGTGCGCAGAGGACTTCCGAGAGCCGCCCCACTTCCCCTGCCTACAGAAGCTGCTGGATTATCTCAAGCAGATGATGCCGGGCTCCGACCCAGAGAGAAGAGCACAGAATCTTCTCGAGCAGTTTCAGAAGCAAGAAGTGGAAACTGACAGTGAGTGCCTGTTTGATCCCAGGGAAAAGGCTAGAGTCTGATTCTGTAGCCTCCCCGTTGAGGGAATGCTCTCCCTACGCTTGTTGAACGGCAGCACTTAGCTTCCCTCGCAGGGACGAGCCACGGGGAGTCAGTGGTGGGTGTAAAATTCTCAAGGTTATTCGAGAGCCGATGACAGAGCCCTAGAGTTTTGGAGCAAAGGGGCTTTTCGAGGCCACCTAGTCCGGCTCCTTCATTTTATTGGTGAGGGACCTGGGCCTGAGAGAAGCGAGGAAATTTTCGGGGGTTTCTTCTAGTGTCATAAAGAGGATGACCTTTTATCTTCCCATTAAACCTGAATTTGCTCTTATTATCTGCCTAATGGCCCCTCCTTCTATCAAATGAAAACTCAGCACAAGCCACAATGACCACTCCGCAGGCAAGGAATCCCATCCAGTCTGCCCTGCCCTCAGGGAGCTGGAAAGAGGTGCCTCTCCTTCAGCTACTTAAGCTGCCCCTCCCCTCCCAGGGCAGGCTCCCTGTCATTTCCAGTCTCTAATGGTCTCATCAAAGGAAGTTTCTGCGGCTGTTTTTTCCTACTGGAGGAGTTGACTGCCTTGTTTCAGGGACAAAGGAAGAGCCACCAGGTCGTGGAGGGCTTTGAAGAAAGCCAGAAAACGGGCAGGACAGGCTTTGAGCGGGGTGTTTCATCCCCCACTGGCGTGCTGGGCGCTGGTTGCCATGACAGCTGACCCACTTGGAGCTCGTGACAGGCATTTCCCTGAAGTGACGCCCGATTTCCTCAGTGGGGCACAGGAAACGGTTCCTCCACGCCGATAAGGGAAGCCGCTTGAACGCCAAAGAAAATAACCTTAAATTCCAAACAGTACCTGTTGAATTTTTTACGTTCTGGGGGACCAGAGGAGGGAAAATGCAGTTGCATCACCAGAAGCTGACTGCCAAGTGCTCCGCATCTCAGATGACTTCATCTGCCGGGAATGTTTGAATACCAGGGCTCTCCTCCAGCGCTGGACCTCAGCTCCCTCCGGGCCTCCCTGCGCCTTTGTGCCGGAGCGAAAAACTCTGAGCGAGAGCCCAGTGTGCCCCACTGGGGCTGCCCCTGGCTCCCGGCCTAATTGGGGAACCGGTGGGACCAGTCCTTCATTGTCCCTACCCAGGGACTGAGGGCAGAGCTCACTTGGCAGGCGGAGGAGGGGACAGGGAGGGGCCTGACATAGGAAAGGCTTGCAGGCAGTCCCCAAGAATGAATGTTTTCTGAGTTTGGAAAGCTTTTTAGCAAGAAAGCTCGAAACCATGATTATTAACTAAAAGGAGTTTTAGGAGCTTGGTTCCCATGGGTTTTTCTCACCCAGTTTCCTGCCAGCAAAAGCAACCATCTCTCCTCTAAGTTTTTCGCAAGTGAAGTCCTGCTTCAAGTGTTAACCCACGTGCCTCTGAAAGAGGGTCGAAAGCAAAAACAGTGGTCTAGGCCCCAGAGGGAGAGGAGGGTGAAGTCCTTCATAGCAGCACCTGGGCACATCTCAGACCTCTGTGAGCGCTGGATGAACGAGAAGATGCTGCCTTACTGTGCATATACATACATACCCTTTGGCTGAAGCGGGTTGGCCACTGCACTGCGGAGCGAGGTGGGCAGATGCGGAGTCGCCGGCAGGAGGGTTGAGAGGCCCGTTCTGAGCCTTTGTTTGGAGTTTCAAGTGTTTCATTCCTCCGTGCAATGAGAGCGGACCAGAGTTGTGTGCAGGAACAGTGGGGGATCGTGGGGTCTCAGCTCTCTCAGCTCGGGCCTGTTTGTGTCCCAACTCCGGAGCAGGTGGCGATCCCCTCCTACCTTCTCGAGTAACAGCTCAGCCACTGGCATCAGTACTCTCAGCTCTGAGAGGAGGGGCCAGGCTTCAACCACACAGCTGTCCCCAGAGGTGGCAAGTATGGGCGTGGCACCTCAATAGGGGAAGCAACGTGGGGTCCACTTTCAGTAACCCCCTTCCCTTAGAAGCCTAAGAAAAGGCCGCCCCAACTGGATCCACGGTGCCTCGAAGTCTTTTATTCAACAGAGAAAGAAAGAAAAGGCCTAAGTTGTAAATGTTTTGGGGGAGTAGTGGCACATTTAAATTTCTGCTAATATGTAACTGAGTAGAGCTAGGTATTTTTTCCTTGAAAACAGATTGAACAGAGAGGAGAGCAAGGAGTGTGAAGGGGGATGAGACTGGGAAACAACCCAGGAACCGGGGAGGGTTCCGGGGAGGGTTCCGGGGAGGGTTCCGGGGAAGGTTCCGGGGAGGGTTCCGGGGAAGGGTCCGGGGAAGGCAGGCCGGGGAGTCAGGCAAACTCCGCCCCACTGCAGCCTCTCCGCGTGGAGCCTGGCTGCCCTGTGCCTGGCCCAGTCCCCGAGCTCTGGTTTGGAGTCCTGAGCGGCGAGTGTTGGGGTATTAACTCACTTCCTCAGCCTGTGCCCTGTGTCATTTGCTAATTGACGATATTATCTGTAAGAGGGCTCAAGGCGAATTCAGTTTAAAACTAAAACTAGCCTGTTTCATGCCTATTTAACTTCAGGGAGACTCTGAAAGCTACTCCAAGCATTTTGAGAATTCTGAGGACTTCCTCAGCATTGCTGACACCAGACTGGCCCCTTTTACTCCCCAAGGCCTGACCTGCCTTCACACTCAGTCCTTCTATGCTCCTGGTTGGAACTGGCCCAGTAATTAAGAATTGCATGTCCGGGGTTCAGGACGTAGTTGGGTCAGTCAGTCCTTGAGCTGGCCAGAGGGCCTGAGGGGGCCCAAGATACGGTAACTCCCTGAATGTACCCCGGCTTTGCTTCTCTCTGGACGTGTCTAACATGTCCTTGGCCTAGGAGCCAGGGGTTTGTCAAAGGCATGAGACCTCTAACGTAATAAAGAACCCAAGAACAAGCAGAGACTGTGAGGACCTACATTCTGCTCAGATTCGCTGTGCCTGCTCCTCGCTCCCTGTGGGTTTTCCGAAGGATTCGCCCTTTCCTTCCTAAAAGAAAGAAGTGCAGTCGGACTGCACAGGCAAGGTCGTTATACCGTGGCCCCAAATAACTAACTTTTGTCCATCCGTCAACAGATGGGTTTCCCAACACTGCGCCCTGCCGCCTGGAAGAGGAAGAGGAACCGGAGACTGGAGGGTCCGCAGAGTTCACGTGCTTCTCGGAAGACCTCGTGGCAGAGCAGCTGACCTACATGGATGCAGTGCGTCTTCCCTTTATGCCTCAGACGGGCTTCTGCTCAAAGCCTGGGGGGTGGCGGTACTGGTGGCCGGGGAGGGCAGGGGTAATGTCACTTAAGTCTTCTCAAATCCTTGAGAGAGGCCGTGCCTGTAAATGCAGAGCGAAGCTGTGACTTGAATCAATCATCTGAATAATTCAGGCCTAAGCTCTTCTCGCAGTTCGGGGTGAAGGTGCTTTTTCCTTGGCTCAGGACACAGAGGGAAATGAGCATTTTAATCCCGGTGAAACAAAATCTACCCTGTGCCGTGGATATTTCTCTCCCTTTAAACTCATAAATATTTCAAGATCTGAACTGTTTATTTGGGGGACTGCAAAAGGGTCAAAGTATAAGTTAGGATAAAATAAATCCACCAAATCCACATGTGACTGTATCTGGCAGTTCGTTTCCACATGTACTGCTTGTACCTTTGAAGCTTGAATATTTTTTTAGCTGTACATATTTGATTACGTCAGCCATATTTCATAGCTCAGTCTCAGCTGGTAAATACCAGTTAAAGAGAAAAGGACTATTATGAATTATCACACTGGTTTGGGCTCTTCTGCACTTTGGAGAAAGCAACATGAAAAGTTGCAGAGTTTCCATCTAGCAAGCATGCAAATGAATTCCCAGAAGTACAACAGACAGTCAGTATAAAGTAAATCCCGGTGTTCTCTCTTTTTCATAGAAACTCTTATATATCTTGTATTGAATTGTTGTATAAATGAGAATCTGATTTGTTTAGCAGGTTTGTGGTTGTTCCACATGATAGCGTAAGAGAAAGATGAAAAACATCATTGGTTATGACTCTTAGGTTGAATAACTTTTTCTTTTATGTGCTTCTTACCTTCTTCATTTTAAATAATGTGAAATAGTGACATCGATGAATGTCGCATGTATAGTACTTCCATAGATCACTTTTCAAGTGGCCATTGAGCATTCATATGTATTATAGACAATTCATGGTCTTGAGTGCCCAGAAAGCACCATGGATATGATTTTGAGGTCAAAATAATCTTTAAAATTTTTCAGTTACAGTTGACATACAATATTATAGTAGTTTCAGTGTACAATATAGCGATTAGACATTTATATAACTTATAAAATTAGAGGTCAAAAATAATCATTTTTAATTTAGTAGCATAGATTTTTACTTGGCTTTTCTTCCAAGACAGAACAGTCAACATGTTTTGGGGCTTTTAAGTTTTCTTTTGGTCACTGTGTTTCATTTCTTCAGTTGAGCATGTTTAGAAAGAATATGTGGGCTTTTCTGATCAGTTAATATATTAATTATTGACTTCTGTCTATTGAAATGAACACTGTGAGGCCAATCAAGTAGAAAAGGATTGTTTTGTTCATTCAAAAAAAAATAGCAATGCCCAGATGACCCAGATGACGTACTTTGCCAGAGGCAATGTCCGTGTTGTCCTTAAAGTGAATTCCTCTTTTGTTCTAGCAACTGTTCAAGAAAGTAGTGCCTCACCACTGCCTGGGCTGCATTTGGTCTCAAAGGGATAAAAAGGAAAACAAACATTTGGCTCCTACCATCCGTGCTACCATCTCTCAATTTAATACCCTCACCAAATGCGTTGTCAGCACCATCCTGGGGGGCAAAGAACTCAAGACTCAGCAGAGAGCCAGAATCATCGAGAAGTGGATCAACATCGCTCATGTAATTGTCTTTTTAAAAAGTCTTCTTTGTCTTTAGTAGATATTGAAGACTCCTTCAACCCTGTGTTTACGTCGTTTCTGTTTGGTTGAAAGGCAATTGAAAGACTATATATGAGGGCCCACTGGGTTTTGTTAATTGTTATTGTCAAAGTAAGCAAGTTGCCTTTCTTAACTTGGGAGCTTGTTTACTTTCCCCTTTTTCCCTGTTTTTCCTTGCTTACTTCTGTTTGCTCCCGAGCCCCACACTGCTGTGTCTCTGGGTTGAGACATCCTGTCTGCATTTTCCTTCAGGGTCCCAGACTGTCAGCTCTGCTCCACGTTCAGTAAATATAACCTGAGAGCCTAAGTGTTGAACAGACTGCTCTTCGACCCAGGGTGATTGCTCTGCACCCTATCTTTTGCAGATTTGCGGAGCCAGTGCCTTCTCAGAATCCTGAATCTTTGTTTCTAAAGGACTGAGATACAGAGCTTTCCCATTAATCGGGGGCTTTTCTGAGAGTCTTGACATCTGAAGCGGGAGGGGCAGAGTCTGTACCTGGGCCTGAATTACCTTTTGCTGAGTGTCAGTCTGGTTTCTTGGATCAGCTGCTTATCTGCCACATGACCTTCCCTTATCATAATCTTATTTCATCACTGAGAAAAGGTAAACAGCATAAAGTCAGTGGTCACCAAATATCTCATGGACTCCTGAAAGTGCGTAAGCTACAGTTTTACGTATTTTGGGGACCTAGACAGGATGAGCACAATGAATCTGGCCTCACAGGAGCCTGTAGTCAAACCAGGAAGCCGATATGTCCTGGAGTCCTCCCAGCCCCAGCAGCGGAGGGGTGGGGCTGGGTAGGAAATCCCGCTGGCTGAGGAAGGCTCACGGTTAGGGGGACATTTGTGTTTAGCTCAAAGAATGGATAGGACTTGCGGTATTTGAAGATTGGGGAAGATTTTGTTTTCTAAGTAGAATAAATTGTATCCATGAAAGCTATATAATTAACAGTTTTGAAAAATTATTATTACATACGGGGAGGGGACCCAAACAAAGTGGAATTTATTTGTAAAAACTGTTTTTATTCTTAACACATTTGAACTTCAGTCCCCTTCCAAGTACTCTCCATTTGATCCAATACACCTATCAAGATGGTTTTTCCACTGCTCAAAACAGTTTTTAATCTCGTTGATTTTGATGCCTTTTGGTGCATCTGCCATTTTTTATTTCATCTCTTCCACATCTGCAAAACTGTTCCCTTTGAGGACTTTTTTCATCCAAGCAAACAAAAAAAAAGTCATTCAGTGCGAGACTGGGTAAAGAGAAAGGGTGGGGCACAGGGGTCATGCTGTCTCTTGGTCAAAAACTGCAGAGCCCTCAGCATGATGGGGCAGTGGAGCTTGTAAACCACTCATCATGAAATGGGCAAATGTGTTGAAAGAGTCTTCAAAAACAAAAAATTCACTGAAGCCGAACACAGCCTCTCACAACAACGCCAGCTGGTACGCTGATACAGAGGGGCTCCTAGAACACCCGCCTAGCTGGGGAAGCCTGTAGTACATGGGGCCCACTCTCCAGAAGATTATTCCATTTTTTTTGAGTCCCCCTGAGAAATACCTTATTAGTCCATGTTCTGGGCTATGTAGGTCACCCTCCAACAGAAACACATTTTGCTTTTTATCCCATTATGTAGATATGTTTCATTAAGCCCCCATCTGTAGGGCATAATGCTTACATTTTCACATTCTCTCTCTTTTTTCACATTCTTTTTACTTGCCTTGAATTAAAGAGCAAGACCATAATTGTACCAGAGATTTTGCCTTATTTTGCATTTTTAGGTGGTCTGTTACCATAGACTTTTTAGTATCTGAAAAAGGTAAGAAACAAAGATTATTTCATGCACTGTAGATTTTTCATTTCCTGAACTGAGCTTATTTCTCAACAAGAGCTACAGAAAGAAGTGCTGATAGAGTATAATAGAAAGCATGAGATTGTTCTGTCTTCTTCAAATGATAAGAAAACATTTTTTTTTTTTGCCATCAATACCATATCATTTGCAGTCTTCTCTATGCCTCAAAAGAAAATAGTCTCTCTTTAATCCATTCAACTGCTTAGAAAATCTGTAGCAAGACTATAGCATCTGTATGTATAACAATGTGGCTCAAACAATGCCTTTTGGTCCAAAATTAACTATAAATTGTGCATTTATGCGATAATAAGAAGTGTGAGTTGAATAATTTGAAGCATATTCCAGATCCCATCGCATGTGCTTAAAAGTCAAGATGAAGTAGTTTCCTCCTAATGAGCCTGTGCACCCCTTGAAATTGTGTGGGCCAACTTAAAACAGTGAAACTCACAGCTGGCTCCCTGCCAAGATGGATTTTACTCTTCTTGCATTATGGTCATAGTCAATTTTTATTGAGGGGATGTTTGAAAACTGATTTTACTAGCAGAAAAAATTTCTGACCAAATATGACTATATGTTCTTGGACTGGCCTCGCTGCTACATTTTTACTTTTGTATCTTATCTCCTGGAAGGATACCTCCTTTTCTAGAAATGAGACCAGATGCCTTTTCTACTCCTTTAAACCCTTGGCTTAAGCTTCTTTCTGAATAATGTGTTCCATATGTTTATTACAATTTGCGTGAAATATCTGTGCCTGAGTTCTTTTATTTATTGCAAGTTTCCTGATTTTTAGAACATAATTCTGGATTCTGAACCTTTGTTGAACTGTGCTCTCTGTTTCCAGACTAATTCAGAGCTATCCCTTTCTTTCTCTCTTTCGTTCTCTCTTTCTCTCTTCTTCTCTCTTTTTCTCTCTCCTTAAATAAGGGGAAAGCATTCAGACATTTAAAAAGAGTGAGCATGACTTTCGTAAAGTACTTTGGCATTTGCTCTAAAGAAAATGTTTGAGGGTTTGTTTGGCATAGTTTAAAGTAGCCAGAATTTGGCATGCTAAATTAGAGAATGCGGTTTTTCCTTCATATTCAGGATTAGTATTACTCTGTGAAATGATCTTTTAAGCAATGTGCATTTATTCCCAACCACGCTGGGACCCCGGTTCCCCAGCTGTTCTGCGCAAAGCCAAACCCACGCTTGCACGGCGCACTTCATGGTAAACAGAGGGTAGATTTCATGTAGTCCCACATGCCAGTATATGAAGCGTCTCCTTTGACATAAGGCATAGCCCACCCTCCCTGTGTTGCTTCTGTCCCCATGCCAGCCAGGCGTGGGACCCAGCCCCTGACTGTTCTGTGGTCCCTGCCATTCATTCTGCAGAATTTGGACTCCAGGGCTGCTGACTGCGGAGGCCGCTGACTCCCTGTGGCAGCTTAAGTTTCAGAATCAGGGAGCCTTCCCCTTACCCACAAAACGACATCCAGAATGCTTCCTGTTCTCCTTCTATTTTGTTTTAAAACGTTGCCAAAAGTGAATTAGATTTTAAAAGCCCAACTTATTTTGGAAACATTGAAGTACCAAGGTGTTTTTGAATGTTTATGTTTGTGGCACAAGCCAATTTGAAACTAAATGAATGTGTATAAAAATATTCCCTCTTGGCTAAGAACATAAAAGCCAAAGTTCAACTTGTGGTGAATTTTTACTGCCAAGTTATGTACACCTCTCTAGGTTGGTCATGAGATGCTCGATACCATCTGACCTCGGAGAGGCTGCTGCCCGGTTCACTTTGTGGGTCTAAAGGATATGGTGATCTTTCCTATGTATTTTTAGGGCATCTGTGCTTTCAGCAGAAGAAAGTTTGCTTTCTCTAGCACAGCTCTGCAGACTCACCTCCATTCCTGTTTTTACTAGGGAAGCTGGAAACTATAAAACTGTAACAACAACGCAAAAAATATATTAAAGGAGAGAAAAACAAGCACACGGTGCCAAAATCTATAAAGTGTTCAGTGAACTGGGGTGGGAGTAAGGAGCCACTTTTTGATGTTCAGTATTTATACAGCTGCCTATTTAGTGGTCAGAATTCATAGCAGCTGTGATACCTCTGCAGCAGGAAACGACCAACTCACTGTGTTATTGATATTTAAATGCCTTTTATGTTTTAATCACGCTCCTACAGGAATGCAGAATCCTGAAGAATTTTTCCTCCTTGCGGGCCATCGTGTCGGCGCTGCAGTCCAATTCCATCTATCGGTTAAAAAAGACCTGGGCCGCTGTCCCAAAGTACGTTCCCAAGTGCCTCCTCTCCTTTCTTTGGCTGGGGTGATGAGTTGCTGCCTAAACGGGTGGGTCCTTGCCTTCAAAGCTCGTATTATGTAACCAGAGAAACACACTCAAAGCCTCCGTGTACTCCAGGCAGGGTGCGTTTTACGCATAATCACTAATGAATTTGAGGCAGGGCCCCTGCGGAAATCGCTCTCATCCTCAAAGTGTGCCAAAGCCAAGGTCATTGGCTTTAGGGACCATTTGAAGGATGTGCTTTATCTCTGGATTTCAAGGGATAAGGTTGTGGAGTGATGAAGGTACAGGCATTGGCCATTGTTTCTGGTTATTTTTCAGCCCCATTCCAAGGCCCTGAGCTATTCCAAGATGTGAGGGATCATGTGTGCAAGACCGGACATTAGTTCTTGCTGTTCGACAAGAATCCATTTAGTTAGTTCCTGCTTTGGCATGTGAAAGGCTATCTTAGTGATGTTAAACGCCTCTATGTGTTCCTTCCTGTTGTTTTTCTTCGTATTTCTTGGTGCAAGCTTTGGAATAACTATGCATTTGATGTCCTTATTATTTTAGTATCTCTCTCTCTCTATTCCCCATTTCCAGAGCTTCGCTTGCAGACCAGAGAGCTTTTCACAGAGGAGGGAAGGGTGGGCAAGAAAGCAGGACAGATGTAGAGGCGGGGGAGTGCGTCCTGGCCACACACTCGGCCAGCCACCCTCAGCAGGTCTGCCTGGGCCTGAGCTGATCAAGGCGTCAGGCTGTGTCAGGGAGGAATGTGTAAACTGTTTATAGTCTATACTGTGTGCAATGTAGTCAGTTTCAGCCAGGACGGAGGCCAGCTGGCTCCCTAGGCAGGCTTGCCCTTGTGGGATTGGTGCATTCGGTCCTGAGCGTAGGTCTACTACCCAGTTTTATCAATTCACTCAGAGTTGATTAAGCCCAAAGGGGCAGACACTATCTAGAGTACTCAAGGTTCCTGATGAGCTCATATTCCAATTGGAGGAAGGTCTACTAGGGAATAGTCAAATTATTTATTACATAATTCTTTGGCGAAGAGAAAAAAATCAAAGTGGTTGATCTTAATGTTACGGAGCTATGGAAACCACCGCCGCTTGGCCTCCAAAACTCGTGCTCTGTTTGTGACCCCGTTATCTGTCAGGAGGAAAACGGCCAGATAAGTGTTTCAAAGTCCAATGCAGTTTTCTTAATTGCCACTTTTCACTTGGGTTCTTCTTCCTCTTCATTAGTCTGAATAATCAAGATGACTCTGTGTGAAAGATTAGTTGATAGATTTTCCTCTGCACATAAATATTGTGAAAGATATGGGTCCTATGACATTATTAGAGACCAGACCCTGGGGAAATAGATGGGAAAATTGGACGTGTGCAGGGTCCTCATCCTCAGTACCCCCAACTCCAGCTCCTTCCCCTTTCCACTGCTCCCCAACTGTGGTATTGAAAACAAAGGGGTGGCCGGGTGCTAAAATGCAGCCTGGTCTGATGGCAACCTTCTCTGGTTGCAGTCAAGGGCAACCCTATCTTGCTTTGGGGGTTAATAAATAGAACACTATGAAAAGTTACTTAGCCAGCCAAAGGTTTCTCCCACAGCAAATCTGAGGCCAAACACAAGTAAACAAATTAGTGGACTTGTATCTTAATCTCCTTGGTTACCATATGGGAAAGGCCATTCTTCCAGCTGGCTTTTTAAACAAACCTCAGAGGCGCATTCTGTACAACATGGGTGTCTGGTTTGTTTCTGAGTTGGGTGGTGGGTTCATGTCTTAGCAGGGATGCTACCCAAATGTCACAGTTCCTTAGAGAAGACACTTCTTATCAGCTTGACGTATTTGCCATTGCTAAATTCAAGAGACAGTGTTAAGATATTTGGTTATCCCTTTTCCTGTAACCCTTTATGTTAATAACTTTCAGTGGACAGAGAAGATACCTATTTATTTCCCTTTATTTAGGCTGACATGTATTCAATTTCTTAATTATTTTTCCCAAAATATGAATCGCTTTCATGGTTTTCTTAATTACGAGAGCAATGTCATACCCGTTTTGAAACAAATAAGTTCTTAATAATGGCTTTCTCCTGGTAATGAAAATGCTGCATGTAGAATGATGGTACTCTGTTAATTCTTAGCCTTCGGAATTATCCACTCAGTAACCCTGGAGGCGTGAGTAACCATGGAAATGTAGAGAACTAGAAAGGAACAAGGACAGTGTAGGCTTTTTACGGATGTGATTCCACTGACTTTCCCAGCAGCCCTGCAGGGGCTACTGGTATTTCCATTGTGCAGATGAGAAAGTTGAAGCTCAGGAAAGAGAAGCAACTTGTCCAGAATCACCTGGCAAGTGGTAGAGTTAGGATTTGAATCCACCTCCTCTGACTCCTGAATCCATCTTGATTTCGCCACCTACTCTGACTTTGAGAGTAAGAACACTGGCCTGTGACCCAGGAAATATGGGTTCCCCGCCTGCAACGCTCAGCAGTTCTTAACGAAAACTTGGGCAGACCCCTGACCCTGGCGTCTTCATCTCTAAAACGAGGGGACTGACCAAGAAGACTTCTCAGGTCTCAAGGGGCTGTGTGTGTGTTGCCAAGATAGATGTTTTTCTTTAAAAAAAGTTTGCGGAAGAGAACATGGCTCCACTGAACAACTTAATCCTCCAATTTAACTATCTATTTTTATGGTTATAAAATACTTGGTTAGGAAATATATTCCTGTCTTTGCACAGGTGACCACATCCACTTAAAGATAAAAAAGCCACCCCGCAGGAAAAAAGGTGTTGGTTTCATCTGCGCCTGTTGCCCACTGATCCTGAGATCCTATCATCCCTCGGGAGCCATAGGTACTGAGGACAGCTGGGCCGAAGGTGTTGCGCTCTTCTAACGCTGCACCTGTTCATGTTTTCTTCATCCCGCTCACAGAGACCGAATGCTCATGTTTGAAGAACTCTCCGATATCTTCTCGGACCACAATAACCATTTGACGAGCCGGGAGCTACTGATGAAGGTGAGGCTCCGAGGCAGGGCGCCGACCAGCTCTCTAGACAGCTCTGCTGTCCGTTCAGGGCAACTGCAGCTGCAGAGGCCCCGCGCATTCCCGCAGTCCCACAAGAACGTCTGAAGCGACCAGGAGGCAGGCGTTTTGTCTTCCTACTGCCTCGTCTAAGAAGCTCGGGCCTGAGAAAATTCAAGGTCCAGCTCCTCGGCCTCACTGTTACGCAACCAGGTTGTGAAACATGTGCCCCTGCATGTCCCTCTTTAACAAGCTGCTCCGCAAACACCAAGTGCTGGTAGTGAGGAGGGTGAGAGGCCCTGGAATATCTCTTCTCAGCAAAACATCCTCTAGAATGGCCGAGGCCGAGGCAGCAATTCCACATCCTTTATTTGGACTAAGTTGCACAATCTGTCAGTCAGCAATGTTTATTGAATGCCAAGTGAGTGCTGACTTCTGGACGATGGTGAAGGTGTAGTGCGGTCCATCCTGCTGCTCCTGACGTTTGTTGCGCGCCTCCTACCTGTAAGCACGGCGCCAGCCCCTAGGAATATGCAGATGGCTAAGGCAGTCCCTGTTGTCAAAAGTTTACCTTCTAGTCGGTGGTTAAAGATACTAAGCGAGAAGAAGTCAGAGTAGTGAAAGGTGCAAACAGCAGGTTGTGAGCAGATAACTATCTTCACAGCCTTTCTGTAAAGTAGATCTTACTGTCCTCATTTTGCAGGTAGCCAAGACTCAGGTAAGTGACGCTCCCTAAGTCACACACCTGGTAGGTGGTGGAGCTAGAATGTTGATACAACCTGGTGAGATTCTAAAACCTGTGCTTTTATCACGTAGGCATCCAAGTGTCTCTTCTGACCCCATGGAGGAGGGGACAGGGTAGATCAGGCACAGCGTCATAGAGAAGGAAAATCAGTAACTCGCCACATACTGACTGAGCATGCACTATGTAGTGGGCGTTGGAGGAACAACCATACTGAAGGCCGTCTCTGAGCTTGAGGAGATTACAGTCTTATAGCAGAGGGAGGGAAGTGGACAATTATTAAATAGTATTAGATGTGCCACCGTACAGGGACGGCCTGAGCCGGACAATCAGAAGATAGCACCCTTGTCCTTGGTCCCCTTTTCTGTAAATTGGAGACAATAATAGCATTTAGTCTATTGCCCTCATAGATGAGTTTTGAAGATTGACTAAGATAAAATATTTGAAAGCACTATGCAAATATAAGTTATTTTTAGTATTTGGCAAGCCATATACGTCTGAAACCGAAGCATTCGTAACAAATGAAAATGAACGAAGTTTAAGCTGTGTGTGTGAACTTAGGGCAGGCACTCGGAATGGGAGGGAACGTCAAGGGAAGGCTCTGAAGAGGCCTCCGTTGACAGCTGTTAGATTAGTCCTTCTTCCAAGGGCGTCTGTTCCGATCTCCCTGACTGGCCTCCTCCTCGGTCCCACTCACCCTTGAGGTTTCCGTGTAGCCTCTCCTCTGGAAGCCTTCCCGGACACCCTCAGGGCTGAGTAGGATCCTTGCATGTGCTCCGGAAGCAGCCCGTCCTTGCTCTGAGCTTGCACTTCCCTGTGCTCCGTAGGAATTGCCTGTGTACCTCACCGGCCTCCCTGCAGGCCTGGAAGCCTTTCAGGCAGGGACTCGGTTTGTCTTTCACGGCACATCCCTAATGCCTGACACGGTGCCCGGCACGCAGCGAGTGTGCAGAAACTATGTTGGACTGCATGAGTTGGTGGGCCTTAGAGCTCACGTGACTTTAACAACTCGCCCACTAGTAGCCCTTCTTGGAGAAGATGGGATGAGCAGGGCAGTTTATGCCGATGCCTGGCTTTGGATTTGGCCAACCTGCTTAACGGCACACTAAGCAACGATGGCTGAGATCACGTTCCTGCTCCCTGCTTCACCCCTACCCCTGTCCGGATTGCAGACTTGAAATGGAAACTCATGCGGCTGGAAGAAGATGGCTGCGTGGTCTCCCTGTCAGTGACTCGAAGCTAGACTAGCTGGAGCCGCACATTCAGATCGCAATAGGTCTGAGTCATCCTTGCAAAGCAGATAAACTGAACACTGTGCAGCTCTTTGCCTGGTGACAGTCTGGCTGAAACCTTAGAAACAAAGCCACATCTAGACATTAAAGGTCCCATAAACCTTTCTTAACAGGCGAAGTTTACCCCAAAGCTCTGAGTTAAATTTCTTATGTATGGCCCGAATCCCAAAGAAATGAAAAACTTGGCTATGAATTCATGGAGTCTGTGCATCATCATTAATGATTGTGGAATGTTTGGGGCGTGCACATGGACACATAGGTCTCTTTCCAGTCATCTTTGCTGATCGTCCTTTACCTTGACATATATAATTCTGGGTGTTAACTGTCAGCACAATTATTTTTAAAAAACCCCAAAATCAAGGTATTTAGATTCTCAAAAGAACCATTGGCCAACACTGCTAGCCTCTGTGTCTAATATGCTGCTCCTAGACTTACCCTGATTTATGGCTGGGTATTCTTAGTCTTTTTTTTTTTTTTTTTTAATCTTAGTCTTAAGTGGCCTCCCTTCTACTTCTGGATATATGTAATGTGCCAACTCTCTAATATTATGATTGAGGAAACATAATAGCAAGAATCTATAGTTTTCCTTTTGTTGGAAAAAAATATTTTTATTTTTCCTAAAGATTATCTTTAACCTATTACCTCCATATGATTTCTGGAACTTAGAGAATTCTAAGCAGGTAAATTATAGAATCCACAAATTTCCAAACAACTGGGAAGCAGAACCCCACGAAATCTCCTTGGGTCCTGGGACTCTTGGTGAGAATTCTTCCTGGTTGAATTGATATAGACAACTTCAAGGAAGGCCCAAGAACTTGGTTCTGGTACAGATGTATTGTTCAGTGAATCCCCAAAGCCCCTGAAGATAGAGTTGGAGCAGGAGATTGTCAGCACTGTGAAGGCCTATTCAAATAATTACCATTAGCTTCTGAGCTATAATTTAAGCTACACATATCAAGAAGGATCCAATGCCTGGGTAGCACCTAGTAGAAGAGGCCCTGCTGAGGCCCAGGAACAGGATGGATGAGGGCAGCCGAATTCTTCTAAAGATGGAGAGAGAAGGTGAGACATCGGCAACAGAGAGCGGGAGAGAGGGGAGGGAGGCAGTGGGAAGTTTATGGAGGGGGAGATCTGGAATCCATCCAAACATAGGTGATGATTAAAGTCTTGGGACTGGATAGTATTTGTAAAGACATGAGTTCAGCAAAAAAGAAGACGACGACTTTGGCAGAAAGAAGACTCCCTAAGAAAGTATGAGCAGGAGCAGCAAAGAGGCAGGAGGAAAGCACCAGAGGGACGCAATCACAAAACCTATAAAAAGCTTTGAGAAGTTTCAAGGGATCGGTGTTGTGGGCAGTGCAGAGCAGAGGATTTAGGGCCAGGGAAGAAAGAAACTGAACCTGTTGGATTTGGCAGGCAGTGGCTTTCTCCGTTGACACCTCATCTGGGAGGACTGCACTAGTTAGCTCTCCAGCCAGAGACGGGCCCTCCCTCTCGTGAAATCCTGAAGTCGTGAAGTCAGCGTGCCTTCCAGCTCCACGTCTCAGGTCGGTCTCTCCACCCGTGAGGGGGTGGTCCTGAGTGTTCTTTTAAGGCCCCGCCCATCTCTGTTATTCTGTGATTGTCAGAGGCCTTCTAACTTTTCAGAAATCCTTCACGAGAGTTTTAGGTATATCTGCAACACTTTCCGTACATTATTCCTCTGCCGCAATTAAGGAAGTGGAAGGGGGCCAGAAAAGACCTGTGCACTGGAAGGGACGGACGCTCTTGCTGAGGTCAAACAGGACTGATTTCTCACTACAAGAAAATTCTCAAGAATTTGCGAGGACGCACACCGTCCTAGCACAGGAAATGGCATGTTGTAGGCCGCTTTCTCCTTCACCCCCAGGAAAAGCGAGAAGTAGGAGATTATTAAATGATAATGCTCCCGATGCTCACTGGCCAAAGGGAGAATTAAAATGGATAGTAAGTCACCACAGGTTCTGTCCCAGCGGTGTACCTGGACCTGGGTTAAGGCCGGTGAGCGACAGAAGGTAATAGACACCTCCCTGTCATTGGACAGGCCAAGTCACTGAACAAGAGCCCTTTGCAGCCGGGCAGTAGTGAGAGGTCACATGCTCTGGACATAGAATAAACCCAGGGAAACTGACTAAGGAAAAACTACTGTGCAGGTTGTACACTGCCGGATTGTGAAACGTGTCTTCCATTCATACGGTTCCTGGAAAATGTGACCTTCACAAGACTGAAACCACAAAAGGGAAAACACTATGTTCAGTCAGCAAACTCAAGATTAGTCATTATGTAGAAGAGTTTGAAAGAGTTTGTTGTTACAACAGACTGGAGCGGGAGAGAGGACAGTCATCTGTCCTCAGGCGCCCAGAGGAAGGGCTGGTTTGTGAGACTTTGAAACCCAGGAGGCAGCTTGAGGGGACCGATTCGGGGACAGAAAGCAGGGAAGATGTATGAAGGTCCACCTCTCATAGATTCATGCCCTGCCGCTGTACTGGGCTTCCTCAGAGAACTTCCCATACAGAAGTTTCATTTAGCTAAGAAATACCACAGAAATAGTCCCTTTCCTTTTCAGAGAATGCTGGCACATGCATTTCAGGCCAAGACCAAGAAGTCACAAAATGTAAAGAGGGGCAGACCTTTATTTTCAGGAGGTGCGATTACTCTGAGTGAAATTTGCAATGTGTAAAAATTGTCCCCACTTCCAGGAACTGCCTGCTTTCTCTTGATTTTATAACCAAATCAGGGCTCCTCTTACACTGTCGGGGAAACAGGATAATCCAGGGCCACCAGGTTGTATCACGCAGAAGCCGCTGGCAACAAGCCAGAGCGGCTTTGCACAGCCCAGGCCCGTGGCAGGCCCCTTCGCTTTTCCTGGCGTCCCAGCAGCTGGGCGGTCGGCCTGGACCCGAAACCAGATGCCACTGCACGTCTTTCTGGTGTCATCATTCTCCGTCCCCCAATGCTGTCTGCGCTTCTCTTTCAGGAAGGAACCTCAAAATTTGCAAACTTGGACAGCAGTGTCAAAGAGAACCAGAAGCGGACTCAGAGGCGGCTTCAGCTCCAGAAGGACATGGTACGCACAGGTGTCGTTCTTCCCCAGGACCCGCGGGAGAGCGCCCTCGGGTGGGTAGCTGGGCTCCCGCTCGGCAGGAGCTCCTTCCGTCAGCAGGGCGTCGGGGCTCTCCCACGAGCTCTCCCAGCCCTGAGCCACCTGTTCTCGGGGACTCGGGGAGATCTGTAGGAAAGGTGTTGCTGCTCCCATTGACCCCGCAGGAAGTAAACACTTAGAATCGCAAACCGCGGTGTCCTCTGGGGGTAAGGGACAGTCTGCAGCTGGTAGACGTCCGGCCCTCTTGCTGCCGGCCTCCGTCCACTCCTGCACTTGGGAGCCGCTGCCCCCTTGGCCCGGAGACCTGCCGGGTCTCAGCTGCCCGTTGGGGATGCGTTACCGCAGTCAGCTCTGGACACTGTGGCCCAGGGGGCCCAGGAGAGGGGTGCTGAAGAAGGGGAGTGCCTGCTTCCGGGAGGACCTCCTCTGTGTCGCTGGAGATCTCCTTTGTCCCAGCCCTCTAGACGTTTTCCAGCTCTCCTTACCAGCCCCAAGGACCGACCAAATCTTTCTCATTTTTCAGTTCTCAAAGGAGTGTCGTACCTCCCTCCTTGAGGCTGAAGGAGAGTCATTATCATCTTTAGCTTTATTTGAAAAGCTTTCCTGACTTTGAACCTCGGAGGGGGAAACCGGAGAGAGGAGGCTAGAGACTGACAAACCCCATACTTTCCTCCCGCTTTGGCTTTTGCCTTCCTCTGGAAAGCTGGACCTAAGTCAGGAACGTTTTTGCACGATAGGACTCCACTCTGTAACATAAAGCCTATAAAAAAACTCTCAGCATTTCAAACTTTTTTAGTTACTCAAAGACAAGTTAAAAATAGCTTTTAAAAAGATTATTTTGGTTCGGGATGAGACCTTGCGTGCATGATGGGGAAGGACTCGCTGCGGCTGCCACGAGCTCCTGACAGACACAGCCTTCCGAGGGTGACCTCGCAGAGCAGGTCTGGCTGAGGACGGTGCCAGCCTTACCACAGGCAGCCCGGCCGTGCCCTGGCTGAGGCTCTCTTTTCTTTCCAGAATGTCTGTAAGCGCCTCTGTGGAATTTAGGATAAGGTGTCCATGGAAGTACCTTTCGTTTTCTTTTCAACACAGTGAGTGCCTTTATGCCCTTATGGAGAACAGAGATGATTTCAGAGGAAATTTGGTGAAATTACTATAGTCTAGACCTGCAGTCGAAGCATTTTTACTTTGATTTCCAAGGGCCAATTTTTTTTTACAAATAAGCATTTTGGTTTTGGAACTTACAGATGAGTTCCAGGGAGTCCCTGAGTTTCTGTGAACCGCCCCCCCGCACAGTTCCCCCCCGGTGGTTGTCTTCCATGGCGTGGCACACCTGTCACTACGAAGACACGGCGTCGGTGGGCCGCTGCTGCCTAGAGCCCAGGCTTCATTTGTGTCGCAGCGCTTTCCCATCAGCACCCTCTTCCTTGTGGGAGCCCAGCCGGCGCACCACACGCGCCCAGCAGCCCTGTCTCCCAGTCTCCCCCCGTGGGGACCGCATCTCAGCCGTTCCTTGTTTTTCATGACCTTGACAGTCTTAAAGAATGCTGTCCTGGTATCCTTAGGGTGTGTCTGTGGTTTCGCTGGCCATTAGATTGAAGTTACGGGTTTTGGGGAAGGCTGCCCTGGGAGCGAGTGCTGTTCTCACCACGTCCTGTCGAGGAGTGAATGCTGTCGGCGCGACATCCAGCGTCACTCGTGTTCCCCTTCATCGCTTGATTAAGACAGAGTTTGCCAGGTTTCCCACTTTAAAGTTTCGATTTTTCCCTCTCCCTCCTCTGGTCTTTGGCAGTGAGTCACGAAGTCCAGGCCAAGGGGCTACTGTCACAGTGATGTCTTGCCCCCAGGTGTTCCACACTCTCCTCCAGTGTCCGGCGGCCCGCTCCCTCTCTGAGGGCCATTCCAGAGCACCTGCAGCGTCCATGCACTCTGACAGAGAAAAGATGTCTCAGGCCTGAGCCTGAGCACAGTATAAGCCCCTTGCGACCTCTCCTGACTCTTCTTGTCTGATTTCCTGGCTTTGGGGCTTGGTTTTCAAAACCTTGAAAGTTAGATATTAGCTGATGGAGTTCTTGTCATATTTGTGTAGGAATTTTCAAAATTTTATTCATGGACTTAGCACTAATGGCCCCAAATTAGGCCTCAGATGGTCCTTAATTAATCTCTCAACTTGGCCATTCAAAGATCGCTGCTTCCTTGTGCGAATGGGCTTCCTTGTGCGAATGGGCTTCCATGTGCAAATGGGCTTCCATGTACAGGAACGTTGTTCCCCGTAGCCCCGAGCTGGCCCGTGTGCTCCGGTGTGGAGGTTATGGAAGCCCTCAGGTCAGTAACAACCAAGACAGTTTTGCTGTGCTTGCTCCGCAGGGTGTGATGCAGGGCACCGTGCCCTACCTGGGCACCTTCCTGACTGACCTGACCATGCTTGACACTGCCCTTCAGGACAACATAGAGGTGAGTGCCGTGCAGGGGGCGAAAGTGGGCCCGCAGCCTTCTCAGTGGGTGCCCAGGAGAGAAATTCGCTTCTATTAGTCCCTACCGTGGGCTCCTTGTCTGCGAGACACTGTTCTGGGTGCTCTGAGGAGACAAAGAGGAGTCACACCAGGAGTGGCTCACAGTGCTGGGGAGGGTAGATGTCAGAGCAGGCAGTGACTGATAGAACTACTAAGGATTCAAACAGAAACGCCGTGAGAGAGAGGGGAGGTCATGATTAGTTCCAAGTGAGGGATGAGATGGCGACACTGTATGAAGGAGCAGGTTGAGCAAGACCTTGATGTTGAGTTGGATTTGGGGAGGTGGTAATATGCCCTAACATTCCATTCCGTCTGGTGGGTTAGGCAGTCAGTTAAGTTTGAGGGTTTTTAAGTGTTCCTTTTTTTTTTTTTTTTTTTCATATTACCTGCTCTGAGGCACCTGCTCTTAAGCATGTGTACTCTCTCTCAATGGGAAAAGAGGTGAACCCAATCCAGTAAACTACCTGCCAGTAACAGTAATAAAATACTAAGGGGGAAATAAATTGGATATTAGAAATGTGATTTAAGGATTGTTTGTGTATATTTAAGTTTATCTCACCTCCGTGGTTATCACGTGATCAGCCTTTATGATGAGAAGGAGAAACGGTAATTGTGCACATGCTTGCCTCCAAGTTCATTGCAGTGTTGTGGACATGTTCATTCGTGCTGTGTCTCTTGAGCTCAATGTCTCTGTACATCCTGTGCCTCAGCTTAGCTCAGGAAACACTAGTGTTGGGAATGTGGGGGGAGTGGCTAGTGATTTAGTAAGTTCAGCCCACTGAGAATGGGAGCCGAGGGATGAAGAATTGAAACTCAACTTTGCATGATGCCGTGTAGAAGACACTTCCCTTTTGATAAACCATTGACAATTTGGTTCCTTAGTATGAGTCAGGGACCATCTGTTTTTGTTGCTTTCAGTTGAGAAAAAAAGTGTAATGGAACATTTACTCAGCTTTGGCCTTTTCCTGGTTCTGCAAATGTATTTGGATTCTGAATTGTAACTCCTTAATCATTACTATTTTAGTTGTTTTTAGACATTTTAAGAGGAGGTTGTTTGCCTATCCTGTCCTTTTATTATTAAAAGGATGTTTTTCTTGAAGCAAACAATGCTTCTCTTCCTCCATAGTAACCATGAGTTTTAGTGTTATTAATAATTAAGACTTGATTGATTTTAATAAGACCTAGAACAACATAGGGCTTGGCTGTGTTTCAAAATAGTTTGGTTTGTCACTCTTTTTTTTTTTTTTTAATTTCTTTCAGGGTGGGCTGATAAACTTTGAGAAAAGGAGAAGGGTAAGTAGAGATCTTGGATACATAGTTTTTTTTTTTGTAGAGACAGAAACAAATGAATTAGTGTTTACTGAACACTTGTCATGTACCACTGTGCTTGGCACGTTCTATACATTGTCCCCCAGGAGCCCTGTGAGGCAGGTTTTATCATCCCCAGTTCAAAGTGCGGAAAGCAGGACTGGGAGAATGAAGTCGCTTCAGCAGTCAGTGGGAGCGTGTAGGAGGGGCCGATATCCCCAACTTGGGGGGTCAGAGAAACGTCCAGAAGGAAGTGACCTTGAAGTCAAAACCATAATTTCAGGAGCTAAGCAGGCTGAGTTCACTAGTAACAAGATCTACTAACCTAGACAGATTAAGTCTTCTGTCCTTGGGAGAGCATACTTGCTTCTGTAGCCTGATGATAAAATTTCCTTGAGGATACTGAGACCAGGGACCGAGGTCGCTGGATGGGAAGTTGACACCATGGAATCTCCCAGTTGCTGAGTTACTTTTGTCACGTCCTGAAACGAGAGAGCACATTGTTATTGCCTCCACAGTTACCCATCTTTGCCCTTTAGCTTCAGAACAACCATGGATTGTGAACTCTTTCAAGACTAGCATGTGAAAACTCTCAGAAAGTTTGAGTATAAATCCTAAGGCTAAAGCTTATATCCATTGCCGACTTAAAAATAAGAATCTTTATTGATGCATGTAAAGTATAAATAATTTTGGACATCATTATATGTTTGCTTCTCTTGTGAGCTTTAAAAGACTTAGCTAAGTGATTTACTGGAGTAGTAAAAACCCAAGGATTTGGGAAATCTAAACATTCAAGTTTATGAGGGCCGGAAATGTTTAGATACTCAGCCATACCAAGATGTATCTGTTGAGGGGGTAAGGGTTGAAGAAGATGGGCGTGGGGAACTTGGGAGCTTCTGGACTTAAATTTTTTCTATCTTTTAGGATATAGAAATAGAAAATTTAAATATGTTTTAGAAATATTGAGTTTGAAAAATACCTTTTATATCCTTAGAATGAAAATGGAAAAGAAAAAAAGGAAGTTGCTGTGACTTTAGGTAGTCCCTAGTTTGGGTTGCTTGGTATCTGGTTTCATTCATATAAATTGCTTTATTAATGGGAATGGAGGACTGACGGTTAAAGCATGCAAGGGCCTGCGAGATTCTAAGTTAGAATTTTTAAGAGTTATTCAGCTATTTTATTTCTAAGGAAGGCAGTGCTTCGGAGTCCTCCTCAATGATTTTCTAGATTGCTTATCCCAATGTGGCATTTTTTTCCTTTTGAAAAAATGTGTATTTGGTTGCCCGTATTACTCACTCTTTCTTTTCGGTGCTCTGTCCACTTTAGGAATTCGAAGTGATTGCCCAGATAAAGCTCTTACAGTCTGCCTGCAACAGCTATTGTATGACCCCAGAGCCCAAGTTCATCCAGTGGTTCCAGAGGCAGCAGCTCCTGACAGAGGAGGAGAGGTAGGTGGGCACATTGCCTGCCTAGGCAGAGCTGCGGCGTCGCGAGGGGAATGTTGCATCCAGGTCCACATGTGGCCGCGTGTTCTATAGCTGTTTAGTGAGCAGCTACTGGGGTCTAGAGACTCGGTTGTCAAAGGATAAAGGTATAGCAGGAAAAGCTGCATTGATGGCATCGGAAGATGTGCTTTCAGATTCTTGCTCTACTATTTATTTATCTTCGTAACCTTAAACAAGTCACTTACTCTTCCCGACCTTCAGGGTGCGCGCCTGTGAGATCCTTGTTTGTCAGGATTAAATGAGATCATATTTGGGAAAAACATTGTTAAAGTGTTTACGTCATCATCACCACCCGCCACCACCCCCACCGCCATCTCCACTACCACCCCCACGACGGCCACCCTCACCACCCCCGTCCCCCACCCTCCCAACCCGCGCTGTCGTCACCAGGTTTGTTGCTGTTGTTAACTGGTGCTGGCTTTCAATCGGGGAAGGGAGCCAGACCCAGGAAGAATTGAAATAAAATGCTGCAGGACCCCTGGGCAAAAACATTTGACCAAGGATGGGCAGAAATGGGGAAGACAGTCATAAGCGCTAGCATCGGGGCGGGGCCGTGAAGGAGAGAGAAGGTTGCTCCAGGAGAACGCGGAACATTCCAGACACAGGGAATAATCTGAGCCAAGGCTTGGTGGCCTGGCGTGCTTGGCACTCGCAGGAACCGCGAGAACGCTGGTGTGGCGGGGACGCAAGGGGCAGGTTTCAGAACGGCGGTGGACGAGCGTAGGCAGGAACGTCAGCTCCAGTGTGCTGACGGCTGGCCCCGCAGCGGGGCTGTCCTCACCGCGCGGCCCCAAGGCCTGCAGTCGGCGGGCCATTCCCAGCGCGCTGCATGGGACAGTTATTTGAAATTCAGATTTCATTATCTATAAATAAAGCTCCATTGGAACGCAGCCCATCCATTCCCGTTTTATTTATGGCTGCTTTCATGCTGCTAGGGCAGAGTTGAGTAGTTGCTGCAGAGACCACGTGGCCTGTAAAGCCTAAATTACCTACTGTCTGGTCCTTCACGGAGAGTATTCGCTGACCCCCCCAGTGTAGACCAAGGGATTTCCTTGAATGCTTTATCAGAGAGAGTAAAGTCGGCAGCACGTTAAGTATTTTGCCAAGGAGGAAATGAGGTTTAGAGAAGTGTTACAACTAACCAGTGATAGAGTTTGGACTCAGGCCTGCCTGACCCTGTGGCCTAAGTTCTGAAGGTCTAATGTTGGGCAACTCACGTAACCTCTGTAAACCTCAGTTTCCTCCTTTGAAAGGTAGATGACTTCTCGAGGTCTTTTAAAATCCCAGTATAGGTTGGTCATGTTGTATTAAAACAAAACCTTTAATTCATTCAGAATTCTCCTCAGTTGGTGAAGATGTTTTCTTTGCTGTGTAGAAAATAAAGCAGTTAATTGCCTTTTCGCTTTTTCTGTTCTGATGATCACCTGCATGAATTAGCTTTCTCCCTGTGTCCACCCATGTCACATGGAACATGCAGCTGGGTCATGGTGTGGATCAGAAGTCCACACTCAAAGCATCAGCTGTGTATTTGACTTTTTAATGATTAAAGGAATCTTGTTAAACATATCCCTTTTTTTTGCCATTTATAAAAATCTCTACAGCTTACATTAATATTTGAACAATTCCCATGTCAATGAATACTCCTATTGAGCAAATACATCTACATATCTTTAGGTTAAAAAAAAAAATCACACATAATTAGCAACTTACCAAGCTAATACTTACCACGCTTACCCTTCCTCACCTACCCAGACCCAAATGCACCTGGTAGCTGGAGTTCAAATTCTCATAAAAAACATTTCAAGTCAGATATCAATTCCTCTACTGTTTATGAGATTGCCTGGCATGGAGATGCCTAAACCTGGTGTGTTTTTAATTTAGGATGTATTGGCAATTAAAGACCTTTTTTATATATCTTTATCAATAATGTAACTGTCTATGTCTGTTCACTGAAGATTAGGTAGTTTACAAAAGTCTCTTCTTTCAGAGAAACTGAGAGAGAAAGTAAGTTCGTGCACAGGCACGCACATAAAGTAATAGGAGGGAGATAGTGGAGAAGAGACGATTCTTCCCCTGGCTCAGCAGTGGGATGAGCGTGATCGGGAAACAGAACAGTATCAGCCTTTGATGTTGCCGCAAAACACAAATCCACGTGTTCCGGGCAGGCGGAACTAACCGGCCACAGTCCATACACCAGTGCGGGGATGTGAGGAGGGGGCACATATGCAAACTTGTAAGATCTGGCCATTAAGTCAGTACCCTCTGACAGGGGTGAGAGAACAACATAGCATATGTCTTCACCTTGAATCATCAGAACCTTCCTCTAAAATTAGACCAGCGAATCGTGAATGTAAATCTGTCCTTCAATTGCTAAGCTCTGGTCTCCCACGCCCCCTTCTCTTCCCTAGCTACGCCCTGTCCTGTGAGATTGAAGCAGCTCCGGACACCAGTGCCACCTCGCCCAAGCCTCGGAAGAGCATGGTGAAGAGGCTCAGCCTGTGAGTGTCACTCAGGGGCCGGGGGCGCCTGGAGGGGACCAGGCAGAGTCAGGGAGAGGAAGCTTATTCAACGCAGTTCCCCTGAGCCAGGGCAGAAGTGAGGAACAATTCACTCACTTGTTAGGTAGCTTCTCTCTTTGTCATGAGAATGCATTCATTCCTCCCCACGGTGCCTTGAACCCTGTCACCTCTTGTCGAGAGCCATCTAGCAGCCCCCTTCCTAGCTTCCGGCCCGCCCCTGGCCCAGCAGTCCGTTCTCCACCAGAGTCTGGAGGTCTCGTAAAATGCACAGCAGGCTGTTTTATTTCCTTGCTGAAAATGCCCCAATGTTTTTATTTTCATAGCACCTGAACTCCTTATCCTGTACTAGGCCCTGCACCCTCTTCCCCAACCTCTGACCTCTGTCCCCTCATCTGACACCCCACCTCGTGCCCTGGCCTTCCAGCCGCCCTGCAGCCACAGCAGGCTCGTTCGGGGCCTTTGCAGTAGCTGCTCCTTTGGCCTGGCGTGCTCTTCCTCCCTGGTCAGTGTTGGCAAAATGTTTCCTCCCGAGGGAGCGCCCTCTCCGGCGCAGCCGCCTGCCCCATCACTGCCAGTCATTCTGGCTCCTGCCTCCAGTGGTTACAGTCCGCCAGCTGAAGGCAGGAACCTTGTCCTTTGTGTTCGTGGCGGTCTGCTCCGCTCAGCGCCAGGCAGAGTGGGGGCCTCCATAGCTCTCTTCATACGCCTGCCTCCTTTTGAGTAAAGTCCGGAGCCCCGGCAGTGGCCCCAGGCGCGGCCGCCTGTCCCGCATGAACCGTCTGTCCTCTTTCCTGCTCACTCTACTCCGCGTGCTCCAGCCGCCCAGGCCTCCCTTTCCCTTGAGGACACGCACCTGTGTCTCACCTTTTGTGTGATACACCTGCTTTGGCCAGGGACAAGTGAGAACAGTGACTGGGGCATTGGAGAGCTCTTTCATGGCAGAGTGACTTAGTGCGCAAATTTCTGGTCTGTCGCTGGTGAGACAAGGTTGGTAACGAGCACCTCAGAGGGCTGTTGTCAAGGCGGTCGGGGTCGCCACGCTCCAGAACAGCGCCTCGCTCTCAGTGGGTGCCTGCGGGCTCCCGTCACTTTTTATCAAACACTTCTCTGTTGCTACTTTTTGAATCTTTATTTTTGTGGCGGAGGGTGGGGGGGGGGGGGGGGTCAGGATTCTGAGTGCTTTTTTATGAGTGTTTGATTCCTCCCTGCGCTGTCTCTCCACCGACCTCAGTGAGTCGTACTAAGGCAGGGCTGGCACAGGAACTTGGATATTGCCATTTCCCCAGTGTCACACAGAGGCCCTTCCTGGGCAGGGACGGCGTGATCTCCTGCTCTCAGAGGCTGCCCAGGCTTCTTCCTCCCTGATACCTGTCAGCTGATACAGGGCTTTTGAGGATTAGGTTGGAGCACGTGATTTTATAGGAAGCATTTTTATGGTAATCCTGATGTCTCGCCCAACCCCTTTCTTGCCGAGAGGTCTCCTAGGTCCTAGGGCCTCCTGAGTGCGAGCTTCATGAGCGTTTGGATTCACCTCTATGGAATTTTCCGCAGTATCTTGCTCTCTTCTCATTGCTGCAATCACGGGGGGAGAACGAGCTCCCCTGTGAGGTAACACGAAGGCCTGACTGAGCCGGGTCAGCCGGTGAGGTCGGCGCCTGCCCAGGGAGTCGGGCTCCCCGAGCGGGGCATGGAGGAACGCAGGGCCGCTCGGGGGTCCTCTCTGCATCGCGAAGCCCGGGGGGCTTCTGGGCAGTCCGAGGTCAGCACAGGTCGGTCTTGTGCTACGCGCCACCAGCCTTGCCACTTGCTTTTCTTTCCCTGTGCTCAGGCAGTCGCCACTGCCCACTGTTTCTTTTATATAACTGCTTCTCTGGTGCCCTCTGCAACCCAAACGCCCATGTACACTGTGCTGGGTGCTCTCGCGCCTGTGTCCTGTCTCTGCGCCGCCTCTGGCCAGTGCGCCGCCTCTGCGAGGACGCTTGGGGAAGTCCTGGAGAGGTGGGCCCGCGGGGTAGGGAGCCCTGCACACGCGCGGTGGGCACTCCATGCACTTCTCTCGCGAGTGGAATCTTGTCAAGAGGCTCGAGGTGAATCCTTGGAATCTGTGGTTGAGTTTGAACACTTACCATGAATAAAAGAGGTCACAGGTCCCCATCTTGTTTCTTGTATTTGCGTGTTTGCATGTACTTTCAAAAGATTTTATGACCTTAGCATTTTTACAAATATGGAAAATGTACTTTTTTTGCTCTCCCTACATATAATGATCCTTTTACTCAAAGAGATTGGAAGGCATTTGGAGCCTTCAGGGGAAGGGGTGCCTTGTTTGAAGATCAGAGATGCCTAGTATTGAATTAGAATTAACCTTTACAAAGCAGAACGACCTCATTAAATTGCACAGCTGGAAAAACCTTTGGTCTTTGAACAATGTAATTCTAAGCTAGAGTCTCAGACAATGGGCCGAGGAAGGCACTGGAAGGTCTACCTTGTAATTCATGGAGGCATAAGATGGCAGCATTATTTTCTCTCCTGTGACTTGTGATTAAAGTTTAGCTCTTTCCTCTGCAGCCCCAGAAGTTCTTGGAGGTCCAAGAAAGGAAGTGGTGTGGAATATGGGGCAGGAGGGGTGGAGATGAGGCAGAAGAAAGGATGCTTCAGCTCTTGGAGTCTGCGCTTATAATTCCTAAAATATTTAATAAAAATCAAGACCATCCTCATTGCTTCTGTTATTTTGTACAGTCAGTGCTTGTTTGAGAATGTGCCATTTCTTCTTGCTTCTTACTCCTTCCCTCTTTTAACCACTTCTTTGCATGTGGTTTGTTCATGGTAAAGCCTGTCAGTCTTTGTTTGAGAAAGTATTTTACCCTCAGTCTTGGAATTAGATGGGTATAGAATTTGAGAATGACTGTTATTTTTACTTGGCACTTTGGAGATATTGTTCCATGTCTTCTGACTTATGTGGTTGCCTTTAAGATGTCTGATATCTGTTTGATTGCTGTTCCTTTGTATTATTCCCCCCACCCTGTTGTTTTTAAGAATTTATTTTGTCTTTTATATATTATTGTGCAGTTTAAATGAGGGTCAAGTGTCATTTATCCCATTCTAGATGTGGTTCCTGGATCTGAGGATCCATGTGGCTTGTTAGTTCTGGAACCTTCTTAGCCACCATCTCTTCAGATGTGGCCCCCCTTCCATTCTCTCAGCCCCTGCTGGAACTCTTCTCACACACATGTGGGCATTTCTTCCGCTGTTCTCTGTGTCTTTTAACCTACCTTATTTTCCATGTCTTCATATTTTGATGCTGATTTCTGAGAATTTTCTTCAGATCTATCATCTAGTACACACTTCTTCTCTTCAACACTTATTTAATCCTTGTGCTGAGTTTTTAATTTAAACCACTGCATTTTTTTTACTCTAGAAGTGAAATTTTTTTCAAATTACATTTGCTGGAGTATCTTGCTCTTAACTCCTGTTCAGTTTCTTTTATCTTTAATATTTTAAAAACACTTATTTTATAGGTTGACCCCTGGTAGACACTCAAATATTTGTTGGATGAATGAATAAATTATTAGTTTTTTCTTTGACAGCTCTTGTATCTGAAGTTCTTAGGAGTCTAAACCTGCTACATATTATACTTGTTGACTCTCTCTTTGGGTAGGATATTTTCTTGTATTTTATAATTTTGTATTGTAAACTCATTTTTATCAGGTAACTAATTCTCTGCAGCCTGGGTCAAAGGTATATTTCTCCAGAAAGGTGTTTTTTTGTTTTGTTTTGTTTTTTTTAATCTAGCTTCCTCAGCTGTATCACCAGCCTGGAGCCCCTAGGCCACTTGGGTAGCAAATCTGAGTGAGGTGCTCACTGAGATCGTACGTGATTTCTGGAGAGACATTTTTCTTCACCCACAGTCAGGTGAAGACAGAGAAGTGGCCCTGTTATCTTCCCCCGACAATAGGAAGATACTTCTGTAGCCCATCTTTTTACAGGGGTACAGCCCTTTGAGGGTCTTAGCTCGATATAAGGGGTCTCAGTTCCAACCCCCTATGTTATGTAGACAGCAGCCCCTCATCTTTGAGGCCTGTGTTTGTGTTAAAATCCATGTCCCTAGTTTGCCAAGATTGGCACTTCCCACTCCCCATCCAGAGCAGCTGCAGAATTACCTCACATACTTCTGGTTTTCAGTTTTCTTTTCCTTTCAGGCCTGCAGGGGCTTTCCTTACTATCTTGCCGAACTTTAAAAAGATTTTTGAATGTTTCTTATCTAGTTGTTGGTAGCGAAGAGATTGTGGTCATTTCAGTTCACCAGATGGCAGGCAACAGGACCTCCCTCCGTGGTTCAGCTCAGTGCCAGCCTTCTTCAGCCTCATGGAGTTCATTTTATGACGAGATTCTGATCCTGCCAAAGTGGCCCATAGACTGTTAAAAAAGTAGAGAACCCTTGACCTAGAAAGACTTCAGATTAATAGGGCCCTTTATTCAGCTAAGCAGTCTGTGTGTTCTTTGAGGCTGGAAATAATCTATTGAGACAAGATGTTTACTGTGATCTGTTAGAAACTTTGTAGCAAATGTTCCCCTAAACTAACAATGACAGGGCACACAAGATTGAGAAAACATCAAGGACGTAACACAAAAATGCAGGGACCCACTGAAGTAAGGCCTGCTTGAGTGTGGTTGGTAGGGTTAACAGTAGGGGTGTAATAATTTATAGATTTAATTTGAACATTCCACCTAAAATTTCATATGGTGTGCTACAGAACAACATGCTTATGATTTTGTAATAAAGGTTTTTGTACTAAAAATGGGGCGTTATGTGTGCTGGACCCCGTATTTGCTCAGTCATGGATTCCAGATCTGCACGAGCCTGAACGCCCGGCCTCGTGTTTCCTGCAGGCTGTTTCTGGGGTCGGACATCATCACCAGTAGCACCCCCACCAAGGAGCAGCCCAAGTCCACTGCCAGCGGGAGCTCTGGCGAGAGCATGGACTCCGTCAGCGTGTCGTCCTGCGAGTCGAACCACTCGGAGGCCGAGGAGGGATCCATCACGCCCATGGACACGCCCGAGGAGCCTCAGAAAAAGGTGCGCCGCCCCGCCCCCTCAGTCCAGTTCAGACCCGAGGATGCCTGCTGTCAGGTTTATCTCGCTACAGGATTTCGAAAGTCATGTTTTTCAGAGGCATCAAGAGCAAAGTTCTGTCTGGGGACCCGTTCCCTGTGGATTCAGGTCTAAAAGCAGTGAGCATGCTGGTCCGTTCCCCGAGCTTTTGCGGTGTTGCTCTGAACCCACATGCAGAGGCAGCTGAAGGATTGTAAGCTGCAACATGGGCTCCACTTCACTGAGGAAACGTGGGATTTTCTTCCACAGAGATGTGTCAGCTTCTTGATGTCATGCCCTGTCTCAGTCAAGCTTTTACCACAATCCTGTCATAACGCAAACCACTTCAAAACTCCGTGCTTAGAACGGCAGCCGCTCCTTCTCTGTCAGGCACTGAAGGCCGGTCCATTGGGGCTGGGCCGGCCGCGCCCTGCCCTGGGTTGCGGCCAGGGCTGCTCTAACTTCTGTACTTTCTGGAGCGACGGGCTCCCCGGGGCACGCTCTGAGCGCGCCAAGGTGGATGAACCGGAGGGCAGCCCCAGTCCCATCAGCGCGGAGTGAGCCTTCGCCTGGGTCGCGCATACCAACATTTTATTGGCCCAAGAAAATCATGTGACCAAGTCCCACGCAAATTAACGAGGCAGGGGACCATATTCTACTTGTAGTGGGAGAAGCTGTGGAGTCACAGGGCAAAGGGCATGGCTGCAGAGGCGGGCAAAGAGTTAGTCACAGTGACACAATCTTCCACATCCCCCAAAAAGGAAAGTGATGAGAGGCGATAAAAGAATTCCCATAGAGTTTCCATTTCCCACACTGCATAAAGAAATGAAAAGAAAGCAAAAGATCTGTCTTAATCTTCTGTGCACATCTGCTTCAGTGGTTAGTTGCTGAGCTAGGATCAAAGACGGCAACTATGACGTGACTAGAATTTACACCATGTGGGGAGGTTTTTGGCCACCAAACTTGCTGTGTAAGTGACTTCTGGCCCTTTGGTTATGCCAGGGCCAGAGGGGCAGAGTGTTGGAAACAGTCCCTTCATTTTGTTTACCTGCATTTTGCAAAGGGACCTGTGTGCTGTTTCACATCCTGTCACAAACAGCAGCAGCGGCAGCCTGGGAATCCTCAGGGGACCGCATCCCAGAGCAGCCAGTGCAGGGAGGCCACCCTGCTCAGGACCCTCAGGCCGAGATGAGTCAGGTGCTGTCCCAGCTGGATTTGTCCACTTTCTCTTTTGAAACCCAGGGGACATTTTCTTTATTTTAAGGAAGATCTCCTTAGACACCTGCAGCCATTTTCCAGGTGTTTTTCCTAAGCCAGGGGGCGTGATCATTTTCCGTGGCCTTGACATGAGGCATTGAATCTGTCAAAAGGTGAGGTCTCATTATTTGCCTTTGACAGGCCCTGCTGCTTCACTCCCCAGATCACGATTTCCGAACATTTATTCTCACGCTTGCTCCTCAGAGGAAATTCTCATTAAGAATTTGGGGGCTCCTCGGGCGGCCTGTTCAGAGCTGCTGTCGCCCAGTTTTATCTTCAAGGCTTTAACCTTAAATAATTATGTCATTAAAGTCATGGGAAATCTAGCAAAGGAAAATGGATTTGTATGAAGGAGAAAGAAGGTGATAAATCTGAACTAGTAATTGGGACACGGACCCTCTTGGCTGCTGTGCGGTGCACGTGCAAGCAACGCAACAGGCTGTTCGTTACCCGCCATCAGTCAGCCCGCCCTCGGGCTGAGCCACTAGTTGATTCACTTGGGAACGTAACGGAAAAAGTAACTAAACCATATTACAGTAGAGCCACAGTTATTAGACTCTGGCATTTCAGAGCTGAAACATCAGCTTGCTGGGCTTTAATGAAACTAATCATGAAGTAGAATTTAACATATAGTTATGCCATAGGAAGAAGTTCATGGGAAATACAGTGGAGTAGACTCCATTTTTCTTGGAAGCCAGGTAATCAGAAAACTAAATTTCTATGCTCTGTTTCCATGGAAAGGTAGACTGGTGTGAAGGCAATTAATGTTATTTATTTTTTAAATGACTTCCAGATTATTTGATAGGATTAAGTGGTATAGTTGACTTAACTCATTCTGAGAAATTATTGAAACACCTACTAATATTTAAAATGATTCAATTTAATGACTTCTTGGAACACCACCGAGTGAGTTTGGAGCATCCTGTTTCCTCGGTAATTGGTATTGCACATATGAAAAATATGTGCAATCAGAAATATGTTCATCAGAAAGCACATTTAGTATAGCACCCCATTCCTTAATTATCCTTGATATGGTAAACAACTTGAAAACGTGTCCTTTGGTTCTAGAAGCAAATGTGGAAAGTGGTAGAGCCGCCCACGGGCCGTGAGCCCTTGGGCAAGTCGCTATTCTCTGACTTTTCCTTCCCTTGTCTTTCCAATGCTCTGTGTTTTGCTCACTAGATGTATGAAAGCTCATCCCAAACCTCACAGTGATAAATACCCCCGAGGTAACGGGCCACTGTGTCCGTTCATTCACCACAATACCATCGGCTGCAGATTGGGCCTTCGCTACGCCTGCGCTCCGCGCACTGGCCGCGGGAGCCAGGGAGCTTGGGAGCACGGCCAGCTGGCGCTGCCCCAGTTCTCTCTCTGGCCTCAGGAAAGGGAACCCAGCTGTGGAAAGGGAACCGGCCCCTAGTCCCCTGGGGCCTTTTCAGAACTGACATTTCCCGCAGAGCTGTATATGGTGGTCCCACCTTAGAGTGTTGTAAAAGTATCAACATTTCTCTCCTGCTACAAAGTCTGATTGGGAGGTGGAGTCAGGCTAGAAATGCTGTTGGTGGGAGGTCAGGCATCATTCCCGCTCAGGGCAAGTGGGACTGGATAAACCGTCAGTAAGGCTTTCTTTCCTCCTGCTCTGGAAGTTTCCAGCTTCCTTTGGAGCCCATGTTGCATCTAGTTTCTGGTGTTTGCTGCCATCTGCTGGTTCACTTCCCTCAGAGCAGCTAATAACTGAGGAATGAGAGGACCCCCCTGCCTCACGCAGATGTAGGGTGATCAGGTCAAGCGCTGAGTCCCTGATAGGCATCTGCCATGGGGGTGCCTACCCCAGAGACAAGATGCATGTGCACTGTGGGCTGCATGGAGGGAATCACTGAAATGCGTTAGTCTCAGCAACTCTGTTTTGCAAATGGTGACCTGCGCTGTTGGCCAAGATTCTAACAGTTCTGTTTTCTTCTGGGGTATGCTTGTTCCTCCAGCTCTCCGAGTCGTCCTCATCGTGTTCCTCCATCCACTCCATGGACACAAACTCCTCAGGGATGTCGTCCTTAATCAACCCCCTCTCCTCCCCTCCGCCCGGCAACAACAACCCTAAAATCCACAAGCGCTCCGTCTCTGTGACTTCCATTACCTCGGCAGTGCCGCCTCCCGTTTACAACCAGCAGCTCGAAGACACCTGCATAATCCGCATCAGCGTGGAGGACAACAACGGCAACATGTACAAGAGCATCATGGTGAGGCACTCAGACCGACGCCCTGAAACGCGTGCCCTGTGGCATATGCGTACACACTCACACCAAATGAGTATGTGCCAACTGATAAGTCCCCAGATCTGCCCGGGCACGCACCAATAATACACGCAGATACATGCCTGCTCACCATCAGTGCATGCAGAGGATACAATTTACATCTTAATATTTGCCAAAGTTTATTCCTCCAGGTCAGGGTCACCCTTTCCAAAACTGTCCTCTTGGAGGACCGTGTGATGGATTCCAGGGGAGGCGCCCCTGCTGCGCCCCCTCTCGGGAGCCTCTCTGTGGAATTCCCTGTCTGGGTTTGTAAATGATTGCCACGCAGTCTTAGCAATGCCCTCCAGTGGTGAATTATTTTATTTTTATTTTTTAGTCATTTGGAATCCAGCTCAGTAAAGTGGATGATCAGGTTGGAAATACAGTTTGAGTCTACAACAAACTACTGTATTTTGCTGTGTATAATGCGCAGTTTTTTGCCCAAGTTTTTGAGGGAAAGCTAAGGGTATGTATTATACATGGGTGATACTAATTCTGTATCCATATAAATATTTTTAATTCTTTTATTTATGCTAAGGCGTTAAAAGTATAACTCTAGAAAGCAATAATGATATCTGTATGCATTAACACCCTAGAACACAATCATTGGTTTTACTTCTAAATAAGCACAAAATTGAATTAAAAATTAAAATGAAAGATTTTTTTTCTTGAAAGTTTGGGCCAAAAACGTGGGTGTGCCCTATACGTGGGAGCACGTTATACACAGTAAAATACAGTGTGTTCACAAACAAATGAGACTGAACCTTTTGAGCTTTTTGTAAAAACCGTGTGTTTTTGAGCACAGTGCTGGAAGTTTTGGCTAACGGCAGCCTTTTGGAGTGGAGAGCCTCTCCTGGTGTGTGCATGTGTGTAAGGTCTGCTGTGCTTATCACAAGAACAGGCTCTTCAGCTTATAGGACATACTGCATATTGAAAAGCAGATTCCTCTTCACAGTAAAATCCCACAGTAAGTCCGAGATCTCATCTCTACCACTCGTCTGCTTTGAGGGCACTTTGAGTGCTTATGAGCTCAGCTTGGAATAAGATGCAGGGATGCGGAGGCAGCTATCGTCTAACGCTATGAAGAAAAGCTTTACTAAAGCATGCGTCAAGTCAACAAAGTATTTCTTCAACTCAGTTGTGTACTAGTCATTGGACGAGGATTTGGGGATAGGGAGGGGAGTGAGACATTTCTGTCTTTGAAGAACTTATCAAAAGGGAGATTAAAAGCATTTTTCAGCATATTCTAAATACTCTAGTGGAGATCAGACCAGACCGTAAAGGGCCTGAGGCGCACAGGAGGGAGTTCGTGTCTGGCCCACCGGCACGATGGTCTTATCGGAGGTTTTTAAGTCACGATCGGATCCAGTCATTAGAAAAGTACTGGCAATTGCGGGGTCTCGCGGCTGGAGTACAGGGGCGAGGCTGGAGGGAAGCAGTTAGGAAGCCACCGTCACTTTCCCCATAAGAGACGATGAAGGTTTGTATAATGGCCATGTGATTGGAGACAGTATGGATTTAAAAAAGATTTTTATCCAGTATAATTATAGAATCCATTCGTTCAGTTATCAACAATTTGGTCACTGTCGTGGGGGATGGGGCAAAGGGAGAGCTCAAGGCTGTCCAGGCAGCCTGGGGACTGCTGGTCCTGTCACGTGAGATAGGACCTGCTGGAAGAGGAGGTTTGGGGGGCATTGAAATTGGAGGTACCAGTAGGATACCCACATGGCATTGTCTAGTAGATAGTCAGAAGTATGGGTTGGCACTAGAGTTGAATACTGGGCGCCATCCAGCCCTATTGGGTGGATACTTATGGGGGGAGCGAGTGTAGGCTGAGACAGAACTCGGTGGTAGTGGGGGAGGGGCTGATCAAGGAGGCCGAGGCCATCACGTTGTCACTGTATTTTCAGCGTGGTTTATTCACATGGGTCCTTTTACACATGCCTGTCAGTGGAGTCAGTGTCACCTATGTGACTCTAGGGCGTCTCTGAACCAAAAGGGACTAAGCACTGACATGTGCAACAATCAACGTGGGTGAAACTCTTAAAATATCACATTAAACCAAAAAAACGAGACAGAAGATTACATCCTGTAGGAGTCTATTCATTCAAAAACAGGCTGAACCAACTTGTGGTGTTAGAAAACGAACCTCAGGGAAGGGGCGCAGGGAATTGTTTCATTTCCTGTTTCGGATGCGTGAAGGTGACACCCAAGCATTGCTTAGTGCAGCGCCACTCAGTGGGGCAGCCACTAAGCCACATGTGGTGACTAAGTATTTGAAATGGGAATAGTCCAAATCGACTATTTGACTATTTGGAGATGTGCTGTAAGTGTGAAATACACACCAGATTTTGAAGGCTTAGTACAAAAAAAGAATGTGCAGTATCTCATCAGTAATTTTTATATCGATTATATGCTGAAATAATACTTTGGATATATTGGATTAAATAATACATTATTAAAATTTAATCTTTTATAACACTTTTGTAATGTGGCTACTAGATATTTAAAATTACAAATGAGGCTCACATTTTGTGTATCTGCTGGACGGTGCTCGTTCAGTATATCAACATACAGCTGGGTGATTGAGCTGTTAATACTAACTGTGAGCCTCAGCTTCCCCTGTAGCTTTTAGGGTACAAGGTATTAAGCACTTGAGGAAAGCTGTTGGCTGTCCCATCCTCGTTCGGACACACCTGGGGAAGGGGAAGGCAAAGAAGACAAGGGTAGCCAGGCTTTCTCCTTGACTAGGTGTCAAGTTGACAACTGGCCATTAACCATCTTAGCCCCACATGCCACCCCCTCCGGGTGGCGTCCTTTCTCCTTTGGCTTCATGCTCCTTGTTCACTTGGATTCAGCTGCCGGAGTCTTTCCTATAGACCATCAAACAACATATTTTCCTCCTTTAAAATGTTGCATCCCCTTACTTCTCCCTTGTAAATGGATATGCCAGATGTTTTAGTTATGGACAGATGTGCAAGGTCTTTTTATGCCCACAGGGACCCGTTGTAATGCATTGTGTTTATTGAATCACAAACACCAGCTGCTGCCCCCAACTGGAGGGAGACAGCTGGGCCCCCCCCCACCCCATCCCCTGTCCCCAGGCTCCCACTGACACTGTTTTCTGGAGGTCTTCGGGCTTCTTTGTTTTGGGGTTGTTTTTTTTTTGTGGCTGTGTCTCTTTTTACTGCCTGGTGAGAACAGCCTTTATTTTAAAGTAAGAATAATTTGTGTTTTCATTTTCCTTCTTTCATACTTAAAGAAATCGCCCAAGGGATGGTACATAAGTCAGCCCCCTGTTCCTGAGCACCTGCAACTAGGTGGCTGATGGGCAGGGATCAAGGAGGGCGAAGTCAGGATTGGTGGTGAGGGGAAACATACTTTTAAAAAATGTTAGATTTATTATTTTTAAACATTTAGAAGCTGATTTTTATTGAGGCATAATTTACAAACAACTACACACATGGACCTTGTGTTCCAGTCTTTGGGCTTTAATAACTTTACCCCTACCTCTACTTGTCTGTCTGTGTGTGTGTCTATTTTTATATATACGACCATCACTCCAAATCTAGATAAAGAACCTTCTTTTGTCCTTCTAAAAATTCCTTTGTGCTCCTTCCCATCAATCCAATCCCCTCTTAACCTGGTTAAGGTTAATTAAGGTTAGTTTCCTCATGCCACAGGTTAGTTTGGCCTGTTTTTAAAAGAACTGTCTCCTGCAGCAATCTTTTGTGCCTGGCTGCTTTGTCTCAGCATGATGTTTTAGAGATCTCTTCCCAATATTGCGTGTATCAGTGCTTAAAGTCCTTTAATCTGCTGATTAGTGTTCTGTTGGGAACATACTATAACTCCTTTACCCATTCCCTTTTCTCCTGTTGATGGAGATGCAGGTTGATTCCAGTTTTTAGCTATTAGGAATAAATCTGCTGGGAGCATTTGTGTACAAGTCCTCTTGTGGATGTATGTTTTCACTTCTCTTGGTAATACCTAGGTGAAGGATTGCCGGGTCATAGTGTCACTTGTGTTTTTTGAAATGGTTGGCGTGCAGAACTGGCCACTTCTGACCCCAGGTTGTAACCAGTGCCATAGCAGCAGTTCAACAGGCAAGGATAATTTTGGTCCCACCCTGAAAATACTCTACATTTTTCACAGTACCCTCATGTGTTTTCTTTCATTGGAACCTCAGCCGGTGAGAGAGAGATGCAAGGTGTGCCTTCTCAATATTTAAATGGGGAAGGCACAGTGACTCTGAGACAGTAGGTGACTGACAGTAGATGACCCATCATCCTTTGACGACGGAGGCCCCCTCTCCTGGGAGGCACGAGACAGCAAGAATAGGAGGGTCAGGAGAACTCTTTGGGGAAAGATGACGCTAAATGCCTTGCCCACCACTTCCTTGCCTTTGCAGCTGACGAGCCAGGACAAAACCCCCGCGGTGATCCAGAGGGCCATGCTGAAGCACAACCTGGACTCGGACCCGGCCGAGGAGTACGAGCTGGTGCAGGTCATCTCGGAGGACAAAGGTGGGCGCGCGAGCCTTCTCGCCTCCTCCCAGCAGGTCGCCCTGGCTCTAGAAGACAGAAAATGGATGCAGCACCTTTTTTTTTTCTTTTAATGGAACCAAGCGGGGTTTTTGATTTGCAAAGGTGGAGCTGTGTGGATAGTCGCGCCATCGCCTTCCCTGTAGAATTAAGTGTCTCGGGCTGCTTCCCGATCCAATAACCCTTCTTACGCCTACAGTTTTGCTGAGAATTCCTGCTGCCCATTCTTTGTAAACATCTCATCCCCTGTCAGGTCTCTCCCTGAGTCAGGAGTGGGGTGCCTGGGGGTTCTGTTGGGTCTTGGCAGGTGGCCACGCACCTCCTTTACCCAGTGACATGTGACTGAGCTGAGTGTGGACCTGAACTGTAGCAGTTGCTGTAATCATTTCTCGTTGTTTCAGTTCATTATTTCCGAGAGGCTTATAAGTTTGTCTTTCATTTTATCTTTATTCGTAATTAACTTCAAATAACAAAGTCTTCTAACATGGGAACCTGACGGGACTTTAGATCACACTTCATAGACAAAGAACTGGTGACCTGTGAAGTGCCTCTGTCCGCCTAGAACCTGTTCCTCAAAGAAATTCCTTTTATGGAAACTCTGGGCAAAGAGTCACCCTGAGGAACCTACTTGCTAATCTGAATCGGGGTTGTGTTTGCTGAGAGGAGGAGACAAGGTGGTAGACAACTCTCTCTATACCTTGTCACATCATAGTGACTCAGTCAGAATGAGTCTCATTTCCAAGGACAGAAGGACCCAGAGGAGAGTAGCCACACTTGGTAGTACCCTTCCCCAGGGATGAAAGATGGTGGCCTCGGAGAAAATCCTCTGTCACCTACCCCTTGGAAATGTTCTCTTTCATTCAGCTGAGCGCTGGCTTGCCGGCACACCTCCCTCAGTTATAAGGTATATTTTGGTGTAGTTTCAATTTAAATCATAAGCCTGAAACGAGAGCTCTTGAGTTTTACCACGTGGCTGACAAAAAGCACTCAGGTGACGCTGGTGGGTCTGAGGTCCAGGAGCCCCGAGGTGCGGCCCGGCCGGCGATGTTTACCACAGCGAGGCCCCGGGTGGGCCTCGGTGCTTAGTTAAACGGGACTGTGTGGGTGAGAGACTGGAGACTCTTTAAGGGAGTTATTCTTTATGAGTCACGTAGAAGGTGATTGCATTAATCTTGCAGTTGAATCTCAGCGTTTGAAGTTAACACAGGTGGATTTCACCCGGTTCGGCAATCAGGTGCCCCCACGGGTGGCCTCCCATCTCCTCCGCTGCAGAGCCGGGCTTGCACGTTTTACCTCCCATAGTCCCCCTTTGGGTTTTCAGATACCCACTACCCTGAGTGCTCAGTAGCATTTACCTTATTTTAAAAGTTAGAGTGAGTGAAAATAACTGCTTGATAATTTATATCACACTTGGAATACTCCTTGTTCAGAAATTGTAGCTATCTACTTGGAAATCATTGAAGGAGACAATTGCTCAAATGTTAACAGATATATACTGTCTTAATGGAATGCTGTTTAATATCAAAATGCAGGCTCTTGATGAAGCAGGGCCTCAGAAGGTATACAATACTGGTTGGATTAGGGATTACCTCCAAAAGTGTTCTGATATTCCAAGTAAAGAGTTCTGGAAAACACTGTAGATTTTCTACTTTCCCCTCTTGTCCATGGATCCTCTTAGTCCCTGAGAAAAGCCGCATTTGGGAGTAGAAAATAGACTATGGAGGAAGGAGGCCTAGGGTCTAGTCCCATTCTGTCATGACTAGATGTGACCTTGGGAATGTCATTTAAATTCACTTGGGCTTTGTCTCCTACAGAACTCTCTTCCAGTTAAAACATTCTGCATGTTCATGAGTTTTATTTCTGAGATCATATTTGCACTTAGTGTTTTGTTTTATTTTTTTTTAATGGGGATTAAGAATTGGAGGAACCTGGTATTTTTTGTTTCTGTTTTTGTTTTTAGTGTGGGGGGGGTGGGGACAGTTGGTCACTGTCTGGTTCACGTCACATTCCAGGGACGGGGCAGGGGGCCACAGCCGTAGCCGTGTTTCTGGGCCGACTCGCCCCCTGCCCCTGGCAGTGCTGGGCTGACCTGCACAGGCTGACTGCCTCTCTTCACTTGTCTTTTCTAGAGCTCGTCATCCCAGACTCGGCAAACGTCTTTTATGCCATGAACAGCCAAGTGAACTTTGACTTCATTTTACGCAAAAAGAACTCCACGGAAGACCAAGTGAAACTGCGCAGCCGCACCAGCCTGACCTTGCCCAGGACAGCTAAGCGGGGCTGCTGGAGCAACAGGCACAGCAAAATCACCCTCTGAAGGGCGCACCATGGCCCCTTGCTTGCCCGCAGTGGCAGCGTGGGGCCGAGGACAGGCCGCGGGGACCGCAGCTACCGTCCAGTGTTAGAGGGTCATCAGTGACGTCAGCAGATATTTATTGAGCACCTGTGGTGTGCAAGGCGTTGTGGGGAAATCAGAGGTGAATTTGACATGAAAAAGAAGAACGATTCACTGATTCTCTTTGACCTGAGGCTGAAATGCAAAATTATCCACATTTATAAGTATATTACACATATTTGGTATGTATGTGTATATATAAAAATATAGGAGGGATTTGGATATTCTGGACTATTGAAAAAACAAATTTGCACAATGGCCTGGGAAGCTGAGGTCACTTTCTACAGGGAAATAGAAGGAGTTGAGAACCTGGTTTCCTACCTGCCAAGTAAGTGGATCCAGTCCTGGGAATACAGAGTGTCCTTTGTGCCAGTATTATGCGAAGCCCAAACTGTGTTTATAAAGGGAGAGGACGAATTTCTCAGTCAAGTGCCGCCAGGAGGGAACAACTGCAGAGGCGGGAAGTGCCACGGGCTCCATGAAAGGCCGCCGTGGAAAGGGCTTGGATGAGCCCGTGGCTTCCGGCCTCCGCAGCACCCCAGCCTCCTGCTGCCGCAGGGAGGTGGGGAGGGGCCTCAGGGGCCCAGCCAGCCCACCTGCCCAGCCGTCCGACACTTCCTGGAATCAACACGAGCCCGCCTTGATTTGTGGCAGCCGCACTGTGTTTCCGTTTCCCCTCAACGAGCCTATCACAATCATAATTGCGCAAATAGCCATGTTCTTGGGTCATATAGCCTTTTCCGATTGCCTTTTTGCATGTAAAACTCCGAGTCTGGAGTCTTGTGCCATCTGGATCGTAGCACCTCTATATTATGTGCAATTTGTTCCTCAGGTGTAGAAAGTCCTACTGCAATTGACTCTTATTTGATCATTTTGAGCCTGTGAAAGATTTCGAAGCAGCGACTGCTCTGTTAACAGCCCCTCGGGAGACGTTCCCTGGCAACAGCAGCGCCCTCTTTTACGTATTGACTTTTGTAGCATTACTGTGCCTCGTCGCGGGGGAGGGATGGGGCTGCATGCAGGTCAGCTCTGGCATTTCCAGAGAGGTCCATCCTTCCAGAGGGATTCAGTGACACTTTTATTTTCAGGTCCTCGCACTTGCTATCACAGTGTCACTCTCGAGTGACTTTTTTCCCCTCTAGTAACACCCTCGCCCTCTCTCTTCCAAATCTGAGCTGTGCTGGGGTTTGAACCAAAAAGCCATATGTGGGATGTTGACGTGTGTGAGAAGCACTTTTCAAATGTTGTCCTTTTTAAGAAAAAAAATTCTCAAAATATCAGTTTTTATTCCCAAAATAAAGAGAACAAAACCACATATGAAGTGTAGCTTGTGACACGGAGCTTCCCCCCGCCCCCCAATCCTGTAAGACAGCTCTCAAAGGTTATGTGAGGTTTATGCTATGTAAATAGCTCCGTGAAGTCTGCGAGGGAGACCGGGGAGCGCGGAGAGGTCGTGGCAGCGGACCAAAGAGCCAGCCGGGAAGCCTTCGCGTTTCCTTTCGCTCTTCCTGCGAGATCCGCCTTGGCATCGCCAGGACCGACGAGATGCAGCTGGTCGAAAAGCACTTTCTTCTGTTGTGAGGCCCGTCCCATTCGTGCTTCTGTGCCTGGAGGAGAGGTGGCCGGGTGCTCAACGTCATGGACACCGAAGTAAATGTGGCCTCAGCCCGAATTTCGTGGTTTGGAGGTCAGAAAGGAAGTAGGGAACCGTCGGCCTCGTTCAGAGCATAGCTACGCAGGCCTGCCCGTGCCCCTGTGCTTGCCCCGTGTATTTATACTGTACATGTAGAGTCTAGATTTATATACTGCAATGTAAAAATATATATATATTTTCCTTTTTTAAAGACAATGGAAATTCCAAGTAGAGACAACATAGCCTCATTTATTTAATGCCACTTTAAATGTCTTCATTGTGTTCCTGGTGGAGAGCCGGGTGCTTTCAGCTGCTTGCATGCTTGTCTTTCTGCGTCTCCATCACCTGTTTACCTTTGGGTTAAACTAATAAACCGGTTGGGACTTGGTTGGCACATGCGGCCAGCCCCAAAGGGACTGTATCTGGACTATTAATCAGGTGGGGTCTGGGTTCCCGACGTGTCGCTAAGCCCTTCAGATGCCCGCGCTGGCCCGGCTGGCGGGAGCGGAGGGCAAATCAGTGGCAGAGTCGGGGGAGGGACCCTCCACCGGCACGTGGCACGAGTCAGACTTGGAGGAATGACATCCATAGGACACTGCAGGCGAGGCGATGCCTTGCTGCCAGGGGTTGTGTGGGGGACACTCTACAGTTAGGTGGGGTCCAGGGTGGCACTCTGACTCCCGTGGCGTCGAGAAGGTTCCTGGATGCCGCTGGGTACCACCTGTGTCAGGAATCCGCTGTGAGAAGGTGTTTCTACTGGGCTTAGCACGGCCGGTTCCCCTGGAATCCCCCTTCCTGAAACACTTCTGGAAGGGGCGGGTTAGGCTGGGCTGAAGCAATAACCCATGGAATCTCAGTAACTGAACACAGTTTTATTTTCCCTTAGGTCATGGTTTCCCTCAGGCCAGGCCGTGCTCCTCAGTGACTTTCCTCTGACAGTGGCTCAGGAACCCGGGCAGCTTCTGTCTGTCAGCTCTGCCATCTCAGGTTCTTTCGAGTCACAGCAACGACAGAACTCAGAACAGTTCCCAGCTGCGTTAGACCAAAGTGGCAATGTCACTTCCCTTCACAGGCCTGGGGGTCAGTCCATGACCCGACCTGAGTGCAGGCGAGGCGGGGATATGCAGGCAGCACGGAGAGTGGTCCGAGGGTGAGCGCTGCTGTCTCCGCCAGAGAGGACAGGCGTCTCCTGAGCCGGGTGCTGAGCTTGTTCCTCTTTCCCCAGCCAGCGAAAAAGGTACCCGGGAGAGACAGCAGCGAGGACTTGAGACGGGGCTGCCCAGAGCAAAGAAGGGTTGGAGAAAGACAAGTGCGCAAACGGAGGGAAATGCCACCGAGAGTAATTTAATTTGGTCTGCGATTAGCCTTAGAGAATTGATGGTTAATTTCCAGCACGCAGTGACCACCGATTTACATGCTTCTGCGTGGGTCCTACTGACTAAAGGAAGAGCGACTTTACAGATGAGTTACGTCTCGGAAATTTCAAGTGTTTACACTTAAGCCACGGGATCCAGTAGAAGCCAGGCAAATTTAATTATTTTAGACTCAGAATTTAAAAACCACCTATTTCGTATGGTTTTTCAACACCTCTACCCAGAAAACTCTGTGGAAGCAATTAACAGCTGCTAACATTTTGTGAGGAGCCGGAGGCATCTTGGAAATGGTGGGGTCCCCCCTTCGCGTTACAGAGATGGGCTGAGGCCGGGGGCAGTGAAGTCCGTTGCCCGAGGTTAAGGGCCGAGCTGTGGATTATCTATCCCCCTACGTGCGTGCGACAGCGGGCTGGACCCTGAATCCCAGAGGTGGGTGCGCCTGTAGCCCAGCCGAGCAGGGGAGCGCGCCTGGACCTCTCTGCACCGTAGGGCCTGATGCCCGCGGGCGTGCACACCGTCTTGGTTCGATGGTTCTTTAAGGCCTCCACGGAGCGTTCCGCTGCCGGTCAGAGCTCTGCTCCTTATTATCCCGGGCACGCCTCCATGTCACAGATGAGGAAGCAGGGCCTTAAAATCGGGGCTACGTTGTGAGTTCGCTCCTTAGCTAGGATTTGAGGCCATTCCTGATCCCTGAACTCGGCGCGCCCCCGGTGGTGGGGTGGTTGCGGGGGGAGGGGAGGGCGGGCCTCCTGTGGAAAGCACCGATGTGGGAGGAGTTAAGGGAGGCATGTGACTGGGGCTTGGCTGCCCTTGGTTCGAGGGAGCTGGGACCTCCCTGCGCAGCCACTGTAAGCCAGCTACCCGAGCCAAGCACCTGTGCACAGGCTTCCCCGAAGGTATGACTTTATCCCCACCATCGTTTCTTCCCAAAGCTACATTTTGTGCTGCAGCTCCAATTTCTTACATAAGGGGTACGAGAAAATCAAGTAAAGAAAAAAAAAAAAAAAAAAAGGGCAGTGAGTGATTTAAACTGTTTCTGGATTGCTCCAGGCATAAAAAAATATATCAAGGCGCCAGTTGCGAAATGGGAGCAGCATTCTAAATGAGACTGTTAGGTTTAGCTTTCCCCAGACGTCTATTTCTGATCCTTGTTTTTACAATATCTGACATCCAAGCCTCCAGCAAACCGTCTGATCAGTTGACGAGTCAATATATGAGGTACCAGGCGGGAAGTAAACGCAGGGCTGGAGCTGCAAGCCCCTCTATGTTGATAGAGCTGTGTGCGTGCGTGCGTGTGCGTGCGTGTGCGTGCGTGTGCGTGTGTGTGTGTGTGAGAGAGAGAGAGATTCAGAGGGTCAGACAAAGATAGAAACATTTGAGGTTAGTAAGAAATCAAGAAACGAGACAGACTGTCCACCGGACGCGGTGCGTGGATGGCTTGGTGTGGATGGAATCTGACCCCAGGCCGCCTACTACTTTAGCTAAGTCACTGAGTTACTATTGCCTCACCTGAAAAGCGGGAGCTGGTGAGGGTTCCCACCTGTGGAGGCTGGTGCGGGTTAAAGGACAGAGCGCCCAGGAGGGAAGCAAGCACTCGGGCATCAGCCAGCCGCCCGTACTCCTGGCGGCTTCTGGCAGCGGGGAGCCGCGTCTTCCCAGAAGCTCTCCCTCCGCCTGCCCAGTGGGGCAGCCACAGGCGGCAGCTGGGACAGCTCAGAGGTGAGACGCCAGGTGCGCGAACAGCAGCGCCCTGGGAGCAATCCAGTTTGTTGCTGCTTTGCGGAAAGACTGACTCTCGGGGCTGGAGGGCAGCCAGGGCTGCTCCGGCTTGTTCCACCTCCGCAGGCCAAAGAGGCTCCCAGAGACGGGACCGTGGGCCCACGCGGCCCTGCCGGCGCGCGGGGCGGGCTGCAGGCTCTGCTGGGTGGGCGCGCACTGGCCGGGCTTTGATGGGGCGGCCCGCTGACGGGAAGCAGCCCTGGTGAGCGGCGCGTCCCTCCCAGGGCCAGAGCTCCGTCACCACACGGCGTCAGCAGGGATTCGCACGACGGTCCCACCTCCTTGAATCCCCTCGGTAGTGACGGAGGGACAGTCCTCTCACCAGAGGGCACTGTCCCTTCTTCCAGGCGCTCCCTCCCGTGTCCACCTGGACCCTGCATCTCTCTCCGGGGGAAGGGAGTCTCTGTCCAGGACCATTCAGACGCGCGGCCTTGCATTGTTGCTGGTCCTCAGGCGTGGGCGGCTCTAGGCCGTTGCTCTGCAGGCCGTCCCGCCGAACCACGGCCTTGCCTCTCCCACCGCTGCGGGTTCGCCAGGATAAAGCAGCTGCTTTGAGGACCAGGCGTTGCCAGTGCCATGGAAGCCTTTCTAGTTCTGCTGTTTCCCTTCTGGTCCCTCCCTCCTTTTCTGGCCTTGTTTTCTCCGCAGAGGGGCTTGACTCTGTCCCTTCGCCCGGGTCCTGGCACATCTGTCCTGGGCTCTGTGCACTGCGCCCTGGAAGCCACCGCTTCCCTCTCCCCTGCATTCCCTCAGGCCTGCGCCCCTCCTCCGCCCGGACACTCAGCTCTGTGCGGGGTCCTCCCAGTGCCCAGCCTGCACAGGCGCAGCCCCGTCAAGCCCACAGTTTGTCCCACCAGTTTTCAAAGCAGCTGAAACCCCCTAGGTCACACCATCGATGCCTGGGCATCTCAGCTCCTGTCTGGGGGACTTCCCCAAACTGCCAGGTTCCTCCCAGAAGAGGGCACTTTGTCACATTGTATTCTAAGTTCCTCTGAAGAGACAGAGGGCTGTCCACCGCACTTTGAAGGTCAGAGTCCCCACACACAAGAACCAGCCGTCTCTCCAGCTCCCCTAAAACTGGAAACGCCCAGGGGAGCCCTCTGGGTCCAGGGTGGGGGGCTGGGACACTTGCGCTCTGTGAGCCCCGGAATTGCTCAGACGTGGAGGTTTTATTAAAATGCCTATTCTAGAGGCAGCCAAGCTGAAGGAACCACAGGGAAGGGCCATGCAAATAAACTCAGCGAATTAAAAATAAAGAGAAACCAATGCTCAGAGGCAGCTCTTCATTCTTTCCACCCCTCTCGGGGGCAGATGGGAGGATGACTTTGGGCTGGGAGCGGCGCAGCTGGTGTCGCGGGAGCCACAGGAGCAAGACCATCTCAATGTTAACACATCCGCGGGCGGAGAAAACACCCGGGCCGTTTTAGGTCAACTCACAGAGCGGAAGGAACCGTTCTCCTGCTCAACGACACATGCCAGTGGGGACGTGCCACCACTTGCCTTGGACTCCCATTTGGTGTCGAATAATCCTGTGAATAAATGCTTCCCGAAAGCACCCCCAAAACTCTTCACGCTGTGGTTCGAGCTGCGGCCCTCGTCCTGTGCTGGAGGAGGCACCATTTTCCCTGTCATCTGTGGTGACGCAGAGCACCAGACCCCACCGTCCTCTTTCTCTCTTTTCCAAGCCGGCCACGAAGCACGGGCGAGCCCGCGCTGGCCAGACTCTTCTTCCCCGTCTCAGCCGCCCTGCGCTGGCTGAGAGCTGTCACCTCGCTCACAGGGAGGGCGCCTCCCAGCCCCTGCCCTCTCCTCTGGGCCCTCCTGCCTCCGCCACATTTAATCGGAATGTCCTGGGGGAGGAAGCTTCCGTGGAAGCTACACACCACGGAACACACAATATGGCGTGACGATTGTTCCCAAGGCTGCCTGCTTTCAGTTTTCCGCCTTTGCTACTTAACCTGTCACGCCATTTTCTTATCCAGCCTCATTTTAACACTCACTTTGTCATTACTGGACTCCTCAGCGAATTAATTCCTTGTCGGCCATGGAGACCCTTCCGGATCATTTCTCTTCCCCTCTGTTCACTTGGAGAGTCTCAAATGCTCATGGCACACACCTCGCCTTTATTGGACAGTTACTTGTTGGAGGGATTTATTCCAACCTTAAGTGAAAAGATTCCCAAGTGTGCAGCTGAATGGGAGCATCTCTGGTGTCAGACATCACGTTTTACTGGAAACCTCCACCCACACTGTCTGTCAGGAAGCCGAACGCAGAACTGACCCAGGAACAATGGCCTCTGCATTCATGTTGAGACAGCCGGGCCATCGCTACCAGGTCTCAAGCTTGTTTCTCCCCGCCCCACCCCCCCAGCTGGCACATACCTGACTCTCAGTCCCACCCAGGTCCCCGTCCCTGCCGCAGGCGCCGTCACAGTGCCTAGGAAGCATTTCCACCCACCCTGCCCAACCCTCCTGTCTCGTCTAAACTCCCAGTCATGCCCGGCCCCCCAGCCAGCACAAATGTCGCCTTCCCGGCGGAGCTGCCTCACCGGTCCTCCCCGGCAGAGCCAGGTGTTCTGGGGCCCCCTCTGCTCCTGCCTCTGAGCTAAAGCCACCTGCTTGTGTGGCTGCTCCACTGGACCACGGGGCCCACAGCAGAAGGGACCTTTCTCAGTCTTCCGAGCATCTTAGTGCCCAGAGCAGTGCCTAAAACAGGGTAGCCCTCAGACCTGGTTTTTCAAGTTTTGGGGAAGCATGATCTGAAGTTCAAGGGGTAACTAAGACTAGCATGGATTTTTTTTGTCCCAGGATAAACCTCCTTGGCTTTGGTCAAGCATCATAGTGCCTTCTGACGAATGGACAGACTGACCCACAGCACAAAAATGCAAGACGCCCTCCCACTGCGGATTCCTGTCCTTTTCCTGTAGCCTAGAATCTTTTCTGGCTGCCCCACCTCTACCAAGCGCTCTCAAACAACCCGCACTGGGCAGGAAGGTCTGTGACCAACCCCCCACCCCCACCCACCGTGTGCTGTGGGGCCACGCAGCAGTGACGGGTGCCTCTGGCCTTCGGCACCTTCGCTCCAGGGCAGACCTGGAAATCCCAACTGTGGCCATTGTTCAGTGTCGGAGGAGCCAATGAACAATCATAATAGCATGGAACCAATTTTTTTTTTTTTTAATTTTTCACAAAGAGCTTTAGAAGGCAAGTAGTAGTTTATCACTTCCTCTCCTGAAATGCCATGGAAAGACAGGCAGTGTAGGGTGCGGGGATGCGGGCTCTGCCCCGTTTTCCAAGTCCCTGTGGCGGCCCAGGACCCGAAGCAAGGCCCATGCTGTCCTCGCCCCGAGGCACCGGCCGCGCTGGGGTCAGGTCGTCTGTCCAGAGGGCCCACCTTGCGTCCTAAGACCCAGACAGGGATCCGGATGGGGAATCCAGGTGGAGCTTAACTTCAGAGGTGGGATGCAGGTGCCACAGCGGGAGGCAAAGCCTCTGACACTGCGAAGGCCAGAGAGAAGGGGCACAGGAAGAGGATGAGGTCAAGTAGCCCCTGGACCACTGAAGGGATCGCCTGGTAAGGGATGTTGGGCCTTCCGCCTGCAGTGTCTGCGGCCAGAGAGCTTCGCCTGGGATTCCGGACCCGGGCAGGGAGAAGCAATGGCTGGGCTAAGAGAGCTGGAACTTTCTTCACAGTAGGACAGACCTACTCTAAAATTCTAGAATTTAAGACCAATGTTTTTTAAGAATGGGAATTCATAAACCCACCAGACCAGCTGATGGGGGGGGGGGGATGTTCTCTATTAAACAAAACCACACGAAAAACAGCTTAGTCCCCTCTGCGCCCAATATCCCAGCCACCTCCCACCCCATTAAAAACATATCATGAACATCACACACACGTACACACACTGAAATACGCAAACAAAATACAAAATACCCAAGGAAACCTTAGGGATCACCTAAGGGTTTTTCACAAGCTCTCCAGGTTTTTCTTCCTGTTTTGTTTTGTTTTGTTTTCTAGAAAAAAAGAGTCAAGCTCTGACAGCTACATCTAAGCCATAAAAACGAGTCGGCCGAGATCCCTTCTCTCCATGTCCTGGCTTGTTAGTCAACGTAGAGGGGTATCAGCAATACTTCGGGAAGGCAGGCCAAGACTGGCGTCTGCGGAAGGGGAGCTGCCTCGTCCTGCTGCCTCGTCGTGGACCCTCACCGGGGTGCCCACCCCCCTCCCTGGAGAACTGTGAGGAAGGTGTGGACAGGATGCTGGGGAGGCTATTTCTAGAGCAAAGCTTTACTGCTTGTGGGCATGAGAACATGAACCAGAAGCAAACGGTCCCGAGACAGCCGAGGATCCCAGAACAGGTGACGTAGTCCAAGTCCGCCTTCCACAGAAGATGAGTCCATGAAGGAAGTGGGGAGGGGGTCTGCCCGGGATCCTGACTCCGGGAGCTTCCCCGGTGGCTGGCCCACATCAGTTGATCAGTCCACTCTTTCTGACCAAGCTCTCTCACCTGGAATGGATAATCATTTGTTTCCAGGTGGTTACAGCCTCCCATGCAACAAGAGCCAAAGGAGGAGAAGCAGACTGCTGAGCCAAGGGGCCTACACTGACCACTCCCCAGGGCGCCGTTGTGTTTAGTGTCTAAACACAGTAACGCTTGAAACATCTGTTTCTCTGCCTATTGTACAGGTATCTCCCCCACATTTTGTAAAATAAATAATTCAAACTAGAACGAAAAACTCAGGCAAGGACAGTTGCTGCCTCTGAACAGTGACTCATAAAACTCACACCTGCAATTCATTCCCAGGCGGGGTGTAGAGGGGAGCGTCTGATGTGCCAAACCCTTGGGACAGAAATTAACACCAGCCCTGACCTCTTATATATTAAATTTATCTTCATAAATAGAGCATCCTAACTCCAGTGACCACACTCAAAATGGCCAAAGTCTGAGTTCTTTTTTTTCCTCAAATATCTACACAAACCCCCAGAAGAGCTACTAAACTGTACCCACATGGTGAACTGGAACCCTGTTATAGAGCTTCAGTCGCCATGATAGTCAAAGGCAAAGTCTCAGCCAGACCCAATACCCATCCCCGTTGGACAAAAAGAACTAGGATGAAAAACTCAGTTTGCAATAAGGCTCATGACAGAAATCCTTTCAACAAAAAGCCCAGTTAATTTGATTTTCAATAACTTGATTTCCCCCCATAAACTTATTAGCTACACAAGCTTTTACGGTCACATCTATGAATCAAATGGGCCCACCAGACCTCAGATATGGCCAAATTGGCGTGGCTGCCTTGCCCTCTTGTTAATTGACAGTGTGGTCATCACCTTTCTTTTGGACAGGTGTCTGAGCCATATTCTTCCACCCTAATGTGAGAGCCAGTGGCACACAGGTAATGAACTAGAGGACTAGGTGTCTACATTGAAGCACATCTTACTGGCTGCCATCAATCCTATCTTCTAGCCATCCTAGGAAATTTGGGTTTAATTTTCTTATTTCTCCTCCCCTGTCAAAAATATACTTATTTTGATTGATCCCTTTTTGACTGCTTTGGTTGGATTACTGTGACCACCAGAAGAAGCCAGAGCAAACCGATGAACAGCCCATTAGAGAAACCAAAGGGTGGTGAACCCTGCATGGCGCCTTCATAGCTCATCCCTCGAAGGCACGGTGTTTAGGGAGGTCGGCGGAGGCAGGGCCTCTGTGTTCTTGGCGTTGTGGTGGATGTGGCCCTGCTTCTGGGACTTCCAGGAATGCGTCCTGTCCCAGTCAGTGGCCACTGTCTCGTTGTCCCAGATGGTCGAGGTCTCCGTGTCGCTCAGATAGCCCGGCTGGCCTGTGTAGTGCGTGGGGTAGATGAGCAAGGGCTCTGCGGAGAAGGCTTTCAAGTCCCGGGATTTGTAGTACTCCTTGTACTCTGCTCTGCAAGCGAGAGGCGCACAGGCGAGTGAGGGCCGGGCACTTACAGGACGGGGGACAAGAGAGAGGGGCCCTGCCCGTTACCCTGCCAAGGGTCAGGGAATCATCAGAGGAGCTTTTAAGTTGTGTCCTTTGTGGAGAACTTTAGTCTATAAATACAATAAACGTCCTTTGAAAAGTTTTCAGATGATCTAAACGAGTACGTAAAGAAAAAGTCAGGATATTTCTGTTGTATTTGGATAGGCTACTTTAAAAGATGAATTTCAGGTCTTACTCTAAAAGTTAGGAAGGAAGCTCTGTGGGACCATGATAATGAATACATGTGATTCTCTGTAGCAAAGGCCCTGTCGCCAGATTAATCAGTTCGATGGCAGCATGGGGAGGGCAGTGAAGGGGCAAGGGGACCGGCGGAGGCCTGGAGGCGTGCCAGCGTGGCTTCGCGTTCCAGCTCCCTGTGAGTATAATGTTGAGGGGGACGCAACCTCCTTCCCAGGGCCCTGAGGCAGGTGATCTGGGGCGACACTTGCTCAGCTCCTAGGCTGGTAAGCGCTCCACAGGCTCCCCTTTCCTTCCTGTGAGGGGGGTGGTATGACCTTCCTGTTTCTCCAGGACTCAGCGATCATGCCGGCCTCTGACATGTATAGACGAGGGCAAGGAGCTCGTCCTTACTGAGGACAGGAGACAAAATGAGCAAGGCAGCGCTCAGGGACTCTCAGCTGCTGACGTGAAGACCATCTATGTGAGGACGTCACCCAGCAACTGCGAGAAGGAGCTGAGGTTAGGCTCTGGTCTCCTGCTTCATGAACAAACTTGGGAATCCTTGACAGAGCAGCTGGGAGGGGCAGAGCTTGGTTTAGACTCTAAAGATATAGAAAGGGAGGACTGTGCCTACCTCCGGGGCTCCTGGGTTGCTGGGGAGACTGACGAGGACACTGTCACTTACCAAGCCCTTTGACAAGTGCGTGGTCAGAGGGAACGCCTGGGCACTGAAACCCTGAGCATCAGGCCGCTTGCTTCCGTGGACGCCGTCCTCACGGCCACCTCACTTCCCCTGAGCCTCTAACACACACCCCGGATCAGAGCATCACAGTCTGTCATGATGATTGTTTGTGGGTCTGGGTTCTTGGCTAGACCGCGAGCCACTGCATGGCCAACAGTACACACAATGGACTGAGAGGTGAATTGAAAAATTTGAGGTGCTTAGGAAGATGACCTTCACCTTGAGGTGTATGGAAGGGTTTATGGAAGTAAGATCCAAGACAAGGAGAGGACTGAGCAGATTATGTCCATTTAAATTACACACTGGATATTAAGTGGGATCCCTATGCAAGACTCACCATTTCTGCCGCATCCTCCCAGTCTCTAAAAGGGATAATCACTCAAGTCAGCCTCTCTGGGTCATGACGAGGGACAGATCATTTAGGAAAGCAGCACACCTTTAGCAAATATCAAGTACTGCCCGGTAACTGAGGAGGGTCATTCTCGAGTGCACTGCGCTCACGGGACAGGCAGGGAGTTCAGGGCGACTCACACGGGATGCTTGTTGTACATGATTGGCAGGAACTCGTCCACTGGCAGCATCTTCCCAAAAGGATCAGCTCCGACCAGCTTCCGCGCTCCTTCCAGGGAGATGACGTAGCCCAGCGTCCAGTAGGAATAGTCGGCTTCGACCAGATTGACCACACTGGGCACCGCCTTCTCTGGCTCTTTTACTTGCATCCTCTTCCTACCAATGTAGCTGAAAGGAAGTGGGCAGATCAGACAATTCCAATTTGAGTACCAGACGCCCATAAAAATGGAGCGTGGCTTCTCAGGCACTTTTGAAGGCTCGGACCAACTGGGTCATGTATTAAACGCTTCACGCCCCACTTTGCATTGCGTCTGCCACCAACCATGACTGTCCCCGGCCACCAGTGAGGCCATGGCCCTGGCTCCATTTATCCACAGCTCATCGATTCTTGCTTAGCAGACAGTGTTTCAGCCAGAAGGTTAAGATGTAAAGAGAGTTCCAGCTGTGTTTACAGAGGTTGGGAGGGGACCAGACAGGCCAGATGTGAGAATCCTGAGTCTCAGGTCCCCAGAGCTTCCGCCTTTGCTGTTGTCGGCACAGCTCTCCAAAGGCTGGTGGCAAACACAGGATAGAAGGGCCGTGGGAAAGGGGCGGTGTGCAGTAAAAGGTCCAGGGACCCAGCAGGGACGCCAAGGCGGCTCCTCCGGGGGAGAACGATGACAACACCTCACCCACCTCGCTCGGCCCATGCTGCCTCTTGCGTGCCCTGCCCTGAAGAAAGCGTCCGGGTGCATCCTCTTCCGCATGAGCATCTCTGGCAACCCCAGTTGTACCCGCAGCTGAGTCTGCCCTCCCGCCACCTACTCACGGGTGTGACACCCGTTCCTTTTGTCTGGGACCTGTCTGTTTTACGCTTACCTGAGCAAGCTGAATTTTACCTGCCACATAGAGCTGACTTCCTCTACTTGGCCCTAAAACTCTCTTTCAACATCCAAGGGAACAGAGTCACCAATATTCTAATAACTGTGTTTGGTGCCAGGTGGGTGCTGGAAATATCAGGGGGCCACTTTATAAAGTATGTGATTGTCTAATCCTCTGCTGCACACCCCAAAAGCAACACAAAATAATGTCGAATGTAAACTGTAATTAAAGAAAAACATTCACGGGGTACTTCTTATTAAAACATCCCAGGATTTGTGGAACAAAACTAGGTTCACCTTCAGCTCTTTGGGGCATTAAATGTGCCCTCTCAGCCACTGTCTCTCCCGACAGAAGAGTCTGAATTTTTTAAACATGTCATCAAGTGGAGAAGAAACCTCTCGTGAGCATGTGAGAGGAGGTGAGTGGGACTGAGTCTGTACTCAATTTTTTCATTTTACTTACGTTCAGTTTTAAAATTGGAGACGTGTAAAATATTTTACATATTAATAAATGCGTAACCGCCATTACACAAAATTCATTATTTTAAAGAAAACTGTTATTATTAGTAAACAAAACAGACTATTTTGGTAGGATAACAGTTTACTCTAGCAGCTGAAAGCTTAGCATTGAGATGGCGATGTGTCATAGGTGTAAAACACTCACTGGATTTTGAAGACGGTGTAAACAAAGGAGGTAGCCCTGATTGTGTGGCTCAGTGGGTTGGGCATTGCCCTGCAACCTGAAAGGTCGCTGGTTTGATTCCTGGTCAGGGCACACGTCTGGGTTGCAGGCCATGTCCCTGGTTGGAGGCATGTGGGAGGCAACTGATCGATGTTCCTCTTGCACATCAAGGTTTCTCCCCATCCCTTTCTCCCTCCCTTCCCCTCTCTCTAAAAATAAATTAAAAAAAATTTTTTTTTCTAAAAAAAGGATACAGACTATCTCATTGATAGTTTGGAAATATTGATTACATGTTAAAATAATATTTAGGTATGTTGGGTTAGATAAAATGTACTGCTGAAGTTAATTTGCGCCTGGCAACTGAAGAGAGAACGAAGCAGGTAAATGGAGTCTGAGCCGTATCTCCTCCCAGCTGGGGAGGTGGGGCTCGCTGCCCCCTGGAATGGACCGAGTGCCCTTCCGAGCTCTCTGATAAGTTTGTCTTGTCACTCACATCAGTTCCCAATCCAGCTGAGCCTGGTCAATTTCATCCATCAGCTTCATCAGCTTCTTCTTAAACTGATGTTCAAAGCGCACATCGTCCTCAATAACAAGAGTCTTCTCCAGCTCCCGGTCAATTACCTGCAAAGGTCATCAGCGAGAAGTATCATATCTATTTTTTTATTAGACCAATAAGTATTAAACCGTCAAGAGTTTAATAGCATAATCTGTAAAAGCTCATAATTGGATTCCAAGCCAGTGCCCATCAATAGTAGAATGGGTCAAAAACTGTGGTGTATTTACAGCAATTAGAATGTATGACACCATGTATGATCTACAATCAAGTACAAGGTTCTAGGTGAATCTCCCAAGCGTAGTATTGAGAGACTCTGCATACCATATGGCTCCACTCATATAAGAAAAGTACAAAAGAAGACAAAACTATTGTTTCTGTTGCTAAAAGTCAGGACGGTGATCACCCTTGGGGACAGGTGACTAGACGGAAACACAGAGGAGGTGCCTCTCCAGGGCTGGCACCTGCTTCTTGATCTTGGTGCTGGTTTAACATGGGTGTGTTGTTCAGTTTGGAAATTTCATTGACCCACAGTTTACAATCTACATATTTTTCTACATATCTCTTACATTTCATTTAAAATTTAAAGGGGAAAAAAAAGAGCAGCCTAGACTGGATCATTCAAAGAGAGGAGGCATTCAAGGCCCCTTATTAAGGGACTTTCTCTATTCTTGTGAGACTTGAACCTTTATCAGGAACCTCACACTGCAATATCACCCCTATCAATGTCTGATCTGTAAGATATGGGTTCAAGTCCTGGCTTTGCCACTTCCTGCCTGGGCAACGTATTTATTTCCTCTTGGTTAAAATGGGTCCCCTGCTGACCCAGTTCATATGACGACTGTGGGGCTTCCTGTATGAAATCTCTTAATAAATGATGACATGTTAGATACATACAAGGCACTCCTACAAAGGAGGAGAACGCATCAGTAGGAGTGTGGCCCCAGAACATGGGTATCTTCCCCTGTCACTGTCCCAAGTGGCACCAAGGTGACCCGTGGCTGGCCTTGTGTCAGAGGGAGACAGGAGGCAACAGCAACTTCCAAGTCTCCTTCCAGAACAGAGGTGGGTTCACTTTACACCCAGTCCTCATTCACGTACAAGGTCCCACTCTCCTTCCTGCTCATGACAAAATCGCACATCTTAACAAAGCACCATTTACCTCTTTCCAGACAGAGTAGTGGCTTAGAAAGCAGCCGATTTCACCCCTGGTGAGAGGCCTGGAGGAGTAGGGGTCTCGGTATCCGGGCAGCATCTCAATGTTCAGGGCCTTCAGCTGGCTTGTGTTGAGTGCCCTGCATGACAGAGAACATGTCTGAAGGTTAACAAGGTGAGATGTCCCCACCACGGAAGCCAGAAAGAGAGCTCTGCCTATTCTCCAGAGCTTTTACGCACACTGAGAAAAATGTCCCAGGTTTCCCATGATGCCTTGGGAGCTTCCCAGGATTAATGTGTCCTGGAGGTGTTACAATCTTTGTGAAGATAAGAGAGTATCTTATATTTTGTGTGTCCCCTACAATTTCCAACATATTTCTAAGTACCATCACTTTTTTGACAAGTTTGAGGAAGTATTTTTCTAATGAAGGAAAGTGGCTAATAGAAACATTAAATACTGGAAGGGATGAGGATAGGAAGAAATGAAAAAGGAATTGTGTGTGTGTGTGTGTCTTTCCTTTTGATCTAATTTTTTTTAAAAGAAGGGTTAAAAACAAAAATAGCAGAAAGAATGTTTTAAGTAGCAAGAGGGAAGTGCCTCACTGCATAAAAAGTACACTTGATCCTTGAACAACATGGTTTGAACTATGCCGGGTCCACTTACACATGGATTTTTTTTTTCAATAAATACATACAATACTGTAAATGTATTTTCTCTTCCTTATGATTTTTTATTTTTTTTAATTTATAAATCATGTTTATTCTATTACAGTTGTCTCAACTTTTCCCCCTTTACCCCCCTCCACCCATCCCACCCCCACCCCCCACTCCCACAGTCAATTCCCACTCCATTGTCCATGTCCATGGGTCATTCATACATGTTCTCTGTCTAGTCCCTTCCCCTTCTTTCCACCATTGTCCTCTTTCCCCATCCCCTCTGGTCACTTTCAGTCTGCTCCATGTTTCCATGCCTGTGGTTTATTTTGTTCATTAGTTTATCATGTTGAATAGAGTCCACTTATAGGTGAGATCATATGGTATTTGTCTTTCATCAACTGGCTTATTTCACTTAGCTTAATATTCTCCAGTTCCATCCATGTTGTCGCAAAATGTAAGAGTTCCATCTCTCTCTCTCTCTCTCTCTTTCTTTCTTTCTTTCTAAATGCAGATTGAGTTTATTTATTTTTTAACATGTCAAAGATAATTATAAAATATTTAAAAAATTTAAAACCGTTATAAATTTCAGCAATTATACCAACATGACACCAGCACAGAAACAATAAAGTAAAACAATGAAATATAATAAGAATTCTAAAGATAAATGTATATATCTGTCTAACAATGTAATAAAGGATTAAGTTGATACCTCAAACCAATGGGGAAAATAAGATTTATTCAACAAGTAAGGGGCATGGACCACTATTACTTGAAATAAAACAAACATAGAGCCCTATTTCACACATTATACAAGAAATATTCAGGTGAGTTAAAAATCAATATGAAGAATCTAAGGAGTTCTAAGAGAAAATACAAAATAATACTTTTCCTACCCTGAAGTAAAATATTCAAACCAAGAAGCTATAAAATAAAATATTGACAATATGACTATATTAAACATTTAAGACTGTACAGTAATATACATATAAAAAAATTAAAGGACAAGTAATAGAATAGAAAAATATTTGCAACACATCTAAAAAAGAGTTAATGGTTTGCTTTGGGTTTTTTTTGGGAAAAAGTTCTACAAATTTTTAATAAAAAAATGGATTAAGAATACTAAAAAGTCATTTAAAACTTTTTAAAAAGAATATAAATAAGCAGGAAATATATAAAAACAGGTTTAGTTTCAACAAATAACAAAGGAACAATTAAAATAACACATCATTGTCATAATCAGATTAATACATATTAGAAAATATTGGTAATATCAAGTATTGGCAACTGTGAAAGGAACAGGGTATTCATAGACTCTTTTTCTTCATCTTAAAGCAGTCTCTTTAGCATATTTTGCAATGCTGGTTTGGTGGATGTGTACTCTTTTAGTCGTCTTTTGTCTGGGAAACTCCTTATTTCGCCTTCCATTTAATTGAAAGCCTTGCTGGGTAGAGCAGTCTTCGGTTGCAGGCCTTTGCTTTTCATTCCTTGGAATATTTCTTGCCTCTCCCTTCTGGCTTGCAGTGTTTCTGTTCAGAAGTCAGCTGCTAGTCATATCAGGGCTCCCTTATATGTTACTACCTCTTTCTCCCTTGCTTCCTTTAGGATTCTGTTTGCCTTTGATATTTGCCATTTTAATGATGATGTGTCTTGGGGTGGGCCTCATTGGGTTCCTCTTGACTGGGGCCCTCTGTACTTCCTGGACTTGTGTGACTTTTTCTCTCCTCCAATTATAGAAGTTTCCCGTCATTACTTTTTCAAACAGATTCTCTATCCCTTCCTCATCCTTTTCTCCTTCTGTTATCCCTATTATATGGATATTATTATGTTTCAGATTGTCCTGCATTTCCCTTAATGGCTCTTCATTCTTTTTGAGTCTTTTTTCATTTTCCTGCTCTTTCTGGGAGCTTTTTTCTACCTTGTCCTTTGGCTCGCTGATTCGATCTTCGGCTTCATCTAGCCTGCTTTTGATGCCTTCTACTGTTTTCTTCAATTCAGAAATTGTATTCTTCATTTCCTCTTGTGTCTTATTGCCAGTTTCTATGTCATTTTCCATGCTGATACAGTTTGCAGTAAGTTCCTCATAGTTTCGCTGTAGTTTTTGGTAATTCTCTCTGAGCTCACTGAGTTTATTGAGCTTCCTTAGAACTGTTGTTTTGAACTCATTATCTGATAGTTTACTTGCTTCTATTTCATTTAGTTCTCTTTCTGAGGATTCCTCCTTTCCCTTCGAGTCGGGGGTGTTTCTTTGTCTTTCCATTATTTGTGAGACTCTTCTTTTCTGCTTCTGCTCTCAAATTGATCTGTCTTGATTTCCTGACTTTGTGGTGTGAACTTCTATGGTAGGAGATGGCTGTTTTTACTTTCTGGACCTTTGATGATGTCATATGCCATCCCTGTCTGACCTTAGGCAGTCTGTTTGAGATTTCCAGGGATCTACTGTCTGTGGCTGTCTCCTTCAGTTGCTAATCTGGTCACTCTGCACTCAGCAGGCTGCCGTAGACAGCTCAGGGTGGGGTGGAGTCCCTTCTGGGGGCGGGGTTATTGGGTCCTCTCACTCTGCTGCCATGTGGGGGAGGAGTCAGCACTGGGATCCCACCGGCTACTCTCTCCCTTCTCTCCCCAAAGCCTCCGTCCCCAGTCTCTCCGTAAGTGTCTCCAGACCTCTCTGCACTCCCTTTATCCAGGGATCTACTATCTGTGGCCACCACTCTGCACTCAGCAGGCGGCTTAGACAGCACAGGGTGGGATGGAATCCCATCTGAGGATGGGGCTATTGGGTCCTCTGAGGCTGCTGCCGCTTGGGGGAGTGGTCTCTCCCTGAGCAAGATGGCTGCTGCCGCATGGGAGATGAGTCAGCACCGGGATCCCACCAGCTACTTTCTCAGTTCTCTCCCCAAAGCCTCTTTCCCCAGTCTCTCCTCAGGTGTCTCTAGCCCACTCTGCCCTCGCCTTTGCAGGAGACCAGGGTAAGTGGCTGGAAGTAGAAGTTTGTGCGTTGGCTCTTTAAATGGTTCTTTGCATCTCCAGCCACCAGTCTCTGGCAGAGAGCAACCCTGCCGCTTTTCTCGGCTGGCTGTTTTCTGTGTTCTTCTGGGCTCTGGTGCTGTAGGCTAGAGATCCCCGCTTTTGGTTTTAGACCCCACTCTTCTCAGGGGGATCCAACTGGCCATTTCACTATCCTTCTGGTGTTGCCACCCGTGGGCACCCCACCTGCCTTCTCGAGTCTCTACCATACTCCTTGCCAGTTAGGTTGTGCTAAAGCTGATTCTTCTGTCTCCAGTATTACAAGGCTCCTCTCTCACTATTGTTCAGTTGCTTGTTCTAGGTAATTTCTCCACAATTTAGTTGTAATTCCAGGTTGGTCCTGGGAGGTCAGCGTGACTTCCATTCACTCCTCTGCTATCTTCCTTATGATTTTTTAAATAACATTTTCTTGTCTCCAGCTTACTTTATTGTAGGAATACAATATATAATATATAAAACACATAAAATTATGTGTTATTCAATTGTTTATGTTGTCAGTAAGACTTCCAATCAACTCTAGGCTCTTAGTAGTTAAGTTTTGGGGAAGTAAAAAGTTATATGCATTTTTTTCAACTACGCAGGGGATCAGTGCCCCTAACCCCCACATTGCTCAAGGGTCAAATATATTCTCAATAAGATTAATAGCTGATTCTCATTAGAAGCCATGGAGGCCAGAAGGCAGTAGGTTGACACATACAAATTTCAGATAAACAATTTTTTAGTATAATAAATAATTTTTTCAGTATAAGTCTCATGTAATGTTTGGAACAAATTTAACTGGGTGTCCTGTATCTTATGTGGCAACATTACTCAAAAAAAAAAAAAATCACCTTGAGGCTTCTTATATACAGATTCTTGGCCGGCCCTAAAGATCATGATTCAGAAGCTCTGGGATGGACTCTGGAAGCTGCCCTCTCCTCAGCCCTGTGCATGTCCAGGCTCCACTTCAAGAAACACTGATGGGATTAACTAAAGGAGTCATAAGAATTTCCACAACAGAGGCATCCATATTCCAAGTGAACATATAACACTGAAGCTGTAGTATTTGCAAAAATCTATGCCTTGAAATAGGGCATCAAATAGAAGATCAAAACAAAAGAAAATAACAACAACAACAGCAGTAACAAAAACCCTTGAAGGAATCTTCTAGGGTGTCTTTCCTGCCACATCCTCGGAAACAGTGACCAGCCAGATGGACCGTGGCAAGCGTCTCATGCAACAGGATACACAGATCGTTATGCACTTTTTCCATTAATTTTCTTCAGGTTGCCCAAGTTTAGACACTTTGCTCTAAATCAGGCTCTGCATGCAACTCTGAACACATTCTTTCCAATACACAGGGGAAAGCTGGGAACCACCCCAACCATTGCAAGAACCCCGGAGTTGGGGACATTACTTCCAGGGTGAGCCTTCAGCATCGTGCAGACCAGAGATGGCAGAAGGTGAGTAGGTTACAGGCCAGCTCTGCACAGTGAAATTAACCCCCATGCTGCTATATATGTCATAGCATGTCTTCCTCTGTAGGCTGCACGTGGCTGTTGTAAAAGCACGTCTATATTCTAATGACTGCAGATTCCCCCCACCCAGAAATACTCCATCAGATAGGGCACATCCCGACGCCAACCCCATCTGCAAAGGGTCAAGAAAAAACCCCAACTCACTTTCCATCCACAGCCTCCACAATTTTGACCTCAATCTCCTGCTCATACAGGGTGCGTAACATCCGGTCCCTCCTGTCCTTTCTGCGTTTGAGATTTATCATGAAAATCTAATGTGGGAAGAAAGAGAGAAGAAAACACATTACTCAAGTCTTCTGTTAGGCTCTGAGAATTTAAGTAAATGTAGGACCAACGTTTTAAAAGCTTTAGTTAGAATAAGGAGTGGAAATAACAGGGACACTGTGGTGAAGATTTGTTTATATTTCTTATCGGGTCAAATGACACGAATCCAAACAGATTTAGTCTCAAATCTGAGCCTTTTGCAGGGACTTAACACTCTCGTTTTCCCTGATGCTCGTTGATGTACATGGTCACTTTGATTTTGAGACAGAAAAGTTGAAAAATTACTCGTCAGGAGGCTTACAGACTTAAATGTAAACATAAGCACTAAGGGCAGGAGGCAGCTTCTCAAGTGGTTCAATTTATTAGCAGATCTGAGTTCCCGTCCTGACTGTTATTTGCTAGTGTTTGCCTTGGACCAGATCTTCTGCCTCAGTTTCCTCATTTGTAAAACTGGAATAATAATGGTCTTACCTCATGGGTACTAAATATCAGCTATTATTTTAATGTTTATCCACTGGCAATAAATTTGAAGTCATTCAAAGAATAAGAAAAATGTAGTCTTAACAAATTCCTTTTATTTCCAAAGGTTCCAAACTGAGTTATCAAGGTCTCAGTTTTAGTAGCTTCTGTGTCAAAAGTCAACTCTCTTAAAGACAAGGGAATTTTTCTGAAAAAAGTAAAGGGAAGACGCTGTGGCCTTGCAGGTAGCCCGCTGAGAAAGAGAGAAGGGGAAAATGGAAAGACATAAGTGAAGGCTTAAATGAAATCCTGAATTTCCATGTGGATCTGTAGGAAAGGCTATAGGGGAACCTACTGGTCCCAAAGAAGGTGCATTTAGAACGCCCCCCACCATGAGGGCTAGGTCCGCCTGTGCCCCCACTTTAGTCCCTACATTCCTGATGGCTGCACTGAACAAATTCATATCATGAAGCCATGACAGGAAGTCCCAGCTGATGAGGCTGTCCTAACTATTCCCAGACTTAAGGAACCACAGAAGAACCTAGAGTCTTGTGAATGCTATTACAGGTAAATTAGTATTTTTAATAAGGTCTCTTTGTTACCTGCAGTAATAAAATCACTCTGAACATTAAACTAGTCCTCTGAGTGAAGAAGACTTCAGCTACTGAGAAGAAATGAGAACACTTAGCATGGAAAAGGAGAAACCTGCAGGAATAAGTCAGATGACGCTGGCTTCCTCCTGACTAACCACCTAGGTGACATTTAGGGACATTTAATGTTACAGAGTCCAGATCCTTGTTTCTAAAAAGAGGGAGCTGAACAAATTCCTCTCTCAAGTCAAGTACAGATTAAAACATTCTATGACCCATAGTTTATAATAGAGCTGCCTTATGCTACATCCAGAATAATGAAGAGGGTATCTTACAACCAGCCTGGAGTTCAGACTAGATTGGGTAAAACTTCGGTGCATATGGTCATTCTGAGTGTGCTTATCAATATGTTATACAATTTACTGGGATAAAAAGCTACACTAACTAAAATGTCAACCCATCCTTACAAAATACTCTCCCTTCCATCCATTTAGAAAGCTCTGGGGAAAAAATACTGATGGGGAGCAAGATGTCTTCTTAAAAAACCATTCACTGCATTTAGGGCAACGTGAGCCAGATGCATTATTTTTTTAAAACATAATTTCTGTGGTGACTATTTGCCTGGTCACTTGGCATTTTACAATTTCATGGAAGGTGTTCTTTTATATTTCATTTTCTTCCTGTGCAGAATCACACTGCAAGAGGCCATGTCCCAGCCCCCAATTTGATAGACAGGGGAAGGGCGTTGCTCATGGGTACACAGGGGCCTACCCAGGGCCACTCCAGGAGAGCAAAACTAAGCCAAAACAAAAAATTAACAGAAATAAACAAAAAAGTCCTCTCACACCAGAGACCTCTTGCCTGGGATGACTTGGGGAAATTACAACCCTGTCCCAGTTTCTACCAGGACAAGTGCAATAAAAACTGTAGCCACGAAGGAAAAACACAGACGGCTTGCTCATACTTAGTGAACAGTAAACAGAGAAAAAGCTACACAGCCAAGTGCAACTGAGACGCCACCGCCCAGGTCACAGAGTACTGGGCGCATTGGAAGGCCCAGGAAGTCTTTTTTTTCCGCACTATCCTATCTCTGTTCAGGACAGAGGGGTGATCACCCCGAGCTCAGGAAAGTAGAGTCGCTGAGCCTGCGTCACTCGCAAGAGTTGGCATTTTTCAGAAGGCTTCCAGGAGTGATCCAGTCGTCACACCCATGTCCAAATGGAAGATCCTGGTTTGGTCCCATTTATGTGGGGATTAGGAACACGCGTTGTATGATACGGGGTGATCAGTAAGGAATTTCCTCTCGGTGGAGCAGCGACAATGAGCACAGAGCAAGAAGCCTGTCCTGTAACATACCCAGAATCCATGAAAAACTCCTCAGCTTGTGGATTCCTGAGGGACTGCCCTCGCCTCCAGGCCCCCCCGTCCCTGAATACTGTCAGCAGCCACACGACACGAGGGACCAGCAAGGATTCAGTGACTCGGGAGTCACATTTCTTGCCCTGCCAGGCATCAAATACGTTGGGCATATTACCGAGGGGCATCTCTTTATATTTTTACTTCATTCTTTATACAACTGAAACTTAACAATAAACATGGTCCTCAGAGAGCTATTTTAAAGTTCTTACCTGCCCAAAGGCAGAATTTTAGAACAGTTTCTTTTTTCGCTTTTTCTTTGTCCTCTTAACCTTACCCTCCAACCTTCGGAGGTTGTTTCATGGGAGAACAGCAGTAAGAAAATAGTGTTCCAGAACAATTTCCACCCACTCCAAATAAAGTCCTCTAATACCTAAAACATATATCCTCTTTACCTTCCCCTTGAATCTTGATAAAAAGGTTGATAAAAGATGGCAATATTTTAGAAAAAAATATCAAATTTATTTTCACTACTGAACAGGACCTTCTTTGTGACTCCAGGATTGATTCACTTTTACCACCATGCTCCCTTTTTTCAGAGAAGAAAACAGGCAAACAAAAACCAAGTAATTTTCCCCAAAACCTCAGTGCCTTTTCAGTAGCCAAGCCAGGCTTGCAGGCTCTCAGATGCACGCTCGGGCTTCTGTTTTGATATAAACATAGAAGCATGCTATGCACACCCTTGCACACGCGTGCCGCACACCCACCCACAGGCACCTTTCCTACCTCATCAAATCCCATCTTGTCTGGATACTTAGGGACAACTGAGACAAACTGGGAGGGTTCCATCGGAGGGCGGTCAACTGGAAGACACAAGATGCACGCAGAGTGCTTTGTGAGTGAACGTCAGACAAGAGTATTCCATCCACACACCTGACGCCTCTCGACATGACCTGGGTGTCCCGGGCCGGGGTCCCGCTCAGTGCTTCTCCAGGACTGGGTGGCTGCACAAGAACCCTGATGGCCAGGGCACTGGTTTGGAGAGCACTTGTGTATAGGCAGGTTGCAGGCTTTGCTGCATTTCCATTCAGATTTATTGTCAGAGCATTTGGTAGGGAGTTTAGGGCGAGGATTAAGGGGAAGGGCTCTGCGGTCAGATGGCCTGGGTCCACACTTTGGTCTCTGAAGGTCTGGAACAGTTAGGTGACTTCTCTAGGCCCCTTTCTTCACGTGTAAAGTTGGGATAATAAAAGTGTATATTTTAGGATGTTATAAAATTTAAATAATACCAGCATGCAAAGCACTTGCCACAATAAATTAGCCTAATAAATACTCATAGCCCTCAGCTAGTTCTTATGGTGACCCATGATGAAAGAGTTCAGAAATAGGCCAGACTTTCTCAGAATAATGCTTTTTCTATACAGTTAAAATGGTCAAAGTCTAGGACTATTTTTATCCCAGCCAGGCAGGTTTCACTACAGATGCACAAAAAGTCCTTTATTTTCATACAAACTCAGCTCTGAGGTCCAGCCCACATCCCAGAACTTGGAAAAGGGCTGACAAGGACATTTCCAGATGGAAGGGACATCACATCTTAAGTAATGAAAGTTTCATTTATTTGATACTCCAAAAAAACTATCATGACAAACTCTATATTTACAAGGTTGATAGCCATGTTGATGTAAAAACCTGAGAAGACCTTGAAGATTTCTGGTATTGCACAAATTCAAAGCACTCATTTGGTTTTTTTCTTAAAGAGCTAATACAAAGGACGTTCGAAATGAAAGCTAGTCAGTGTGTTGTTTGAAGAACTATGGGTGATGGCCACCACCAGAGTCCGCCAACACCCATTCTCCCCTATTCCAGGTCCAAAGAGGAATGCAGCTCCTCACCCTTGAAGTTAGTCATGGCCACGTGACTTCCTGCTGCTCCATTCTCTAAGCCCCACCCCCCAGCCAGACCTGCCACCGTGATCTTAGCAGCATGTTGACATGGGGAAGCCACCAGTTTGAAGCAGCCCAGAATGATGTGCCGACCTACGGCGGATAGCTGCCCAAGAAAGACATCGAACCACGGCACACTTTGCACAGCCAGAAAGAAGCCATTGCTGCATTAAGCCAAGGAGATCTGGGCACTGTTTGATATACCAGCATAACTTGGCGCATCCTTACTGAGATACTGTCCAAAAGGCATTATTTAATGGACTTACCCTTCACTGAGATATTTGTTTGAAAAAACTTAGTATTTAAATTTTTTTTTAATTTCATGACTTGAGAGAGAGAGAGAGAAAGAGAGAAATATCAATTTGTTGTTCCACTCATTCATGCACCCACTGGCTGTCTCCTACATGCGTCCTGACCAGGGATTGAGCCCACAACCGGGTGCATCGGGACGACACTCCAACTAACTGAGCCATGCAGCCAGGGCCTTCACCGGGATGTTGAAGAGAAAGCAGGACATCCAGTTTCACTCATAATCAAATAACGTCAAGTTCTAGAAGATAGCGAGATAGGTTTCCTCAGCCAAACACTAGAGCTGTCTTCATTACTTCAACCGTGACCCTCACAGCCCCGTCTCTGGGCGTACACAGAGCACATGTTTGTTTTGTCAGCAGCCCAGAACGTTTTGCTCCTTTCTGTTCCACCCCCTCATTAGTTTCTTTTAAAATCAACAAATATTTATTGAGGGTCCACCATGTACAGAGTTTGGTTTTTAAGAGGAACAAAGTTAACATACAAATGTCTCATTCACACCATTGTTTGAGGCGCTGTCTAGCACTCCCTCCTTGGGCTTTAGACTGGGAGGGGTTATTTTTTGAGTTACCCTTTCCACGCTCTTGGTCTGTTTGGCACTCACATGGTTTGTGTGGCTTTCCCATTTCAGCCAAACAGTCTGCTTTTAACCACTTTGCTTCCATCAAACATGGGCAGTCATTGTGTTCATAGAAGTGTCCCCAAAAAGCCCAAAGTGGCCGGCTCCTGAAAACCACCATTGAGCAAAACTATGAGAAACACCCCTGGGTTTTGCCACTAAAGGCAGAGAGCTAAGCCATAGGGAAAAACAGAAATGAGGAATTAGACCTAAGACACTATATGGGGGAGAAGGGATGGGTCTTTGCTTACATTAGACTTCAAGGTTCGCTATGTCCTAGCTTCTGCTTGGGGTCATTTCTGACTCCATCATTCATAATATATCCAGTCCCTCATTGAGTTCCTCCTAATACATATTCCCTCCCTGTGCTGCCATTTGGTGTGATGTGTTTCATTGGCTCCCGGATCTAGAAATCAAGATCTAGGGATAATAGCTATTTTACAGAGTTTTTATTACTCACTGAACTCTGAGCTACCCTCTTGACATATTTAATCACATTTCTTTAAGTTTAACAACATATACCATAGATAGGTAAGACTGTCCTTATTTTTACAGATTAGGGGGGAAAAAAGCTTAAATAACTTGCCCAAGGTCACAGAGCTGATAGCACTGATGTTTGAATCTAGGCCTGACTCCTGCACCTGAACCCTTAACCCCAAAGCTGTACCCTGCCCCCAAAGCTAATTCTTGGTAGTCACTGGAGTCAAGCTGGCCTGGGGCAATGGGTCTGGGTTCATAGTAGCTCAGTTAGCTACGTCCTTGCTCCTGGGTGACCATCACTTACTGCTCTTTCTGTGGTCCACACTGGAGCACCCTCTACTCATCACACAATGTACCAGCCCAGTCATGCTCAGAAAAGAAGTTGAGAAATTGTGCTTGGAAAAAACCCTAACACTTCCCTATGGTTTCCCCAAATGTCCATTGCTCTAGCCACTACCCTAGCTCAGATCCTCACTCACCTGTTTGGGGTGTTTTAATATTTTTCAAATACTTATGTGCTCTTACTCTTGCCTCATTTTAAGTCATTGTGCACACTGTTGTCAAAATAATTTTCTTCCACAAAACAGCTCTGTTCTTGACCATAACTGCCAAGCTTGGCACTCAAGTGCTTTACAATTTGTTGAGTACTTTTGTGTTCTCCACATCATTTGATAGTTTCACTTTTACTGTTTGTTTTTATAAATGAGGCAATTGAGAACAACCCACACGTAGACTTTCTCAAGGTCAAATAGTAAATGATGGGCGGAGATGGATCTCATTTTTAGCTCTGACATCAGATCCAATATTTTAATAATCATTACCTGACATTCACTTGCCTCAAGATGTCATTGCTGAGAACAGGCACCTAAGATTTCTACTGTCTCGAGCTCCGATGTGCCAGGGCAGACTCCTCATGCCTCATACCCACTTACCCCATCACTTTTGCAAGGTTTTGTCATTTATCTGTCCAGGAAGCACATTCATAAATTTCCATGCATCTCCTAATGTACTGAATGAGTCAGTGCATGGAGGGTGATGGGTACAGTGTGATTCATAAGTGTCATCTACTGTCCTTATACCCCACCTCCCACCCACCTAAACTTTTTAGCTCTGATCCCTCAAACTCCAGTCTGCAATTCATAAACTCCCTGACATATTTGGTCTCTTCACCCTTTCTGTCTCTTCACCTTTTTGTTTTAATTCAAAGTTGGCTTTCTTTTGAAGACACTGCCTCCCGTTCCGCTGTCAGAGTGGAAGGTGATTTTTCTCATATCCCCCAACCCACTCCAAACTGTTTCTCCTTCATCTGTCACAACTTCCAGCTTCTTTGAAGCATATTTTCGCACACTCCACCTCCTCATCAGGCCCCTTCAGCCACTGATGACTACGGTCACTGGCTCATGGTCTCACTGACCCTGTCATCATTCTTAGAAACCTCAGCATCCACGTGATGATCCATCTAATGGCCTGTTGGCTTCTAGGTCCTAGACCTTTGCACCAACAATCACGCTTTCGGCGACCCACTACCATGCCCGTCACTCCCCTCCTGCCCTTGCTTCCATCGCTGCCCAGCCCGGACCTCATGGTCTAGCACACTAACCATTCCTTGTAAAGACCCTTGAACCTCTTCCATTGATCTTGTGGGGTAAAACCCCAATCCTGGTTAAACTCAATTGTCCACTTACTCAGACCCAAGAAAAATAGCACAAGAAAAATACACACAGTTGTTTTGACTGAGTCATTGCAAAACTATAACCACAGATGTCAAATTGGCACTCCACGTTGCCAAATGATGCAACTGTGTACTTCCATCGTAGATTTACTCTCTTATTCTCTGAGAGATCTAGTTTATACCTTTTTCTCTCTCCTGAAATCTCCAACATCTCTTTAAATGCGATTAAAGCTGATGACTGGAATGCATATGTCATAGAGAAAACAAAGTCATATTAGATATGCCTTTTCTTTGACCTCAAGTTTGCAAACCCAGATGCATCTGTATCCACACATTCTGACTTCCACACATCATTGCCCTATCTAGAGCAACCTCTCCAATGTTGTCCTGGGTTATACCGTCTCTTGTTCTCGCAAGGACTTCAGCCTTACAGTCATCTTCTCCTCTATATCACCAAGTTTTCCTTATATGTTGGTTCCTTCTCATAAGCATACAAACATGCTAAAATCCTATCTTAAAAATAAACAACACAAAAAACAAAACCTCTGCCTTAATCTCTCACTGCCTTCCAGCCACCATCCTACTCCTCTCTTCTCCATCCCAACAGATTATTTTCTCATCTCCCCATTGTCCTCTCTTCAGTCCACTCCCATGGGCTTGTGTCCCAGTCATTGCACTGAAGGGGCTCTTATCAAGGCCATTATAGATTTCTATCTTGACGGAACAAAAGATCAGTTCCCTACCCTCACTTTATGTGACTTCTCCTCAGCATCTGGCCCCTTCTTGAATACTTCTCAATTTTTCCTTTCAGCTTTCTGGCTGTTTGTCTCCCCTGGGGATCTGTCCTCCCTCTCCTCTACCCTTTCAATGTTCTGTTTCTAAACAAGTTCACACTGTTCCATGTCTTCAAATATCCTTTTAATGGTAATGACTCTCAAGTGTCTGTCTCCAGCTGGAGTCTCTCCCTGAACTCCAGACTCATAGAGCCAAGTATCTCCTAATCTTTCCATTCAGATGTTCAATAAATATCTTCAGTTTACGTCACCGAAACTTCTCTCCCCAAATCTTTTCCCACGAAGACTTTCCCACTTCATTAAATGGTATGCCAGGCCAAAATCCTGGACTCATCCTTCATTCCTTTCTGTCCTCATGGGCTGCATCCAGACCTCTCTAAGTCATATTGGGTCTGCCACCGAAATATATCCTAAACCTACCTGCTTCCCATCACCTCCCCGCTACAGCTTGCATTCCCAACACCATCATCTCTCACCAAGAGACACAGATATACCGGTCTCCCCACTGTAGTGTCTGTGCCATAGTCTGAATGACATTCCTAAATGCACCAGTCACATCATGCCACTCCTGTTATTCTTAGATTAAAATCCAAATGCTTTGCTGTGGCCACAATATTCAGCCCGATCTGGACACCTCTTCCTCCATGACCTCATCTCCTCCTACTCCGTTCCTCATCGTGTCTACTCCAGCCACGTTGGCCTTCTGTTCCCGGAGCACCCAACCTCTTTCTTAACGGCCTTTGCATGTGTCATTGCTCTGCTTGAAACACTCTACCCGAAATATTCATTCATGTGGCTGATTCCTGGATATACTGTCTACTTCTCTGTGGAAGCTTCTGTCAGTTTTGTTCACTGCTATATCCCTAGCCTCTTGAACAATCCATGGCACATCGTAAGTGGTTAATAAATACTTACAGCCCCGTTCTCTCTTCGGATACCTTCCTTGGCTCCTCACTGCTGAGGAGGAGTGTCCTGCTGGAGCTTGCCATTCAAGGACCATGACAGGGGAGTCATCCCAGCCCTCAAACCTTCCTTCCTTCTGTGGTGTAAAGCCAACTCTCTTCCAGGCAGAGAATGCTTTTGGATCAATGTGTTCGCTCAGTTTGTATCCCCTACCTATAGTGCCCTCCGTGTATCCTTCCTTTTGTTTAAAGCCCATGCTGCTGTCAAGGCTCAGCTTCAGAACCACCAGGATATGACGTTCTCCTAGATCACCCCAGCCCCCAGCAACCTCTCCCTGTTCCAAACTCCCTTTGCCCTTATACTGAATATCTGTTCCTTTCACAAAGCACCTCATCATTGGAGACTTTTTATATCTGTCTTGTCTCCCCAGTTCAATATAAACACCCAAAACAGAGAATGGGCTATAAAATCTTTTAAATCCCCAGCACCCGCGTGAGTGAGTCATCCACTGGGGGCAGGCACTCGGCATTTGCACATGGATATAGTGACTGTTCCACACTTCCCTTGGTGTCATCTATTAGCAGCTATCTGTTTACTGACTGTTGGGTTCCAGAGGTTGTGCCAAGGGCTTTTAACATCTAGTCCATCCTTCCTAGGGACACTTGACAGATATGATTCCATCACCAGCATACTTCTATGAATCCTCCAAGGTCCTCTAGCCTACATTTCTGCATTATTACCCTCAAAGATTTATTTTGCAATTATTTTCTTATTCTAATTATGCTCTATCTTTTAAAATTCGGAATCTGAAATTTTAACAAAGTTATAACTAGAAAAGGTAAATGCAAGAATTAAATAAAATGCCATCTTTAAAGTGCCTGAAGCCAGCATTCCCCCACCCCGCCCCGCCCCGCCCCAGCCACAATTCTCGGCCACGAGAGTGACTGTCCGAAATCCAGGCTCCAACCTGACATTTTCCCACTAAAATCCCCTTAATTGCTCCCCTCCCTTCAGGAAAAGCCCAACACATTAGAGGTCCTTCTAGCTGGGCTCACTGCCTGTCCCTTCCCCACACACAGCCTACACTCCGGTGATGAGTCGCTGAATTTGTTAGTTCCTGCGTGAGAAATTCAGTGCAAATATTCCCTCTGATGGAAAGCCATTTCTGACCTCTTCCCCTGGGCAGGGGTTATCTGTCACTTCTCCTTTAGCCACCTGTACATTATACATAGTAATTAGTGTAGCTACTAGTTATTGGGTATTTCCCAGTCCTGATCTCACGCTAGACCTACGGGCAGTAACAACGCTGTGTTTAAGGCCATGAGTTTTGGAGATAACAAGATTGGTTCAAAACTCAGTCTGTCATTTGTTTAGCAGAACGATCTAGGGCAAGTTACTTAAACTGTCTACACCTCAATTTCTTCACCTTCAATAGGGGGATAATAAATCCCTCATTGTTGTTGTTATTAGACTTTATATATATAGTAGAGAATCTTTCCCCCCAACTCTACAAGTTTTCATCATCTCCATCGCACAACTAAAGAGGTAAGTTACTTTCTGAAAGTCACATAAGTGAAAAGGAGCCAAGTCTGAGTTTCGATCCCACTGCAATGCACCATTATAGCCCCTGTGACATTGTGTGAAATGCGTTTACTGTGCACACAGCTCTCCACCCGGATGGGATGCTCCCAGAGGGCAAAGACCTTGTCATATCCACATTTCACATTAGGAAAAGCCTAAGAATAAGCGAATGAATGAATATCCATGTTTCAGCCGAGGCAGACTGGGGGCTGTGAGACCCCAGTCCCCAGCGAGGGGAGAAGTGCTGGGTGCAGTCACGTGGCCGTGGGACCAGAGCCAGCGCAGGCTCCTGGGTCACTCACTCATGGCTTCTATCTGCACGTGGATGAGGCTCTCGATGTCATCCTGCAGGGTCTGATGGGACTTCAGGGGGATGGGCAGGTAGCCGTAGTGCTCTCGGTTGCAGAGGTACATCTGGATGCCTGAGGACCCAAGAAAGGAACAAAGATGACCAATCAGAAAACACACTTCTTAGTTTGATAGTGACCATTATGGAGAAAGAGACTGGACTGTAGGAGACCCTGGGTTTGGTGCTTACACTTAACAAGCAGCTGTTCCAGGCACTGTCTGGAGACCTCAGAAATGCTCCTTTATTGAGAAAGTATAACAGGGCATTGGGGTCTAATAAAAAGCCCAGGCCACACTTCAGCTCAGAGGAAATTGATTTTTTTCCCCTCTAAAGCAGAAGCATACTTGTGGTCTGAAATGAACACGAGAGGCATGAACCAATCAAAAGGGAGGCAAGGAATTCCCGTTCCAGAGAACAGAATGGAACACTGTAATCCAACTGCAGGAAATAACGAGAATGAGGAATAAAATCCATATTTGATATGAAAGCAAACAGGAGGACAGATTATTAAAGCTGAATCTAGGCATCTGTAGAACAAAAAAATAAAAAGCAAGGACACTTAAATTCTCCAGGACTCTCCTTGGTTTTATTTCACGTCTTAGCAAGCATGGATTTGGACACAGCCAATGGACATGAAACTTCTAGAACAGTTTCATAAAGGAACGAAAGAAAGACTGCGTTTCAAGTCCTGTTAAGAACCTGCCAAAAATATGCCACAGCCCTCTCATGTTCAACACCGGTCTTCACAGCCCCGGCTGGCTAACTCTGAGTTATGCTACAGCGTCTGTGTCCAACCAGATAGGCAGCAATACAGGGATCAAGGGGGTCTCAGAGAGGCCTGGCAGCAGACAGTCCTGACTAATGAAAAGATTGCTTAATTAAAAGCACGGGTCTGCCAAGCTCCGGTCCGTGTGTCCACGCTTCCGATTAGTTAATTGATATGCCAATCATCTATGCTTCCCAGAGACAGAATCACCTGCACAGAGCCGCCTTTATGCTGTGCAGATGAGGTTTCCTTCAGTCAGCTACATCACCTGCCAAATCAGGTGAAGCTGTCCCCTGGCATTAACAGAGAAGAATGAGAAAGAAAAGAGTTTTTATTCCCCCCTTTGCTGACTCTGGCGGAACCAAGGTTGGCCTACCAAGCACTGTCACTTCTCGTGCATCGCCAAGTGCGCTCACGAGCTCTGCTGTTTGCCCACATAAATGCTTCTGGGGAACTTCAAACCAAACGCTACCCTCATGATGAATTCAGGAAGAAGAGGGAAAGTGATTTCATGTTTAGGTTGTCTCTCTACCCTAATTAGGTCAATCGTTTTACTGTTTAACTTTCCAAAGCTTCATTAAAAAGAGGAATGAGACCTAGCCAAGCTATCCATCAAGTGAGGGGACAAGAGAGGCATGTTCAGACATTCCAGGTCATAAATATTTACTCCCTATCCCTCTGTCTCATCAGGTTACTGGATGATGTGGAAGAAGAGGAAGGAGAAGGAAGGGGAGGAGGAGGAGGGTTACAAATAACAAGGGAGACTTGGGACACATGGTGATGAGGACAGTCAGTGAAGAAGAGACGAGAAGGGGGTCCCAGGCTGACATCTGTGGCACCATGAAAGTTCGAATATGTCAGAGGTTTGAGGACAGATGTTATCATGAACACACCAAAAGGACCTCTGGCAAATCTGACATTCTAGAGACCCAAAACACTAATTTCAAAGAATATGTGCACTCCTATGTTCATTGCAGTGTTGTTTAAAATGGTCAAGATAGGGAAGCAACTGAAGTGCCATCAATAGACAAGTGAGTAAAAAAGCTGTGGTACATTTATGCAATGGACTATGACCCATAAGAAAGAATGAAATCTTACCGTTTGTCACAGCATGGATGGACCTAGAGGGCATTATGCTATGTGAAATAAGTCAGTCAAAAAAGACAAATACCATGTGATTTCACCTATATGTGGAATCTAAAGAACAACATATATGAACAAACAAAATAGAAACAGACTGAAAGACACAGGAAGAGATTGAAGGTTGCCAAGAGAAGGGGGGTTGGGGACTGGATAAAAAAGGTGAAGGGATTAAGAAGTACAAACTGGTAATTACAAAATAGTCATAGGGATGTAAAGTATAACATAGGGAATAAGTCAATAACATCGTAATATTATGTATGGTGCCAGAGGGGTGGGTACTGGAAATATCAGGGGGAACACTTTAGAAAGTATGTGATTGTCTAACTACTATGCTGTATACCTGAAACCAATACAAAATAATGTTCCATGGAGACTGTAAAAAAAAAAAAAAAGAGGAAGTAGATGGATGCAGGTGTACTTAGCTATATATTAAAAAATCTGGCCATGTGCATGCTAAGAGCAGTTTTAGACAATTAGAGATTAGTTTTGGATTGTATTAGTAATAATCAATCTAAGACACCCCCCAACCAAAGGCAATTGCTAAGTTAGATATGAAAGGAAAACTAAGCACAGTCTATAAAGTGCCCAGTGTAGAAGAATTCGGGTGAGGTGCCTATAATATTGAAAATGCTGACCATCCTAAATTACCACATAACTCTACGGAGAGGAGACCGGGTGGGAAGAGGGAGCAGAGAGAACTTCATCTGTAGAGGACAGTCCATTGATTATTCCTACGATAAAACCAGAAAATCAAGAAATAGCGATACAAGCGTGTTATTTAGAAACACGGGTGCAAATGTCATACTTGCATCCCCCTCAGGAAGAGTTAGTGTGTCTCCTAGAAAAGGGAAATGGCACAGGGGAGACAGGCAGGGGACTCGAATTTTATAATCAGTCTTGGGGGACTCTTTGAACTCTTTCAACTAGGCGCATGGATAATTTGACAAAAACATAAACATTATAAAAGGAAATGTGTTGATGGTTAGATCAAGTCTAGGAAGGAGTCTGGTGCTCTCCTTGGACGCTGCTCCCGGGAAAACGCTTCTCTCTGAGGAAGAATGGCGAACGACGCCGCACCCGGAAGGGCTGTGCTTACCATATGAAGATCTCAGTCATTCCCTTGTCCTCACATAGCACCTTAGCCTTGTAAGGGGACATACTTTTCTTTATCCTGGGTGATGAAAACTCAGACTCAGAGAGGCTGCGACCATCGCCGGTCATACAGTCTGTCATTAGCGCCAAGCCTCTGTCCCCCAAGGCCAATGCCAAGAATCTTTCTACCCACCGGGATCCGGAAGCCGAGCCTCAGGACCAGTAGTCGCTCTGCAATGCCACCCTGCACAGGGGTGCACTTTTGATCACTATCAGTGATGTGCAGGAGGCAGATCTAGCGGCTGTCACCCATACCTTGTGCCTCTTTGGACTCGCTGGAAGATGACCGGCTGGCGCCAGGGACGGTTCCTGGGGCCATGATACAGAGCCAAGGTCACCGGCCACCATGGGAAATGAACTCCTGACCTTGCTCTCATTATGGCCACAGACACTTCCCTATGACCCTGCTCTCTTTTGGGGATAGATGGGTGGCCATGTCCCCAGCGCCCCGGTCCACTTGGATTGACCCTCTCACTCATCACCCCGCTGTGGCCATGCCTGGGGTCTGAGGTTAAAGAATAAGGATCAAGGTTTATGCATAGACAGTCCTGCCTGGGACGCGCAGACCCTTTATTTCCTTTCTGACAGTTTAAAAACAATGCTCCAATGGATGCAACCCAGCCAGGGAGCATCACAAGAGTAAGGACAAAAGAATACATGCCATCTGCCTAGAAACACTCCATGGGCTGCCTTCGCATCTCTCCTGAAAATATTGATACTTCAAGACAAGTGAAAGTGCTACCTTAGGACCCCACGACGTCGGGAAAGCTGTTCCATTCCTGCAAAAGGCAGTCAGGCTTTCCGGGCCCGACCCATGGCCTGTTCTCAGGTTGAACCGCCCACCTGGCCCACAGCTTCCACTGTTTCTCAGCTGTGATGGTTATGTTTCCACAAGGAAAGGCCCCACCTCTCCCAGCACAGTGCCAGGCACCAGGGCGACGCCTAGGGCCCCAGCCCCTGCGCCTTCCTTTCCTACCTCTCTGCCCCGAGCTGAGCCACCAAACAGCGTTGGGCCACTGCACCTGCTTTCAATGTCCCTGGCGGACCCTTGGGCCGATAAAGAATGAAGACCAAGCGAACAGGACGAGCAAAGGGCAGAGCTGAAAAATTCCTTCCCAGCCAGTGTCTCCCTCTAAGCCACAAACCCAGTTTTTGGTTTAAAAGAATTTATTGTCATGAGTTAGTGCATGGGTCACCCTAGTGCCCTTTGCGATGGCCGTACAGGGTGACCCTGTTAGGCAAGGATCGTTACTGTGATTGTTCATCGTTCGCTTTCCTGGAACAGCCTTACTGCAAGCTCTGAGGTAAAGGGCCTGGCACATGTGGAAGGAACCAGAAAGCCCTGTGCCTGCTTCTCACCCTGGGGAGGTCAGAACAAATCACAGGCCAAGCTGAAAGAAGCGGTTTCCACTAACACTGACACAGGAATCTTCAGGAAAAGTCCCGATCCACAGGAGACTAAGGACCTTGCTTTTGCCCTGACACAGGCCTAAAAATGGCTACATCTGGTCAAAAGGGTCGCAATGACCCTAGCAGCGAAGGGGGGGAAAATCAGCCTTCCGCATTTCCACCACATATTCTCATTCCTGCCAAGTCGACAACTGATGCGTGGGACACCTTTGGCTTTCAGAATGGTCCGGTGAGTGAGCTGTGGCTTAAATTTGTATTAACTCTCACCTGCCAGCAACCTGCCTCAGCTGGGTAGGGTCTTGGCATGCTCCCAGCCACCCTAATTTTTATGGCCACCGTGAGTTTATCCACCATCTGCCTGGTTTCTGAACTCACTTTTGCTGGGGGTGAAGTGGCACATTCCTGGCTCGTAGATAATGCATTGGACCTGGCTTCCGTCAGGAAAGTCTGAATGATCCTGAGAAGAAAACGTTTCAGGAATGTTGTGGCTCTTCCTGTTGAACTGCTCTGGTGAATTATGTCCTCCCTGGTGGCATGTGCCGGTGACCCGAGAGAAATAACAGACATTCCTACTGACTGGTCTTCTTTACAAAACTTAACACACGCCACTGGAAACGCGTTCCTCATGGTGCACGAAAGACTTCCACCTGGCTTTGCCTTACCTTCCATGGGGACTGCGGCAGAGGCTGATGGATGCCTCCCAAACCTACTCTCTCCCTCCTCCAAGCGAGGGAATCGGGGCTGTAGACCGCGCGGACAACAGTGGGCGCCTCCCTAGGTGTCGTCCGGTGACTACGTTCTGGTTCATGGGATATGCAGAGGAGTGAGTGGTGCATTCAGCTTCTGGAGTGTACCCTCCAAGGGGAAGCCAGGGCTGTCCCCTCTCTGGCGTTCCCTCGATGGGCGGAACGCATCCCTCCTAATGTCTCATTAGGGTCACCTTGGGTCATAGGGTTAAGGCCGATGCCTCGTGGAGGGTGGAGAAGCCACAGGGGAGCCTGGGTCCCTGAAAATGTGTGGAACGGGGCCACTACACCAGCTCAGACTTCTCTGAGAAGAAATAATCTTCCATTTCTAAAGTCCAGGGTTTTTGCCAGTGTTGTTTTGGGTCTCTGTCACAGTTTCTAATTAATAAAAGGACTCCTGTAATGAACAAAGCAATGCAGTAGCACCAGAGAGAACCAATCACCTGCCTGTGGCTCCCACCCCCACCACTGTCCTCCCACTGCTCAGCGGGGACAATTAATTGCCCCCAACACTACCTGAAGAGGAAGCCCACATCCACGTATAGCAGCGTTTGTAAGAACAGGTACAAAACAAAGAGGCTGTTTATTTTCACTATTTCCAAGAGGTACCCCCGCATACCAACAGTACCTGCTTGCCTGCTGGAGAAGGCAAAGACGATGATGTCGTCGAAGGTCCAGGTGTAGTCCTGGTGTGGGGGATAGAACATGAGCTTGTCTGAGGCTTCCTTCCTGAGGTCGATGAGGAAGGTGGAGTGGACCATGGGCACGGGGAAGCAGCCCATCCTCTTCCATTCTCTAATCTGAAGGTAGTCTGGGGTCCGTTTATAGAAGCCCTGTGAAAGAGCAAGCGGGCGGGCTGTGGTCTCCCATCCAGCGCTTCGTCCTCGGCAGCCTCCTGCTAGCTGACTCCTTCCAGGGCGTCACCAGTTACGTGAAAGTCCCCAAGCCGAGTCCCCCTCATTCTTTTTATCTTGGCCTAAGACTTTCCAGTGGAATGTAAGAATTGCTAGTTACGTGTTACACAATACGAAGAGTCCTGTCACCAGGGAGGGTTTGGGCTCCAGCATCTCTCGACTTAGTCATTTCATAAAAGTATACTTTATGCTGACTTATGGTTGAAGTACGGATACTAGGAGGTGGTAAAGCCAAGCAATGATGAACACAGTTTCTGGTGTCAGCCTGTCTGAGTTCAAATCCTTTGATGAGGATTTGCATATTTTTAATAATTATCTCATCAAGTAGTTTGATTGCAATTTACTTAACCTTTCCATTAGCTTAGGCAACATTTACGTTGTTTGCACCGTAGGAGTACTTACACCACGAAAACTAGCAGACGTTGCCAATCAGGATTTCCCCCCCACAGAGAGCCAGTTACTAAACATTCATCATTTGGCCCCAAACCAAACCAAACATAAGAGAGGGGCTCAAAATTTTAGCTCTTTGGGTATGAGACCAAATTTAACATATATTTTTTTCCTTAAGCCCATCTTTCTCTGACACTGATCAGTTTATCTTTTGAATTTATTAACTAAAGAATAAAAATATCACCAGCCATAAGCACTCACTGTAACAGATCTCTAGACTTTAAAGATTTTACAATGGAAAAGAGAGGTGACAGGAATAAAAGAATTCTGTTTTCAATACGAATTTTGTAAAAACATGCTACCATGGTAGTTCTAATTATTAGATCTCTTTAGAAATAAATTTGGCAGTATATATCAAAGCTCATCAAAATATTTATATTCTTTGATTCAGTAATTCCACTTCTAAGAAGCTATCCTAAAAAATTAAATACAGAGAAAAATTATATTAATCATGGTAGTCATTGTAATAGTTAAAAGTTGCAAATAACTGAAATGTTTTTAAACTAAGAGAAGGGTTAAATAAATTGCATTAAAGCTACTTGACATAGTTATAAAAAACATGCAAGCTGTTATCTATCGTGTTTGAGTGATGGGCATTAACATGATTTTCTTTAACTTTTTTCATTTTTAAATTTTTCTATAGTGTTTTTATGAGAGTTTTAATGACAAATAAACTATTACATTTTTTAAAAACTCCTGAATCAGGGAGAAAAAAGTAAAGATTGTCCTAAATAGGTCTGTCCTCTCTCTCTCTCTCTCTCTCTCTCATTCATTAATACAGAAGAGCTCACTGGGTTGTGGCACTGGATCTGGGTTGACCTCCTCTCCTGAACATGCCCGCTCTAACACGGCATGCATCTTTCAAGAAAGGAAATGAGAAAAAGGTTAACAGGGCTACTGCGGACACATGGTGCCTTGTTAAAGCTCGTAGCTTTAATTCATTAGCCCAAGACTTACCTGAGGTGTGATTCCGCACCAGAAATTAGAGTAGAGGCCCCGAGACTCCAGCATGGGGGCCACGATGGTTTTGTTCTCTGCAATCATTAGATTGAGGGTCTGTGGGTTAGTCAGGAAGTTGTCAACATCAATGAACTAGGAAAAGAGAAAGATAAAGTCAGGTGAAAAGGTACTTTTCTGTAATGAGTTCAAGAGTAACCCAACACTTCTGGAGGATCACAGAGGCTTGCTCAGGAGATACAGAACCAGATATCTACGCTCTCCTTTTGGAAACCCTTTGCAACTGGATGGCTTTCATTCTGGCTAAATATATTTAGTCTGACTGCTCCATGCAAAAGGCACCAAGCAATGAATTGGTGTTACCACACTGGGTGCACATTCAACCAGGACTCAACATACAAGATATTCATGGCTTCCAAGCCCTTCAAAGTTTATTCAAAAACACTTACTGAGTGCTCACTCTAGATAGAAATGGACAGACCTATTTAGGTTGTATATAATAGTGCTAAAATGGCCCAAAACGGATTCATTAATGTATTGTCTTTTTCTTTCTCCTCCCCTCCCCCAGCCGTTCTAGTCACTTTCAGTCTGCTCCATGTTTCCATGCCTGTGGTTTATTTTGTTCGTTAATTTTGTTGAATAGATTCCACTTATAGGTGAGATCATATGGTATTTATCTTTCACTGACTGGCTTATTTCACTTAGCATAATAGTCTCCAGTTTCATCCATGTTGTTGCAAAAGGCAGGAGTTCCTTCTTTCTTTTTTTTTAAAAGTGAAGATTGATTTTATTTATTTATTTTTTAAATGTCAAAATCTATGATAAAATATTAAAAAATTTAAATTCATCATAAAGCCTCAGCAATTAAAACAACATGACACCAGCACAGAAATAATCAAGTAGATAAATGAAATAAAATGAGCATTCTAGAAACAAACATATATATCTGTCTAACAATGTAATATATAATTAAATTGATATTTCAAATCAATGGGGAAAATAAGGTTTATTCAACAAATAAGGGGCATGGACCACTATTACTTGAAATAAAACAAATAGCCCTATTTGACACATTATACAAAAAATATTCAGATAAGTTAAAAATCAATATGTAAAATCTAAAGAGTTTCAGGAGAAAATACAAAATAATATTTTTCTTAACCTGAGGTAAAATATTCAAACCAAGAAGCTATAAAGTAAAATATTCACAATATGATTATATTAAACCTTTAAGACTATACGGTAATACCCATATAAAAAAAGTTAAAGGACAAGTAATAGAATGGGAAAGTATTTGCAACACACCTAAAGGAGGGTTAGTAGTTTTGTTTTGGTTTTATTTAGGGAAAAAAACCTATAAACATTTAATAAAAAAATGGATTAAGAATATCAAAAAAGTCATTTAAAGCTTTTTAAAAATAATAGAAATAGACAAGAAGTATACAAAAACAGGTTTAGTTTCAACAAATAATGAAGTAACAATTAAAATAGCACATCATTGTCATAATCAGATTAATAAGTATTAAAAATATTGGCAATATCAAGTATTGGTGACTGTGAAAGGAACTGGGTATTCAAAGACTCTTTTTCTTCATCTTCTTAAAGCAGTCCCTTTAGCATATTTTGCAATGCTGGTTTGGTGGAGGTGTACTCTTTTAGTCGTCTTTTGTCTGGGAAACTCCTTATTTCGCCTTCCATTTTAATTGAGAACCTAGCTGGGTAGAGCAGTCTTTGGTTGCAGGCCTTTGCTTTTCATTCCTTGGAATATTTCTTGCCTCTCCCTTCTGGCTTGCAGTGTTTCTGTTCAGAAGTCAGCTGCTAGTCATATCAGGGCTCCCTTATATGTTACTACCTCTTTCTCCCTTGCTTCCTTTAGCATTCTCTGTTTGTCTTTGATATATGCCATTTTAATGATGATGCATCTTGGAGTGGGCCTCGCTGGGTTCTTCTTGACTGGGACCCTCTGTGCTTCCTGGCCTTGTGTGACTTTTTCTCTCCTCCAATTACAGAAGTTTTCCATCATTACTTTTTCAAACAGGTTCTCTATCCCTTCCTCCTCTTTTCGTTCTGGTATCCCCATTATATGGATATTATTATGTTTCAGGTTGTCCTGCATTTCCCTAAATGGCTCTTCATTCTTTTTGAGTCTTTTTTCATTTTCTTGCTCTTTCTGGGAGCTTTTTTCTACCTTGTCCTTTGGCTCGCTGATTCGATCTTCGGCTTCATCTAGCCTGCTTTTGATGCCTTCTACTGTTTTCTTCAATTCAGAAATTGTATTCTTCATTTCCTCTTGTGTCTTATTGACAGTTTCTATGTCATTTTCCATGCTGCTACAGTTTGCAGTAAGTTCCTCATAGTTTCGCTGTAGTTTTTGGTAATTCTCTCTGAGCTCACTGAGTTTATTGAGCTTCCTTAGAACTGTTGTTTTGAACTCACTATCTGATAGTTTACTTGCTTCTATTTCATTTAGTTCTCTTTTTGGGGATTCCTCCTTTCCTTTCAACTGGGAGGGTTGTTTCTTTGTCTTCCCATTATTTGTGAGGCTCTTCTTTTTTGCCTCTGCTTCTTAAATTGATCTGTCTTGATTTCCTGACTGTGGTGTGAACTTGTATGATAGGGGGCTGCTGTTTTTTCTTTCTGGATCTGCCTCTGATGATGTCAGATGTTGATCCCATCTGACCTTAGGCAGTCTGTTTGAGATTTCCAGGGATCTACTGTCTGTGGCTGTCTCCTTCAGTTGTTAATCTAGTCACTCTGCACTTAGTAGGCCAGCTGAGACACCACAGGGTGCCTCCTGGGGGCGGGGCTATTGTGTCCTCTCCCGCTGTTGCTGCTCAGGGGAAGTGGTCTCTGCCTGAGCAAGATGGCTGCTGCCGCGTGGGGGATGAGTCAGCACCAGGATCCCGCCGACTACTCTCTCAGTTCTGTCTCCAGAGCTTCCTTCCCCAGTCTCTCCTGAGGCGTCTCTAGCCCACTCTGCCACCGCCTTTGCCAAGGTAAGTGGCTGCAAATAAAAGTTTATGCGTTGGCCATTTAAATGGCTCGTTGCATCTCCAGCCGCCCGTCTCTGGCAGAGAACAACCCTGCCGCTTTGTGAAGTCGGCTGTTATCTGTGTACTTTTTGGGCTTTGGTGCCATAGGCTGGAGATCCCCGCGTATGGTTTAGAACTCGTTCTTCTCGGGGATCCAACTGGCTGTTTCAATATCCTTCTGGTGTTGCCACCCGTGGGCACCCTGCCCACCTTCTCAAGTCTCTACCACACTCCTTACCAGTTAGGTTGTGCTAAAGCTGATTCTTCTGTCTGTCCGAGGTTATAAAGCTCCTCTCTCGCTATTGTTCAGTTGTTTGTTCCAGGTTATTTCTCCACAATTTAGTTGTAATTCCAGATTGGTCCTGGGAGGAGGTTAGTGTGACTTCTACTCACTCTTCTGCCATCTTGATTCCTCATCAATGTTATTTTCATGTTATAAGTAGAATTTTTGTTTACAGTACATTATACCAACCCACGCTAACCAATAAAAGCGAAAGTACATGTTAACACTGATTGATTTGCAGGGACAGTATAACATGCTCTATCATACAAAATAAATAATCACTCTGTACACCTAAAATGATTAAAGTGACAGATTTTATGTTATGTATATTTTACCACACACACAAAATAAACAAGCAGAAGCTTTCACTCTTATGAGAGTCAACCTGTTTACCAAAAACTTTGTGTTTCAACATTGGTAAACTTCAATGACATTCAAATAGCTATACAATGTTAAGTATCATCAGTACAAGTTGAAAACTTCTATGAATTTATTTGTATTGAATGTGAGTGTATGTGTGTATGTGATAAATCATTGAGCTGATTTTTGTTGTGGTAAAAGGGCTGTGGATAGAACATATCCAACGTGTTCCCTTTAGGAATCAGTCTAGTGACAAAAAGCTGTCAATACATCTAATGAAACAACGTTGACTTTGCTTTATTGGTATTATTTCTGGTGTTATGCTGGAAAACGTTTGCCAAAAGAAATAAATGGATTTGCTGGGAAGACGGGGTGGGTGGCAGGGTACAGATTAAGAACTTGGTTTCCAGAAACTTATGGGACAAAAGTCAAAATTCAAAAGGGAAATGGGAACGGTAGCTACTCAGGAAGCTGTCCTTTCCAGTCGAGATGGGTTCATGGAGGACGAGAAGGGAATGCAACATTGATTCCTGATATCAACTCCTGCACATTCTGGATCACACTCAAAGTTCCAAGGGAAGTGATGGAGCCTCTTCATGGAGAAAAATTCCCTGCGAGAGCTCAGCATCAGGGGACGGAACCAGGAAGTCAAGAAAGAGATGCCATTCTCCAATTATTCAGGAGCAAAAGGGAGTGGCATTTCAAAGTGGTTAATGTCATCTCTTTTTACAGAATTAACTTTTCATATCCACAAAATATTTCTATAAACTTACTAAGACTATTTTTATTGCTTTACCTACAGCATTCCTCATGAACTACAAAGATTCCTTTTTTATGCCTGTTATATGAAAGGGATTGAATAATTTAAGAGTTTATTTACTTACTGAAAGTGCATGTCAGAAGTGCATCTGAGATGAGATCCAGGTATCCCAATATTAATTCCCAACATTTCCCCCTGTGCCTTCATTAAAAAGTAGGGTAGTGATTAAACAAAAGATTGTTTTGATTGAGTCTGTGGTCCTAGTTTTTGGACAATTGATTTGGACATACTCTGGATAACAGTTGTCAAGAAATCAAACATGTGACCTTACCAGAATGTAGTCTGACCATTTTTCCCTCGCAGTTCGAAGGGCTGCTTGCCGTAGTTTCATCACGTGGGCAAATCGGGAGGCAGGCCAGTGCTTTGGGCCAATTTCATCAGGATAAGACCTGAGATAAATAATAATAATAACAATAATAATAATAATAGTCGCTTATAATTACTGAGTGCTTCAGTGATTGAAACAAAGGTTTCATTTACCCGGGCAAGTCTAAGTAAAGGATTCCGCAGAACCTGACATATCAATGTATCCCAGGTAAAGGGAGGCTGTGGAGCAGATGCATCGCCATTGGAATCTCCGTCAGCATCCTCAGAGCAGCCAGCCCAGGACATAGGCAAGCAGTTGGTGCACCCTGGAGAGCCATTCTGAAAACCCCTAATTGGTGTGGACATGGATACTCTCACAGTGGCCCAGACTGGCCACCACTTCAAGTTTTTATGGTTGTGCTGGCAGCACATGAACCTCAGTGAATGAAAAACCACAAAACTGTGCAAGTAACGTTAATGAAACTATGTACTGCAGAGGCATTTTCTGGGATGTCTTCCCCTCTTACTGCTTCAATGAAAATCAGTACAATTCCTGTCTTTTTGAATATATTGCCCCCCAAAAAGAATGCCTCCTCTAATATTTCTCATCCTCACTTGTCATACAATTTATTTAGTCAAAAACTGGCTACAGAGAAGATTACCAGGATGCACAGTAGGTACGTAAAGTCTCTCTCAGTCATTGTTATCAGGCCAAATTCCATTTAAAGGAACTTCAAAAGGGTGTCAAAAATTTTTAGAGTGTTCAGATTTTGTTGTTAAATTTTGCTTGATATATGTGTCATACACTTGGACTTGAAATATATATGTATACATACGTATAATAAAAGTATTAAATAGAGAGAAACTAAGGACCACATGCTAAGATTTGAAATATATATACAAAGTATTATATACAGAGAGACTAGAAGAACAAATATTTGTTTTGGAATGGCAATTATTATTATTATACAAATTTGGCTTTCAATAAATGACTTAATCCTAGGCAAAACTTCAGGCAACTCAATCCATTCTACATGTACAGTTCCTTAAACTGGAATTGTAGTATCTTTGGGAATATACACAATAGTAATACATTCACTCATGTTCTCATTCATTCCTTTGTTCATCCAACAAGTTTTTATTTAGTGCTTTGTTCACCCAACAAGTATTAATTTAGTGTTTTAGTTCCAAAAACAGCATTGGAGGAAATATAATTTGTATACTTCAGACCCTGCCAAAGAACTCAGAAAATTGAAAAAAACACATAAATTATATAGTCTGGGTTAGTTAAGTCTGCTGTTGTGTCAACACAAGGTTGAGAGGTAGAGGTCTGTAACTGGAATGACGAGCAATAGCTTTCGGCAGTGGGTGGGACTTGGGATAAGAGTTGGTTGCAAAGAAGGAAGGGGCCTTCCAGGAGAGCAAGGCTTCATGAGCAAAGGCCTGGGGTTGAAAATAAAAGAAATACTCTAGATAAAGCAGCTATTCTTTTGGGGAGAATCGGGAAATGCATAGATATGGGTGCTAATTTCATGGAATCTTTTAAAAATCTAAGTTGGCGGTATTTGAACTTTGGTCTGTAGGTACTGGGGAGGCACTGGCATTCTTTTAGCAAAATAAAAATAAACCACATCATTAATATTTTAAGTGGATTGATGGGACAGTATGTCATGTAGAATGGCTTGAAGATGGAAGCAACTAAGAAATTGCTATGGTTACGATTGCAAATAACCTCAACGCTCACCAGTAAGAGGCTGGTTATACAATTATGGCACATCCCTACAATGGATACTCTGCAGTCATAAAAATAATGAAGACGCTCCTTAACTATGGCTATGGAACGATTATGAAGATATGTAAGTGAAAAAGCAAAACGTGTGTAAAGAGTAAATAAACTTTTCACTATGGTACCCCACTTATAAAAGGTTTATACTTAAAATATGAATAAATAATATCATTATTTTACAATATTGACAGCTGTGCTAATTTATAATACTTGTGACCCAGTAAGAACCTGACCTTGGCTGGTACCTGCCAGAGTAAAGAGGAAGAGAGAAAGATGAAGATTTGTCAAAAGGAAGAAATCTCCGAGATACACAGATGAAAGACAAGGAGAGGTCTCATGTGCCTCCAAGATGGGAAGCCTGGTTGAGGGAGGAAGGTTAGAAGGAGTTCACCAAATGTTCTCTTGCTACTCACTCAGGTTCATCCATAGGCCTCCACTCCACATAGTGGTAGACTCTCTGTACATTTTTCAGCCACTCCCTGAGTATTTCTGTTGTATTATCCATGTTGTGGTCAGTGGCTGCCCTGCATGAGAGAAAGCACAGTCGAGTTCAGTTACGCCATCCCAGGCAAGAGGGGGAAATCCAAAAGACCACAGATTAAAGGAAAGGAGAATGATCAGTTTCGAGAACAGTATATATATGAAAATGATTCTCTCACAGTCCAAACTGAGCAATACATTTCTAAAGAGAAGGATTCTGTTTCAAATCATCCTGCGTCATTAGATCCTTAAACAAGGCTTGGTCAACAGTAAAATAATAAGTAACTGTAGTAAAATGGTAGAAGCATAAAATGAATTAAATTAGAGTAAGTTAATTAATCTTCTTGGAAATCTTCCTATTTGCTTTCCTTTTGCGTTATTCAAGATGTTAACTCTGCCTTTTCGCTTCACTAACAATTACCCATAATTTAAACAATACATCAGCTGCATTTTCAATTCAAGTCTACTTGTAGGTCACACCAAAATTGTCAGTCACTGGTGCTGCAGTCACGTGCAGTACAGGGGAAGCCGCAGTACCAGTTCGGAGGATACAACTCAAAACGTAACGTATCTCCATGGGTCTGTTTTGGATCAATTTTACCATCACTTATACAAAAAAGAGTAACATCAAAAGCCTTCAAATAATGTATACGAAGCTTATTTCTGTTCTACCTTGGAAGTATAATGAGCTGATCCACTTATAAAGGAGGATTCACTTATTAAAACAAGAATATTTTTATATTGTATCACAAAGCAAACTCATGCTGTGTAGAAGGTACACATCTAAAACAAAGTCAGAACACATAAAAATGAAGAGATATACCAGTCATTCGAGGGGAAAAAAGGAAAGAAAGGATTATAATTTTGACATCAAATAAGGTAGAATTCAGGCCCCCAAAATTAAGCCTGACAAAGAGGGATTTTCATTATAATTCTAAAGGATGTAATTCACATTAAAGATTCCTGTGTAATAAATGTGAAGATGTTTGTACCTTCATATAGTAAAGGGGCTAGCAAACTTTTTTAAGGGCCACAAAGTAAGTACTTAGGCTTGCGGGCCTTCCCCTCTCTGTCCCAGCTACTTAACTCTGTCATTGCAGTAGTAGAGCAGTTGTAAACAACACTTAAAGAAATGAGCATTCCTGCCTGCCAAGAAAACTTTATTTACAAAAGCGAGCAGCTCATCTACAGGCTGTAGTTTGTGAACCCCTGATATAGTAGAAAGTATGGAATTTGCCAGGAAAAACAGAAACACCACTAACAAGAAATGTTAACATACTCTTTCAGTGGAAGATGGTGCCAATGGAAAAAAGTAAATATACAGAGAGGAGCTATAGGATACATTACAGAGACTATATTTTCTTCTCCAGTGCACATGGAACAGTCAAAAAGTCATTCAACAATTCTGTGACGAAGAATGACTCTAAAATATTGAAATAATGTCAATAACATTTTTTGATCAGAATGTGAGAAAACTTGAAATTAGCAATGAAGTAAAAACCAAATAATCCTTTAAAAATTCTCTATTAAACTACTGAGTAAAAGAAGAAATACAAATCAATTTCAGAAAGTATAAGAATGAATAATGAAAACATTACATATTTTGGGATACAATTGCAGCAGTAATCAGAGGAAAAAAAATGCAGTTTTATGTGCTTACATCAATAAAAATAAATAAGTTGAATTCCTACAGAAAAAGCTAGGGAAAGAGCAAGAAAACAAACAAGCATAAAGAAAAAAATAGTAAAGATAAACACAGAAAGTCATGGGGGAGGAAACAGAAAAGGAGCAGAATGAACAAATACAAATGCTGAAAAAGAATCTTTTTGAGAAAAACATTAACAGGGGACAGCCACTAATTAACCTAATCAAGACCACACCAATATAACAATACGGAATGACAAGGAGAAGGGGGTTAGGATTGATGCGGAAGCCACTTTTTAAATCATAAGCAATTACTTTGTACATGTCAATGGAAATTAAATTGAAAAACTAGATAGAACGGGAGATTTCCTAGGAAGATGCATGTTAGCAGAATTGACTCCAGTATAAATAAAAGCTTAGACAGAACAATTTCCATGGAATAAATAAAGAGAAAAAACAAAATCAAACCCTAGGCCCAGATGGCATCACAAGGGAATTTTACCAGATATCTTAACAGACTCGATATTTTCACTGCCACGTAGCTTGTCCTCCACAGAACAGGGGGAGAAAATCCTGAGGTCTTTTCATAAGGCAAGTGCTATTGATACCTAAACCTAATGAAGACACACACATACACACACACAACATGCACACACACACAGAACTACATTCATACTTTTAATGACTATGCTGCAAAAATCCTAAAGTATTAGCAAAAAGAACCGAACACCCTGTTAATAAAATATTATATAGCATGTGGTAAGATTGTTCAATATAAAGGAAATGCATCGATGTGATTCACTATATTAATAGATCTGAAGAAAATTGTCTGATTAGCTCTGTGAGTGCTAAAAAGGCCTTTAACAAAATTGAACATCTACGCTTGCTTTTTAGAAACCATACTATATAATTTTATTAAACATGTCACCTCAATAAATTCAATAAAAAACATACTAAATACAATTTAAAATGAAAGGAAGGGAGGTGGGCAGGGAGGGAGGGAGAGAGAGAAGGAGGGGGGGCAAACAGAAAAGAGAGAGTCAGGGGAGGAAAGAGGCATCTGAGATTTTATTGGCTGCCCAGCAGGCCCTTCCGGGAGAGAAAGGCCTGGGCATTATCAGCAGCGGTGGTTCCCTGGGAGCAGGGCCAGTGAAGAGCTGGGAACAGGGGTTACTTCTTCCATATACGGCAATTTCAGTAAACAGGCTTTTGTTCAGCTCAATCCATAATGGCTTTTGCTCTTTCTGCTTGAGCTTTTGGAGGTCCTTGCAGCTCCAAAAGTAGCAAATGAAATCTCTAATAGAGAAAATATTCAGGAATGTTCAAGAGAAAAAACAAAATCATTAAGCAGAGTGGAACCTAACGTTATGTCGGGAATAAATTTCCGTGAAACACCAAGCAACTTGGAACTACATCAAGTCACACTTCAGTCATAAAGTACAGAAAAATGGGATAGAGGTGTGTGACTATACTTGCAAATCTTAAAAACCAAGGCAAGCTTATCTACTTCCAAGTCTCTTCTGGAAATCAGGTTAGAACCGCTCCTTTTTTCCGAACTAGGTCTAAGGGCGGGCGGGGCAGGGGGAGGGATGTTCCGCCAGCGAGAGGGGGAGAGGTGATGTGTGCTGCTGACAGCGCCGAGGGACCGACGCCAGGTGAGCACCTTTGGACAAAGATGGGGAAACCCGAGGAGGTGGGAGAGTGGGACAGGAAGCAACATGGGAAAGGACCACGGGCTCCATCCAGCTTTCGACTGTGCTGAGAAGCACAACACGTCAGCGAGAATCGCATCCCTGTGACACACGGCCACAAGCCAGCCCCCGACGTCCAGCGAGACCGCCGTGAGGGGCACTCGGAGAGGCGAGCCCCTGGAACTGGGAATCAGCCTGACGCACATTATTCCTCACTCAAAATAGCGTGAGTGAGTTAAAACAAAACAGACAAAAATGTCTTGACTGCAGCGTCAGCCCAAAGCTATGGGAATTCTATGTTATTCCAAATGACTTAAAAATAGTATAGGAGAATTTATACAGCACCCACTTGCGCTGATTGTTGCTTCTCCATTACACAGGCCTTAAATTCTCTTTGCCCTCCCTACTCATTGAGGCATTTCCTAACGATCTGAACAAGCTTGGCCTTATTATATGAAACTTATTTTCCTGGTACACAGACTAAACAACTTCAGACTCTTAAGTATCCCCAAATGTCCTTAGATATTAGCTGCTTGGAGTATACAGAGATAAATGTTTCAATTAAAAACAGAGGCATAGATTTGAAATACTCTTTTTATTGAGTTGGAAAAATTTCCTATATCGTTACTTCCCTGAAATGTTAAGATTCTCTTTGTTTGTCAGTTTATTTGGTTCATGAGATTCCTCATACAAGTGAGATCATATGGTGCTTGTCTTTCTCTGACTGGCTTATTTCATTTAGCATAATGCTCTCCAAAACCAGAGGCATGGAGACAGGGAACAGACTGACAGATCTCAGAGGAGAGGAGGTGGGGGGACTGGAAGAGATTAGCCAAAGAACATATTTGCATATATGCATGGCCTGTGGACACAGTAAACAATGCTGTGAAGGCCTGGAGGGGTGGGGCCTGGGTGGCGGGGGACAAAGGGGAGGAAAATGGACATCTATAATAGTGTCAACAATAAAAAATAAAAAGGTTCTCTTTGTTCTCATGCTTCTGAGGAAAAGATGTCTCTGGCTGTGGCCTGAGGTCCGTCCACATGGCCTTTGAAGTGCAGGGCGAGTCACTGCTCCAGAGGAACAGCAGCGCTGACCACGCCAGCCCCCGAGGAGGGCTTGGGGCTTGCACTCCCCGCTCAAGGCTAACTGCCCTGCCCCCACCCCCTCCCGTGAGGGCAAATCAACACAAATCTGGGCAGGCGCTTCTAACTGCTGCCTTTTAATCCCTCTGTCACAAATGTGTTTCTGGTCAAATACATAATCATGAAGGCACGCAGGCGCCAGGCCATCCAGAGGACTGGAGGGAGAGATAGCAAAGGCCCAGATGCGAGCTCCCTGGAGGGAACAGGAGGCTTGAGTTAAAGGTTCTATTTTCAGCGCCCTGCGGAAGAAGGCAGCAACGCGGTGCCTGTCCTGCTGTGAGGCTCCACAAGCCACCGGACACAAAAAACTCTGCGGCTGAGATGGGTTTTTCCATCAAGCGAGGAGGCTGAGGACAGGGAATGTGTGAACCGCTTGGGAGAAGCCCAGGCGCCTCTCCCACCCCGCGGGCTCCTCCCAGCCCCGTGTACCGAGAGCACTGTCTCGGTCAGCCATCCTTCCGTCCAGACCAGGAGAGGCACCCAGAAAGGGAACAGGCATGGCGAAACGATTCTCTGAAGAAAACAGAGCATGCGAAGAGACATCTGCGGAGGTGTTCTGCCGGAGA